AGCCAAGGAGGAAAAATTGGTATTTCAATCAACTGCCCCAAATTGGCATTAATAAGATATATGAAGTTTCAAGAACTACCTTTCTTACCATGTGATGAGGAAGAAGCAGGGTCTCTCGCCACCAACACATTCTTAGGTGCCATCTTGCTTTTGGGGGCCCCTCTTGCTGTCAGTGAAACTGATTTTTCCCCCAAGACAACCGAAGATCATCACGAAATCTTGATCTTAGGACACATTTCCTACAGAAATTTACTCCATTCCAAATAGAATCTTGTTTCTACCACTCTGTCCTGATACACACAACCAAAAGCCAGGAAGAAGGCAAAGTAAATGTGTCAGAGAAATAATATCCGCTTCCTTTCGAGTGATTTGTTGAAGTCCCTTCATCTCTTTCTCACTGTGAATCTGCCCACCCAAATTAAATTTACATTGACCGAGTCAGGTAACTCCCCCGGCCCCCAACATAAATGGGCTACAAGAAGATTTTCTCTAAAGAGCTCTCCCTATTTTTCCCCCTCTTATGCCTGAAGATCTGACCACCGTGTTTGCTAGCTCTCGGCAAACCCGCAGAGGATACACGAGGATAAAAATGGTTAAAGATGTGGTTAGTTTCATTTTGCTGTAGGTATAAAAAATAATTACATCTTCTGGTTGGAGGTGGTACAATTTGGCAGAGGATAGAAACCTTTACAGAAATAATTGAAGGGCATCGTCACCAACAAGGCTGCAAAGATGAAAAGACCCAAACAATTTTTGACAAGCTGCTCATTCAGGGAAAGACATCGAATGATTTATAAATGGAGATAAAGGGCCAGTGCCTCTGTGCGTTTGCCAAAGAGCTTCTCTGATCACTTCAGACTTTTTGCATTAAGGTGGAGGTGACTTCATCATTAGAAAGAAAAATAATAAAATTAACTTTAATTTACCTGGATTACACACACTGAAATGTGGTGATAACCTAAAACATCAAGAACCAGATAGTCACTTAAATTTTGTTTATTGATGCAAAAGACTTCTTGCTACATAATTTGCTTAATTGGGGGATATTTGGGGCTTGGCAAGAGTTTAGGGCTTAAATATTGCTGGAAGTTAGTTGCCCCTTTTCCAACATACCATTGGATCTTAGAAGCTTCCAGATGAAGCAGGACAATACTTTCTCTTCACATATTGTTTAGCGTCCATAAATATACAAAAGGCAGAGCCTGGCCGGTGTGGCTCAGTGGACTGAGCCTTGTCCCATGGACTGAGAGGTTCAGGTTTGATTCCCAGTCAGGGCACATGCCCAGGTTTTGGGCTGGATCCCCAGTAGGGGGCATGCAGGAGGCAGCCAATCAATGTTCTCTCTCACATCAATGTTTCTATCTCTCTCTCCCTTCCTCTCTCTAAAAAAAAAAAATCAATAAAAACTTATTTTTTTTAAGTTAATAAAAACATATTCATATATATATATATATATATATATATATACACAAAAGGCAGCGATACCTTCTGGGAGGAAAAGGACTAAGACTGCAACTCTTTCTCAGGTTCAAAGATATAAACATGAGGTGGGCCCAGGCTGGTTTGGCTCAGTGGTTAGAGTGTCGGCCTGCGGTCCAGAGAGACCCGGGTTCAGTTCCCGCTAAGGGCCCGTACCTCGGTTGCAGTTTGTCCCCGGCCCTGGTTGGGTCGTGTGGGTGCCACTCGACGATGTATCCCTTTCACGTCGATGTTTCTCTCTCTCTCTCTCTCCCTCCCACTCTATCTGAACAAAATATCAAAAAGTGTCCTCAGGTGAGGGAAAAAAAAAATAAAAATAAATAAATAAACATGAGGTGGGATGGACTACGGTGATAATGACCAAGCCCAGGTGGCATGAAAGAGCAATAAAGGCCCAAGAAGGAACCCATCCTAGAAGCGGGGAGGCTGGGCTGGTGACAAGACCATACCATTGTCCCCACTGTGGCTGGGGAGTGTTGGTTTTGGTTATGAGCACTGCTAATCATAGAGTCTCGTCCTACTGAGTTGATTTGCTATTATGTTCGTGCTTTGGAAAACTGGCTATGGAACAGTGAATAAAAGAATTATAACACTGAAGAGCTGTATTTCCTAGAAGCCTCATTTTTGGGGGAGGGGATGCTTATATTTCCCTGGTGCACTGAGGACCCACCTGGATGAATCAGCAGGTGGAAAATATGGGAATTGACAGTGGTGGCAAAGGAAACAGACACTGAGTTTGCAGGAGATGGCTGCTTGGTTCGGCCCCAACACAACACAGTAAGGGGGAGGCCCCGTGCATGCCCCTCAGTGAATCCAGTTTGCCTGGAGGAGTAGGGCACAATTCCAGCCCTCTGAGGGCATGACGAGTCTCGGGGAGTACCCGAGTCCTTAGGAACATTTAGGAATAAAAATATACATTCGTTATTCATTGCTAAGTCAACCCCATATTTAGCAGCTTAAAACAACAAACATTGCCCGCCAGGTGTGGCTCAGTGGTTGAGCATCGACCCTGCACCAAGAGGTCGCCGGTTCCATTCCCGGTCAGGACACATGCCCAGGTTTTGGTCCCAATCCCCAGTGGGGGGCGTGCAGGAGGCAGCCAGTCGATGTTCTCTCTCATCAACGTTTCTCTCTCTCTCTCTCTCTTCCTGTCCCTTCCTCTCTCGCTAAAAATCAATAAAGAAAAAAAAATTTTTAAATACAACGAGCATTTACTGCCCCGGTCTGTGAGTCGGGAACCCAGGAGTGGCTTACCCGGGAGGTGTGGGCAGTCTCTGGGGCTGAGGCTGCAGTCACAGCAGACTGAAGGAAGATCGTCTTCTAAAAACACTCACTGTGCAGACCGGCTCCTGCACACAGGCTCCCGTGAGCCCTGGAGCCATTTACCCGGGAGCTCTGAAGCCCTGATGGGTGGGCGCGGCCCTTCCAGAAATGAGAGACACCTGGGACCCCGTGCCAGAGGGGCGGGGCCCAGCGGCAGCGAGACTCACTGGGGAGCAACTGTTGCCACGTTTGCAGCCTCAGGATCGTCTTGCGTTTGGAAAGGGCTCCTCCAAAGAGGTGGGTATCCAGATGGTTAGGCCCCACCAAGGCATCAGCGGCCTGGGGGCGCCCCTGCCCAAGGCCTCCTGAAAGAGGCCTCCTGCCCTTGCGCGTGCGCGGTTCGGGGTCCCCGGGACTGCAACGGGGCAAGTGTCTTGAGCGGCCTGATCACTGGTGCGGACTCCGGGGGGTCCAGAGTCTCTTCATAATGCCAAGGAGTATTCTAACCAGTAGTGCGCACTGCCCATGAGGGCGGACCTGGGGGGACTCGAAGGTGTTCCGGGGCAGGGCGGGGCGGGGCTGCCCGGGTTCCTCCGGTAAGACCCACCTGGACCCCTGGGATTCCGGGGGCCCAAGGCCTCTGCTCCTGGAGGCCCTCTGAGAAGAGTGAACTGCGCATGCGGGTTGGGCGGCTCTCGGGGGTGTGGGGAAGCCGGTCAGGCTGTGACCCAGCTCCAGCTCCAGGCCAGGACCCTGTTCAGAAGAGGCAGGGTCTCTGTCACCGACTCTTGGAGGAAACCAGGCATCTGCCAGTGTCCAGGCGGCACTACAAGGGAACTCGGCAGTCTTGCCTGGAAGGACCTGGGAGTCCCGGAATGAGGAGACTCTGGCACCCCTGGGTCCTGGACAAGCCTGGGTCCCCATCAACAGCACTTCCAAATTGAGAGTGACTTTCGCCACCTTTGCAGCCTCAGTATAAGATCATATTGTGGGGGTTGGGGGTGACCCTTCCACCCAGGAGAATATCCAGGGGGTTAAGCTGGGCCATGGCATCAAAGACCTGGGGCATCCAACCTGCTAAAGGGGTACATGCTCTGCAGTATTCTGGTACCAGGGGCTCAGGGTTGCCAGGACCCTGTAGCAGCTCAAGGGTCCTGAGTGGCAGGGTCACTGGCATAGTTCTTGGGGAACCAAAGGCATATGAATAACTCCAAGCCCAGATGTACCCGGTGGGCAATATTCCCCCTGAAGGCAGAGCTCAAGGCTATTCAACTGCCTGGTCAGGCAGGACCAGCACCGGCTGATGAACCCTCCAATAAGAGACCGCAGGGGCCTTGCTTTTTGGAGAAGCCCCGGAGCGCTCCCCACGTGGCCTCTCTCCATTCAGAAGTCTGGCCCAAGCTCCTTCACAACGTGGAGCTTTGTAAGAGGACAAGCCCCGCGTGCAAGTGTTTCCAAGCCTCCAGCTGCTTCCCAGTTGCTATTTCACAGGCCAAAACGAGTCACGTGGCTAAGCCCAGAGCCCATGCAGGTGGGACTACGTCAGGGCAGGTGAGTTCCAGAAGGCTGGTTCTTTGGGGACTCTCAATATAACAGTCTGTATAGCCATTAATTACTAATATTCAGTTTTCAAAGTGTTTTCACGTTTATTATCCCCTTTTATTTAACAATAATAACCCCTGAGGAACAAATAAATGCCACTCCTAGTTTGCAAAGACAGAGAATGGGACTCAGAAATCTGGACCCCTAAAACCACACACCTAGTAGACTTGACCCTTGAACTCGGGTCTCACTACTGCAAGGCCTGTTTTCTGTTCTATCCAAGCTGCCTTTGGCCAGAACACCCTGTGTTTGTTCTTTCCAGATTTTAAAGATTTGTTGTCAAATAAACAAGAAAATCCACCATTTTCCCCAGATACTTTTACTAGAGCTTGTTAATTTATTTTTAATTGTTTTGGGGGAAAGGCACCCAATTCTTAAAGACCGGGATATATTGTAACAGAGCTATTAGCAATGTTTGCTTATTGCGAAGCAAACCCCAAAGCAGCCAGGATGGTTATTGGGAGGAACACAGCTCACGTCAAATCCTGAAAGGGGATTTATTTAGATTTCACGCTGCCCACGTTTCTTCTGGGGAGCAAAGCTTCTTTCTGCACCCTGGCCCCAGGACAAAGGGTTCCAGCCCCAGGCTGCAAGGCCCAAGTTCTTTAAGGCATTTCTAGTGCTATGCAAATGTCAGTGCTGATAGACCACGCAGACTAATAGGACTTGTAGTGCTGGGATGGAGTTGCGTTGGGGGGCTTATAAATAGAGATGTATATTGAAAAAGAGTCCACAGTTATTCTCACTACGGCTGCAGTTCCTGGATGCTGGAGAATAGGAGATCAAGCTCAGGTCTGGCTTAGAAGCGCCACCCACGGTGCTGCCGTCATGGCTCTCAATGGCCCGGGAACAGGGGTTCAGGGGAACTCGAGCCCTGGTTCCCCGGAAGAGCTGAAAGCCCCCCCAGACCCTTCCTGGGCGAGGCCCCGCACAGGGGACCGCCCTCTGCGCCCGCCCGTCGTCCGGTTCCATACTCTGGACCCCCGGAACTTCAGGTGGCACTTTTCATTAGGAACCCCGGGTGGCCGGGCCTTTGATCCGGTCCCTTTGCTTTCCTTGTCACTTTCCTAGTATGGAGAGAAAGAGGGAAGCTTGAACTATGAGCCAAATACCGCAGAGCTCTCCCTCCCGGGGAGACGTCCTCTTGGGAGCTTCTCCTTTAGCAGTCGCAGGAGTCACACTCACGCCCGTCGGTGACCCGTCTCATGACATCCTGACTTCCCAGGAGCAGGCCAAATGCAAAGAAGTGTCTTGGGAGTGAGGGGCAGTAGAAAAATAAGTCAGTCTGACCGTGTGAGCTCAGTAAAATTGTAGTACAGTAAGTCTTCCCTTAAGATTGTTGATAGGGCCTGGCCAGTGTGCTCAGTGGTTACAGCATCAGTCCACAGACCAATGAGTCACAGGTTCGATTCCAGCCAAGGGCGTGTACCTCGGTTGTGGTTCATCCCTGGCCCTGGTCCGGGTCGTGTTGGAAGGAACCAGTCGATGTGTCCCTCTCACATCGATGTCTCTCTCTCTCCCTCCCTCCCTCCCACTCTATCTAAAGATAAATAGAGCCCTGGCCGGTTTGGCTCAGCGGTTGGAGCGTCGGCCTGCAGTCCGGAGAGACCCGGGTTCGGTTCCCGCTAAGGGCATGTACCTCGGTTGCAGTTTGTCCCCGGCCCTGGTTGGTCGTGCGGGTGGCAGCCACTCGATGTGTCCCTTTCACATCGATGTTTCTCTCTCTCTCTCTCTCTTCCTCTCTCTCCCTCCCACTCTGTCTGTACAAAAAAAAAAAAAAAAAAAGATAAATAAAGATAAATAGAAAAATATCCTCAGGTGAGGATTAAAAAATATATATATTGTTGATAGGTCTGTGACATTAAGCAAAACAGCAGTTAAGGACACCAGTTTTACCCCGGGCTAAGTGATATAAAGGAGAGTTAGGTACTACTGCCCTCCATCAACGTTATGACGTGAACTGTCATTCCAGGACCTGCTGCACACGCGTCCCGGTGGGACAGTGGTCTGAAGCGGAGCCACCGGCTGTGCCATCTCGGGGCTCTTGGTGTCCCCGTCCGGATGTCACATACCTTATTTTGCGTTCTGTAGTACTCGTTTAACACATACTGATATTTGGGTTCATTAAGACCGAAGAAGACAGCAACGCTCCCACCGAGGAGGTCACATGCTGAAAGAAAGAACAAGCACTAAGGGGAACTGAATTAATAACACAAGTTCAGAGTCGGATGAGGTGCCAAGGTTTTTTGTTTGTTTGTTTTTCCTTTATTGATTTTAGAGAAAGGAAGTGGGAGGGAGAGAGAGATAGAAACATCGATGAGAGAGAATATCGACTGGCTGCCTCCTGCATGCCCCCCACTGGGGATCTGGCCCATAACTTGGGCATGTGCCCTGACCGGGAATCGAACTGGGAATCGAACCAGTGACCTCTTGGTGCATGGGTCAATGCTCAACCACTGAGCCACACCAGCCAGACTAGGTGCCATGGTTTTAATTATTTTTATTTTATTTTTTATCCTCACCCGAGGACATTTTTGCATTTATCTTCAGATATAGTGCAAGGGAGAGAGGGGGGAAGAGAGAGAGAGAAACATCAATGTGACAGAGACACATAGAGTGGTTGCCACCCACACGACCCCAACCGGGTCTGGGGACAAACCGCAACCGAGGTACGTGCCCTTAGCAGGAACCGAACCCGGGTCTCTCTGGTCCGTGGGCCCACCCCACAGTCCGTTTGGCTCTAACTGCTGAGCCAAACCGGCCAGGGCTAGACTAGGTGCCAGGGTTTTAAACGTGCCTCTAAGTGGTCTATCACTACATTAACTTCAAGGCTGACCAAAGCTGTCAGTTGCTCTGGACTTCCCAAAAATTCTAGGACGCAAAGGGAATTTGTTCAATCTTTTCTCTCCACCTGGGATTACGTCCAAGCGATTCTTTCCAGATGACCATACCAGCAGAGCTTTTCAAAGCACTTAATACAGGTACAGCATGGTCCTGAGCAATCAGAACAGATGATGCCTGTCCCCATGGGTGTCGGCTGCGAGTATGTTTCAAATTACACTGAAAATTCACTCCAGCGTTACCAAGACCCATGGCAGAAGTTCTTCCCGCATCGAGACAACTCCTTAGCAGCGGGTTCGGTCTTCCTCTTCTGCGTCAAGCCCAGGTGTAGGTGGCCTGCAGGCCCAGTGCTGGGATGGTTAGAGCCAGGGGTAAAGACTGACATGACTAATGAGTGGTTTCCTACAGGTTCCTCCCAGAAATGTTTTCCTTTCAGATTCTAGGACTTCTGCCCCCCTCATGACAGGACTTTCTGATTCCCATGACTCATTCCGCTTCTTGGAATAGTGCTCAGACAGTGCGTCAAAATGACGCTCTCTCAGCCCTGGCCGGTTTGGCTCAACAGTTAGAGCATCGGTCTGAGGACCGAAGGGTTGCAGGTTCGATTCCCGGTCAAGGGCACATACCTGGATAGCAGATTTGATCCCTGGCCCCAGTCGGGGTTGTACGGGAGGCAACCAATCCATGTGTCTCTCTCATATAGATGTTTCCCTCCCTCTCTCCCTTCCTCTCTATCTAAAAATCAATGGAAAAACATCCTTGGGTGAGGATTAACAACAACAAAAAATGATGCGCTCTTTTTTTTTTTCAAATGTGTTTTATCTTTTCAAAAATACTTTAGCTCTTTAAACTGTTCATTTGCCACCATGCCCCGTCCATGGGTATAAGAGACACTTGTAAAGTATTTGAATAAACCTTAGGAAGCTTTCCTGTTTATGACCTACTAGAACTTTAAGTGGACAGAATTAATTACCAGGGTCACTCGGGTTGCAGCCCTCTCCAAAGCCTCTATGCAGAGATCAGGGCTCTGGCTGCTGGCGTACTTATGCCTCCACTACAATCTGGAAGCCCCATTCAGAAGCATCTCACTACGACACATCTCTTTGGAACACTAAAGGCAGCTAGATCCCCCCAGCGTCCTGTCCCCGCCACCCTAAGTCAAAGCCCCACGGGGCTCACCACCCTCCTCCATACCCTGTTACTGATGCACTGAGCTGTGCCCCTCAACCTGCCCTCGCCTCCTGAGCTCCCTCCCTTCCAAACACGTGCCCTGACCACAGCACAGGGCTCTCTGGAAAACAGCATCTCTTCTGCCAAGGTGTTAAGGTCCAGGTAAGGTTGGTATTCACCTGGGTCTCCAAGGGAGCTTCCAATTCACCCTCCACCCTGATGTGAAAGCACTTATCCCTTTAGGGCTCATAGCAGCTGACGGGATCCTCCCTGTCATTGCTCTTTCCTGTCATGTAAAGACACCCCCTGGTCCCTTCGGAGTCCCCAAACTGGCCTTTACCAGACATACTTTCAGAGTGCTGTTAAGGCGTCTACTTCATCTGTCAGCGTCCCCGACTGTCCAAGTCTCTCGTCCCTACGCTCTTCCTACCCGGGCAGCTGTGACGACCGATTCTAATGCTAGGTATGTTGTTTATAATAGAGTGATTATGACTGACCAGGGTAGTCTGTATTATAACTGAACACTGAGGCCCTTGGAAGCCGACTCTCATTTGCCTTTGTGTCCCAGGGTGCAGCACAGCACCGAGCACACTGTGCTCAGGAGGTGTTCACTTAACGAATGGGTGAAGGTCCGTTCCTCAGAGCTGTACTCCAGTTTCTCAGATTCTGAAGGCTGTGTCCTCCCTGTTGGACACATAAGCATATGCCGAACAGAAGAAAATGAGTAATCAGATGTTGCCAAGTGTGCTTTAAAGAAAACTGGTGACAGTCGAGCATAATAAGACTCGTAGGCTAGTCATCATGACCCCAGAAGGGGGTTTACTGCAGTTGTTGTTTATAATAAAGTGATTATGACTGACCAGGGTGGCTCAGTGGTTGAGCATCGACCCCTGCACCAAGAGGTCGTCGGTTTGATTCCCGGTCAGGGCACATGCCCAGGTTGTGGGCCTGATCCCCAGTGGGGGTCATGCAGGAGGCGGCCAATCGATGTTCTCTCTCATCGATGTTTCTCTCTTTCTCTCCCTCTCCCTTCCTCTCTCTCTCAAATCAATAAAGAAAAAAACAAAACAAAACAACTTGAGGGTCGTTCAGGCGAAGAGTCGTCGGAGGGAAGGCCAGCTATTGGCGCCAAACATTACAAATTCTGTCCTGTGAAAGAGGGATCTGGCTGGTTTTGTGTGACCTCACGAAAGACAAGTAGGATCAGGAGGAAGAACTTGAAAAGAGGACACAATGTGAGGCCGAATGTACTAGCAAGAGCTGGAAAAGGTGGAAAGGTCTCCCTGAAGGTGGGAAGAGGCCAGGCCACCGCTTCAGAACGCCGTGGAGGGTTAAACCGTCCGTCTAACTCTGAGTCTGTAAGTCTATATAGAAAAAGTACAAGAAAAACAACAACAATCCAAAAAGAAAAGAGAGAGAGGGAGAAAAAAAGAAAAAAATAATAATAACCTTAGCGGTACTTACTGGAAACTGAGGTGCTTGCTATTTGCCCTGCCCAATACCGTAGGTAGGGCCCCCATGAAAGTTTAGACTGAAAAAAAGAGAAATCCAGTTACAGTAATTAAATTAACAGCAACCACGGTGACTAAAGAGGCTGTTTTAACATGCTTTATAATATATTCCATTTTCTAATCGATGAGAAAACTCAGATTTTCAACATAAAGAGTTGACTATGCATGTAGCTAGACGGCAAACCAAGGAGACCCAGGAGTTGGCTTAAAACTGTGTTTTCTACCAACCTCGTCTGGCTCAATCTCTCATTCACTCAGCCCCCTTGTTCCCTGATATCGACGTTCTAAGCTTACGGGGTCAAGGGTTGAATTCATTCTCTGTTCTTGTTCTTCCTCCTCCTCCTCCTCCTCCTCTGTGCTGTATTCTTCCATGGTGTCTCCATCAGCAAAATGGATAATTCTTTTGGGAGTAGTCCTTTGGGGAGGTCCACTCTTCTCTAGTTCTAACTGCTGAAAACTGTCTTTTTCCATGAGGAAACAGAAGGACTAGGAGTTAAGCTCAGGGCGCCTTCGGGCAGTTGCACAGAGCAGCGTTTCCAGAACTAAGAGATGTTAGTTATTTTCAAGCTGGAAAAGACAGAGAGTTCAGACCGAATCACAGCTGTGATCTCATCAATTCTTCAAATCCAAGAGAAGACTGGTCATTTCGGTACCAAAATGAAAAAGATTCATTTAGTAGTGAAAATGTGAACTTTGGATCTGCAAACAAAAATTTCAACAGGGTTCCCTTACCCCTTATTAATTGTAAAACCCACAACTGCTAGTAGGAAGGGGGCGGAGCCTAGAGGAAGTTCCTTGATCATTTCAATAAATAATGAATACAGGCTTTGAGTGGTTAGAATACAGGCTTTGCACAGAGAGGAGAAAATCTTCGCCAGCTCCATATCCAGTGAAGAATGTACTTTCAGGATCTGTAAAAAATTACTGCAATTTAACGGGTAAAACACAAGCAATTCAAATAAAGTAGGGAAAGGATTTGAATAGACACTTTACCAAGGAAGATGTACAGATGCCAAATAAACGTAGGAAAAGATGCTCAATGTCATTGGTCATTAGAGAAATGCAAAATGAAACCATAATGAGATATCATAACATACTAGCAGCTGCAAATTAAAAAGACTAACAATACTAGGTATTAAGTCAATGAAGCAACTAGAACTTTCATACGTTGCTAGTGGGGAATGCAAAATGGTACAGCCACTTTGGAAAGCAATTTGGCAGTGTCTTAAGAGGCGAACTTACTTACTACATGATCTTATGATTCGGTGCCTAGATATTTACCCAAGAAAAATGAAAACAGATATCCATCTAAAGATTATGTGAATGTTCATGGCAGCTTCATTTGCAAGAGCCCCAAACTGGAAACCACCCAAATGTCCATTAACTGGCAAATAAACAAAATGTACTGTATCTATTCAGTGGACTGCTGCTCAGCAATTAGTAGTAGTGGACAACTAATATTTGCAACGCTGTGAAGAAATCTCAAAAGCATTATGCTAAGTAAAAGGAGCCAGACACTCTATATTATAAAATTATATTTATGTGAAATTTTAGAAAAGGCAACATTATGGTAATAGAAAACATCAGTGTTTGCTAGGGGTGAGGCAGGGGCACGTGTGGGTGGGGGGATTAATTCCAAAGGGACAAAAGGAAACTTTTGTGAGTGATGAAAATATTCTAATAGATGTCATGATTGTAGTGGTGGTTACTCAACTGTGTACATTTTTCAAAATAAATTGAATACTAGACTTACTGTTAGGTAATTTTATTGTCTTTAAATTAAATCTCAATGAAGCTGAGAAGCTCAGAGCCAGACTACTTAGGTTTAAAATCTATTATTTATTATCCCTGTATCTTGGTCTCCTCATCTATAAAATAAGAATGATAGAGTTTGGTCCAGCCGGTGTGGCTTAGTGGTTGAGCATTGATCCATGCATCAAGAGGTCACTGGTTCGATTCCCGGTCAGAACACATACCCAGGTTGTGGGCCTGATCCCCAGTGAGGGGCATGCAGGAGGCAGCCAATCGATGTTCTCTCTCATCGATGTTTCTCTCTCTCTCTCCTTCTCACTTCTTCTCTCTCTAAAATTAATCAATCAATAAATAAAAGAATGATAGAGTTTGAATGTGTGTATGAATATAGTGCCAATCTTATAAAACTAAGGAGTAAAGACACTTATAAAAGGTAGAACAATTCTTAGCAAATAGTGTTTAATAAAAGCTAGCTATTAAGTACCTATCTCTTACTAGTATGTATGTGTCAAACACTGTTCTAATGTGGTCAGCACACTATTGCTTAATACTTAATATGCCAGCAAATTTGGCAGACTGAGCCAATGCAGAAGGGTCTCCTTTTTGTCCCAAACACACAGAAATGCTGGATAAAGTGAAAGAAACAAAACATTAAATCGGACTGCACTAGGGGAGGGAGAAGGAGAGAGAGACAGAGAGAGATTCAGAGAGACAGAGAGGCAAGGAAGGGACTTGAAGGAAGGAAGGAGTTGAAAAACAACAATATTCTAAGAATAATACTTTTGCAGAAGTGAATATTGTCAGTGCCATGAGAAATAAAACATTCTACAACACCCAAAGAAAATAAAACTGCATTTAAGCCTGGCCGGGTAGTTCAGTTGGTTAGAGCGTCGTCCAGATATGCCAAGGTTGAGGATTAAATCCTCCAGCAGGGACACACACCAATCAACCAATGAATGCATAAATAAGTGGAACAACAAACTGATGCTCCTCTCTAAAAATCAATCAATAAATAAGAGTTCTAAATGCATTTAAAAAGCAACTCACCTACATAATCCCTTTGCTATTTCTTTCATCCGTTCTGGTTGTTTTTGAAAGTAGTACAAAATGTGGTACTGGAAGCTGCCTGGTGAGTGATGATTAGTAAAAGCTGGGCTGAAGCCACAGGGCCCTGGATGGAACATGCCGAGGGGGAGGTGTTCTCCTGTGTGTGACTTACAGGGTGGGCCGTGTTTGGGTTGTGGGAAAGGCAGTTAGTTCTATTTGCACATCCGGCATTCAGTAAACACAGTGGCCCTCAAACTTGTCTTCGTGTTAGAATCATCTAGAGGTCTTTAAAAAAAGTCCAAGGCCAGGCCGCACCTCAGGCCACCCCAATCACAGTCTCCAGGGGTGGGGTACGGGCACTGGTTATCTTTGAAGCTGTCGAGGGGAATTCAAGGTGCAGTCAAGTTTGGGGAACCAGTGCCCTAAGAAGAGTGGGAAAAGATGTAACTTCTAGATCGAACTCGTCTTGTGATTTATTTTTTCCCAAGAGGGTTTTCTGCTTTTTGCTTTCTGATCAACCCCGCCCCCTTTCCCCAAGCTAAAAATCTTAAATATGAAATGTTTATGAGAAAGGCCTAACAGTCTCCTGGGTTTACTCCTCTCAAGACCACCTCCCCATACACACATTGCCAAACTGGATGAAGTACTCTGTACCCCACACACCTGGCTCACCCCTATTATCTCACAGATCCTGGTAGCTATGGAGCTCCGAAGGAAAGACCATTTCTGTTCTCTATTATTAGTGTTGTGCATTAACGAGACATATACATCGTTTAATCCAGAGGGGCTCTTAATTAAAAGGAGTGGTGGGGAAGGGAGAGGGAGACACTGAGGTAGCTGCAGTTGATGCAGTGGATGTTTTCTGCCACCTAGTGGACATTTTAGGATGTGCTATGAAAAAGTCATTGTAATCACAGTGCCTGTGTCCTAGAGGGGCTCAGTACTGAACAGTGTGGAATCTACTTATTTATTTACAAAACCTTGGGAGCTTTGCCAACTCCACACCGAGTACCTAGATATGGATATTTTTAAGTGCTCTTTCAAAGGACCAAATATTCCCTACACTGTGCTTCGATTCTTATGAGCACCTCTATTCTTGTTTCTTAAAAACCCCAAATCTAGTTTATCAAGAACGGTTCTTAAGTATATAAATATAATGAACAGACTAACATCTCCGTGGCCTTTCAATATTAGAGCACCTCAGGGTTCATTGATTGGATCTTTTCTGGTGTGCTTTCTGTTTTGCTTTATCTACTGCTTTGATTATCTTATTTACAGTAAATACAATCTACACACACATTTATATCTGACATTTTTATCTCCAGGTGAGAGTTTCCCCCCTGCATCTCAGATTCATAGATTCTACTGTCTACTCAGCACCTCTTCTTGGGTGTCTAATAGGCAGTGTCAATCCTAACACACCTAGGTCTTTGCTCAACTTTCGATGGCCCCTTCTCCTTCCTGCACCCCCACCCCAACCACGTACACACTCACGTGCTCCCGACTCTCGTTTCAAAAAACAGCAGCTCTGTTCTTCCAGTTGCTCAGAACAAAAACACTGGAGTCATTCTTGATTCTTCTCCTTTCACCATGCCTCCCATTAAACCCATCAGGAAAGTCTCTTGGGTATTTTTGGAATCCTAACAGCACCACGCCACCGCTGCCAAGCTGGTCTAAGCCATCATCTCTCACCCAGATGATTGCAGCGGCCTCCTCATTGTACCCCCCCCCCCCTCCAGTGTAGCTCAGCAAAGACCAGAGCTGTTACATCTCGTATCAGATCACGTCACTCCTCTCCTTAAGACAGCCCGTGGGTTTCCAGCTTACCCAGAGCAGAAGCCCAAGCCCCCGTGACGGCCTGCACGGCCGTAGATCTGGCCTCACTTTGTACTACTGCCCTCACTCACTCCACCCCAGCCACAGGCTGTCCCCCCGCGGGGACCTCCAAGCCACCGGCTCTTCTCTGAACTAGTCTTTCTTCCCTCGTTCTGTTCCCTCCCTTCCTCCAGGTCTTTAACTCAAAGGGCTGTTTTGAGCTCCCCTTTGAAGGCAACTTTGCATCCCCTTGACCACCACCACCACTGAACATCTTACCTCCTTGGTTTGTTCTCTCTCCTTGGCACTCGTCTTCACGGACACATACTGTATTTCATGTCCTGTTTGTCCCCTCTTCCTCTCCCTCCCCTGCCCTGCCTCTGGCAGAGTGGGAGGGGTTTTACCTGTGTGCACCTTGCCTATGTCCTGCCCCACAACACCTGGCAGAGCTGGAACTCAGTATTTGTTTAATAAATGAATCATACATTTAGTTCATTTTTATGGGTCGGGGGAAGGTACTATGGAATACACTAAAAAATGAGCAGACTTGTAATGTTATTTCCTGCTGTTAAAATGGCTACTTTTTAATATACTTCTTGTTACATTTACACCCTAATCACTTCTTAACTCCTCCACTGAAACACAGCATTGTTGTCATCTGTATCGACAGAGTAACATACTACTTCTAGATCTTGGCATTTCGCTTTAGGAAGGTTATCCCTAAAATGTCCTCGAGTTTTCCGTTTCTATTAATCAGAAAATGTTTCAGATGAAGCAGGTTAAAATGCAGGAAAGAACTGACATAGGAGCTCATCAGCACTGTTCGCCCGGGCTACTGCCGCAGGGCCTCCCGGCTTCTCCCTTAGCTCTTCCCTTGGTGGTCTCAGCTCAAGCCTGGGGCACCAGCGATGGGACAGCTTCAGTGCCACAGAGCAGGCCTCACCAACAACACTGCAGTTTACTTTTATGCACATATTAAGAGATAAAAAATATGGCATTTTCTAAAGCATGTTTACTCTGGAAAATAAAGTATTTCCAAATATGGTTTGATTTCTGAGTGTATTTATGTGGCACTGAAAATACCACCTCAAGTTTCCCAGGTACGAAGTTTGCTAGAGTACTGTTCAGTGATAAGCTCTCCGGCCTGCTCACCACAGGACACGATACTTACCACAGTGGATAAACACTGGGCGTGGGGTACGTACAGGCCAACTGAAACCCTACTGAGGTTAAGAAGAGATAGGGACCAGTAAACAGAAACCTAGGTCAAGGCGTGTGGCTTAGTGAACTCATGTAGCATAAAACAACCAATGCAGATGGATGTCATTTTTCAGTGTTGCTGTGGAAAATCATGATTCTGCACTGTTACTGGTTTGGTAAGTGTAGAAGCATCTGTAGAAAAGCAAATAGAAATCCCAATGAAACTAAGTAAAATTCCTTTTATTTCCATACATAAAAAGATAGTTCATTATGCAAACTTTTAGCAGAATGTCAGCTCTCACTCTCCGCTTTAAATGTGAGCGTGAAATGGACGCACGTTAACGTAGTAAGTTACATCTCTCTGGACCCTTCATGCAACTTCTCTTCATCTCGACCTCCCCAAATTCCCAACACCATTTCAAATATACTACATGGGTATTTCAGTCACAAAGTGTCACCTTTGCTGAGTCTGCAGAATCTTTATCTGCTTCTGGCAAAGCTGCCAATCATGGATTAAGAGGCTAGTTATTTACTGCGTTTTACAGAAGCACCGAGCATCACGTTTCCATCCGTGTGGTAGTGACCCACGACGACATCGATGTGAAAGGGGAGTCGCTCTTTGGATAAGCGCACGTTCCAGAGACAACCAGAGCCCACAGGCCGGGAGTGACCAGCTGGCCTCAGGTACTGGTCCAGGTTTTGTCAGGCAGTGGCACACAGCAAACAGACGGATGACTTTGTAATCAAACTGCAGTGAAATTTAATTATCTTTTTCTACAGACAGCAAAATAAAATTAAACATCTGTCCAGTTGTTCCTTGGCTTATTCTGGAAACTGCAGCTTCAAACGGAATGTTTTACAGCGAGGAGTATCTCCATAAATTAATTTTGGTAGCATTTCCACATATTTTTTAAAAACGGATTCTATGTAGCTTTTATCGAGAGTATAGATTATGATTTAAGTAATCATTTACTTGAACACAATATTGATTCAGACAGGCATAATCTATTCATTCTTCAAAATGAAATGTTTATTCCTATTTCGACACTTCATGCAGATCTTGTTTCTGAGCTGCTGCGTGGATTCAAAGGTTTATCTGTGTAAGTGCTCAGTGCAGTGTCTGGCGCACAGTTAGCTCTCAATATACACTACTTTTATTATTTTTATTAAGCGAGTCAATCCATTTATAATAGAAAAATTAGCTAATGCCCCAGGAGAATAATCAAAAGAATACCCTACAGATGTTATGACTTTTGTTAACGTATGTGCATCCAATATATCCCAAGTTCGTGTATATACAGAACTGTTTTAAATATTACAAGCTATTTTTGAGATCATACTGTATCTGTTGCTCTATGAAGTTTTTGCTATGGCCTTTGGCCTAAAGCAATACAGTTCTGACGGTATCTGTGTATGAGAAAACCATATAAAAACAAAGCACAGAAATCAGGTAACAAAAGCATTTTACTCTAACTTCTCTAACAAAGCAGAGTCACCAGTGTAATTCAGGACAACCATCTCCTTTAGGTTTCTAGTTTTCCTTGATATCATGCAACTTCAAAACCCTTTCATCCCGTCTCCCTTCACATGGAGACATTCCGAGCTGCTACCAAGTTGTCCTCGGAGTGAAACCCACAAGAAAGGGCCGTAAAGCCCTGTGGGTTCGCTGAGGCTGAAACAAACGCAGGGACAGGAGTCAGTTCCCACCCAGTCTCCACGCCCCACAGACACTGATTTCTGCGTGAGTTCTGGACACGAACGTACGTAAGTGATTGGGTAGACAAGTTCTCTGATCTTTAACTATAAGTGACTTTTCCCCCTTCCGGAAAAGAGAACTAACTCAGAACATTAGTCTGTGCTTCAATTAACAAGATGGTGAAGAGAAAAATGCCTGCCGAAAACAGACTCGTCATTCTTCTGGTATCAAATAAATGGAAGGAAAATAAGCTTTTTGTGGAGAGAAAAACATACCCGAGTCTGGCCTATACTATATTAACCTGTAACATAACTACCCAGAGCTCGGGGGGAAAAAACCCCAAAACAAAACCCAACCCTCACCTACACTCTTCAGAGGCAGAAGTCTTCCCCGTGTTGTCCTGGTTAAAAAGGAGTGTGGGAACAGAGCGTGAAACGTCTTCCAGAAGATTAAACATCTAGAACAACTGAACTCAAGATCCCCTCTGAATGTACTAAATTACTCTACAGGCTTCAGAGAAATCACTTCAAGCCATGTGGACTGAGGACAGGCCCACACGCATCTTTACACTAGCAGAGAGACTCCAGTGCACGAGCGCATCTTAGGAGACGGAGCACCCCGTGTCCTTCTGAGGCCTGATGTCTGGTTCTTTCACCGGTTTCACGTCTTCCGGTTTGGGCTTGGTCTAGGGAGAAAGAACAATAGGACGTAAGAACATAAGCTAAGATTCAGAAAATAAACACTAGGTCTTTTTCACTTCTGATTTTTAAAAGTTGCTACATTAGCCCTGGCCAGTTTGGCTCAATGGTTAGAGCGTCAGCCCGCGGACCAGAGAGTCCTGGGTTTGGTTCCCGCTAAGGGCATGTACCTCGGTTGCAGTTTGTCCCCGGCCCTGATTGGGGTCGTATGGGTGGCAGCCAGTTGATGTGACTCTCTCACACTGATGTTTATCTCTCCCCGCCCCGCCCCCCCCCCCCCCCACGCTCTATCTGAAGATAAATGCAAAAATGTCCTTGGGTGAGGATAAAAAAAATAATAATAAAATAAAAGTTGCTACATTAAAAGCTACCTATCAGTTCAATTTAAGACGTCATCAGAAAGCAACCTGTTGGTGAGGATGCAAACCTGTGGGTAGGCAAAAATCAAGCTCATGCCCCTCACACTTTGTCTGAGGGAGACCAAGGAATGAATTTATGCACGAGGAGTCTCTAAGTTTGGAAATCACTCATGATAGTAAAAGGCTACCTCCCAGGGCCTTATTCTGGAGGCAGAACAGGATACAAAGACAGTTATTTTAAGGAATGATGGTGTTTGCATGGGTAGGAAATTATATAAACACCACACAATTTCAAGGGAGGATTCATTTCCACTCCCTTTTTTTCACAGAGCCCTCCCTCTTTTGGAAGTCAAACCTCAACACTTCTTAATCCACCCTCTGACTGAGTACAGCAAGGACTTAGATAGATAAATAAAAGCGTCTTATTTTGCCCCTGGATGATTCCATGGAATGTTGAAATTAGGTCCAGTTTTAGTGACCCTGCACTAAATCAGAAACAGAGAGCGCTGCTATAGCAACAGAAACACGGACAGGCCACGCTCCTTCAACCTGTTCTCCCACACTCTCCTTACAGGAGGCTCTGGCAGATTGGAAACAGGCAAGACAATGTGTTGAAAACAAGGTCAGTTTGGCAGAAAATCAGGAGACAATGAAGCCTTAGAAGTGTGATCTCTGAGAGATTCTACAACACATTTCACCAAGCACTGAACTTAGCTAATTTAACACTGAGACAAACATACAAATCTGCTTATCCAGAGAACAGTATCGAAATGCTAACTCTGAATTCTTTCTCAACGTCTGTGAGTGAATGGAAAAACCCAGTCTCGTACACTGTCGTCCTTGGGCCTTTTCGTGAGGTCAAATGCAGCCAGCGTGTCTGGGGTCCAGTGCGCACTTGTAGGAGGAAATTCGAAAGGCACAGGCTCTACGAGGCCATAATTTGCTTTGAGTTCCAGTTGTGGGGCTTCTGTTGGAATTTTCTGGAAGTAGCTGCAAAAAGCCATTTAAACAGCAGTTTATGCATTTATTCATTAACTCTCTGAGCACCTCTCATGTTCAAGGCCCTGTGAATGGAAAGGCAATTCAATGGTGAAGACGACAGAGATCTTCCTGCCCCCGGCAGCTTCCCGATGAGTGGCTGAGACGGTCAAGGGGACCTGCCAACCACAGCGCAGCGCCCCTGCAGCGGTGGCGGATGCAGAGAACCACGAGCACACACGAGTGGGCTGGGTGGCTTTCCAGGGGAGGGGAAGGACGTTACACTAGGCATGTTCGAGGGAGTGAGCGCTCGGTGTGACCGGATGCAGAACGGAGAGAGAGAAAAGCAGGAACAAAATTGGGGTTAATTTTGCAGCCTGCTGCTGAGAAGTTGTTGTTCTCTTTCCCACGATTATTTGCTGTTGGATCTTTATTGAGACTGCTAAAAAGAAACCTGATAGGAATGAACTTCAAAGAAATGTACAAAGCCTATGTGAAATAAATTCTAGAATGTGACTGAGGGTCAAGTGTGGGAGACCATTTGCATGGCATCCATCTTGTTAAAGTCTGCTCTGCCGGCTCCGGCCCCAGGGCGGGGTCTCTGCGTGCAGTGCCTGCATTCCTCTAGATAATTGTTTACTCCATTCTTTGCTTATTTGTTCCACCTGGGGTATTTACTGGAATTTGCTTCAGGTGGGATACTCATTAACTGTTTCACCTGTTTTTCCCCTATATAGTATGTGAACTCCCCCTAATAAACGAGACTTGATCAGAATCCTGTCTTGTCTCCATTTCTCGTGTCTCTTGTCCCTCCTCATCCTCACGCCCCCTCTAGAGTCCTCGTTGCTCGACTGCGGGCCGGGTCAGTCAAGAAGAGCTCTCACTGCATGGAGAGAGGTCACTGCTTCTGCGTGGGAAGCCACTACCATGATGAAGGCAGATTTATCCTCTGCACGCCACTCCCCAGTTCTTTCATATTGAGCACTTTGCTTTCCTATTTCCAATGATCTCATAATTTTTAAATGGGAACTTTAAAAATCTTAAAAAAAAAAAAATGTATCTACCAACCTACATAGGTGGTTGATCTACAGTTTGAACAATGCTGATTTAACAACAAACCTGACAGAAAATTAATTTTCCTGCTGTGTAGGGGCCGGCACCGGAGTGAGATGACAGCAGAGGGACCCGTGAAGACGTATGGGGCACACGGAGAGAGAGTGGCAGGAGCAGAAACCTGGGACAGTACACGGGGCTCTGTGCTAACAATTCACGCTCACCTTTGAAAACCTGCTCTTACACATCATCATCAGAAGCTATATAAACGTTAAGTCCAACACAAGTGAACTTTACTACCAATTTAAAGATAAGATTACTGCCAATCTTAATTGCAATCTGACATATGACCCTTGGAAAGAGATCAATGCATACAGTCCGCCCTCCTCATCTGCGGATCCCCACCATAGATTGAAGTTACAAGTATTTATCTAAACAAATCTGTGTGTATGTGGACCAAAGCGGCCCAAACCTGCTTTTTTCAAGAGTCAACTGCACACTATTATTAAGATTACTAAGATAATACTAAGGTACTCACATGAACCCATTCTCCCTCTGACATTTTTCTAGGGTATTCCTCACAAGATTTCCAAGTTTCCTAAAGAACAAGTGTCCTGAAGGCTTGACTGTTGGTCCAGGTCCTTTGGTTTCCCCGTATTCTTTGCATAATGCTTCTGCCTTTGCATAGACTGCATGTGAAAGGGATATAAAGTCATTTGCTTATAACTCATTATTGACTATTTGTACCCAAAAGGTTTGAGTCAGAGACGGGGAATTTTCCTGCTCTGTACCTAGTGTGACAGCAAAACCAGTAACAGAGCAGGGGAAAGAGGGCCCTCCTCTAGCCTCTAGGTTTCTGAAACATTCTTTCCTTTATCCAATTCCCATTCCTTTTCATGAACTCAGCCAAAATCTCTTTTAACTGCCTTTCCCCTTTATCATAAAACATTTGTTTCTAAAAAGGGAGTTAAGATTCTGGCAGGAATACTTACATTTTTCTGCTTCTTGGAGAGACCTGATTGCTTCACCACATTTATCACTGGCCAGCAAAGTCTGACCGTGGTAACAGTAAGCCTGATAAAAGATATACATTTCATTCACTCTTCACAAATGATGCTTTCCACTACCATTGCTTTATATATGCATCATAAGTCACTGTCTTTGTCCACCGTTTGAAATATCAATGCAATCCCTTACATTTATTTACTTAAATACCACCTCCCCCCATTAGTTTGAAAAGTGGAATTACGTCAAACCTTTGGGCCAAACTAGTCTTTTAACCATGGGCTGAGAGCAAAACACATTTGCTGAAACCTGTTCTAAAATTAGGGCACTATAGATAAAGTAGGGAAAACACTGTGCTAATGGAGAAGGAGAGACGACTGAAGTTAGGACCAAATAGGTTTTAAGAGAAACGTATTGGCACGAAATCGAACATGTTCACTCTTTAAAGGTCTACATCAATGAGGATAGCACACACGGTCCTTTGCAGTATGCTTGAAAACAGATTATAAGGTATAAAAAACAAAAAAACTACCTAGATCTGAAAAATGTTTTCTAAATTGATTTCAGAGAGAGGGAGGGAGAGAGAGAAACATCAACTGATCTGTTGCCTCCCATATGCATCCCAACTGGGGATCAAACCAGCAACCTAGATAATATGTGCCATGACAGGAAATCAAACCCGCCACCTTTCGGTGTCACTCTAACCAAATGAGCCACAGTGGCCATGGCAATGTTTGGTGGGTACAAGAGACAAGAAAGTAACTTTCAAATGAGTGCTTATTAATGGTTCTTCACCAATGCTGGTGATATACTGCATGCTATGTCCTAAGATTAGAATTAGTAACTATCTTTCTACAGGATGAAATGAGAAAATTCTTATTACGTATGCAAAAGGTTCCAGCTTAAAAGTGGGCTTAAGTGAGCCCTGGTCGGTTTGGCTCAGCAGTTAAAGCACTGGCCCGCAGACCAAAGGATCATGGGTTCGACTGCCCATCAAGGGCACATACCTGGGTTGCAAGTTTGACCCCCAGCCCCAGTCGGAATTGTGCAGGAGGCATCCTATCGATGTTTCTCTCTCTCTCTCTCTCTCTCTCTCTCTCTCTCCCCTCTCTCTCTCCCTCCCTCCCTCCCTTCCACTCTATCTAAAAATCAATGGAAAAATATCTTCCGGTGAGGATTACCACCACCACCCAAAAGTGGGTTTATTCATCTCCTTCCATCCACTGTAGTTCACCATGGCTGGCTGCAGGGATGGCCAGCAAACATTTTCTGAAAACTGTCCATTATTTGTAAAACACTAATGAAGGGTCAGGAGAGATGAGACACTTGGCACTGAAGGCGCTGGAGGGACAGTAATTTACATTGTGTTAGGGTTAGAAATACTTACATAAGCTGTGTAGAAGCACATTTTCAAGAGAAGGTATTTTCTCCATTTAGCAGAGTATGCTGGCTCCAAACTGGATAAAGTATGATCTAAAGTTACATTTTAAAAAGCAAAATATCATTTCACCCTGATTCACTAGAAGACTTTTAGTTCATGTGTTCAGATGCTAAAAACAGAATGACAGTCTAAAACTCAAGCATTTACACATTTTTAAAAAAAACCTCACTTTATTTCAAGTGATTATTATTCCAATAACTATATAATAAAATTGGTTAAATACTAGGAACCCTCTTTGATTTGATGGTTTATGTAACTTAGGTTTAACATAATAATAAAAATAGATACAACTAAGAACTTCAAGATAAATATGAATTATACTACTATATAATCTATTTTTTTAACTTACATAGCAATGCAAAGAGCATCCTAGTCACCCAGTCAGAAACATGAAGGCCACTGTCATTCACCACCCGTCACTGAATCTCGTACGAAACACACACATTCACATCCTGCCGCATCTCTCAAATCTGTTTTTCCCTCTCCATTTGCTACTTTGCTGTCTTTGTCAAAGCTCTCATTGCTTTCTCCTTAGACTATGATCATCTTTCCTAAGTGCTAAGTAGAGTCAGCCCACTACTCCTTCACCTGGCACACCCATTTCTCATCTTACAACCAGAGACCTTTCTAAAATTCAAATCCAACCAAGCCAGATTTCCTTTATATCCTTTAAGGAGCCCCAAACATTCACCGAATAAAGGACAAACTTCTCAGATAGGCTTCAAACCAATTCATGATCTCACATGCATCTTTTCCTAACCTTTCCTTCCCACACTCATCCTGTGTTTTAGCCAAGAACATCTGTCCAAAGGTCCCACAAGGAGCTAAGTTCCTGTGTATCTCTACATACTGCAGAATGTTCTCCTCTTCCCAACAGTAAAGATTCCTAGCAAACTCAGAACTTCTATTTGTACTTCAAAATAAAGCTAAAACACCATCTCCCTGTGGGAAGCCTTCTCTAGCATGCCCAGATCCTTCAGGTTTTTCTGTCTGTCACCGCTGTGACATCTTATTAGAAGCCATAATAATGTGTTTGTCCCCTTCCCTAGACTGTGAATCTATACTGATCTTTATATACCCAGCATAAAAAATAGTAACCTTCCCATAAACAGAAACATGTACGTGTTTCCTAACTAAGTGGATGAAAGAAAAATAAACTAATGAGAATACCAGAGTTCTAGTACAGCTTCCCATCTGCTAGCAGTTAAATTATGGATCAGTTACATTAATTCTCTGGATTTTAGTTTCTTGTCTCACTAAGGGTAAGTAACTATAAGGTTGTTATAAAGACAAAAAAATTTCAAAAGCAAAACAGCTGTGTAATTATTAGACATAACTGGCTTAAATAGTATAGTACTGTCCTTTCCACTAGAAGCTACACAGCGATATTAACTATGAACAGCTCTAATTCTTTTAAGCACAATTCATAAAAATAATGCAGATATTATTCCAATTTTGCAAATAATGAAGGATCTGAGAATCTTTTTGATTTGTTTATTCCCTAGTCCAGAGGTTAATCTGGAAAGCTGAAGACCAAAATGTAACAACAGAATTACAGACTCACCAGCTTTTTGATAGAAATTGGCTGTTTCATAGGCCAGCGCAGCTATGAGCCCGGGAGCATGCTTCAGCTCGATTGCGCGAGCAATTGTTACTGTGACCAAAACACAAGCAAATAAATCTAAGTTCAACTGTGACAGCAAGACAGTCCAACAATCTATTTGGGGTCTGGCAGTTTGTTAAGTTTTACATGAAAAGTAAGCTAGAGAGAATGCAACACAAACTGAGCTTGTTGGTTCTGACACTATTTCTTTATATAAATCACTAGCCAGTTACCAGCTAATCACGAAAAATTACTACTATAAAACAGTATGATGTGAGAGGAAACAAATACAGGGTTCTAGAATAAAGCAAAACAAAGCCTACAAAGTTTCTTTATTGTTTTCATCTAAGTCTTCATTTATTTCCTGCCATTGAAAGGTGATTTCAAAGCAAGCCAAACAGTGAGAGAAGAAAAGTCCTGAGCAAGGTCGAGGAGGACAGAATTATACGCTGTCAGAAACAGCATGAGATTGCCCTGGCAGGTTCGGCTCAGTGGGTCGAGCATCGGCCCATCGAACACCGAGTCACAAGTTCGATTCCGGGCAAGGGCACGAACCTCAGTTGCGGTTTGTCCCCGGCCTGGTCAGGGTCATGCAGGAGGGATAACAAAAGTTGATGTGTCTCTCTCATGTTGATGTTTCTCTCTCTCTCTCCCTCCCCCCATCCCACTCTATCTGATGATAAATAGAAAAATATCCTCGGGTGAGGATTAAAAAAAAAAAGAAAAGAAACAGCATGAGCTCCAATCCTGTTAAAAAGCACTATGAAACCTTGAGGCCTTTTCCTAACTAAAACTGAAGGCAAATGCTACAGGGAAAATTATTCCTCACTATATATTTTTCAAAACCTGAAACTTGATTCCAGCTAATTCTGATTTTTAAAACACATTCTTTTTGGCCCTGCCCAAGCAGCTCCACTGGTTAGAGCATCATCCCGATATGCCGAGGTTGTAGGTTCAATCCCCAGTCAGGGCACATACAGGAAACAACCAATGAAGGCATAAATAAGTGGAACAAAAAAATCGATTTTGTTTCTCTCTCCCTTCCCCTCTGAAATAAATAAATTCACTAAAAACAATAACAATATTTTCTTAAAAAGCCAATACAAACTGTCTTCAGCAAAACAAGATCTTAAGATGCTTAGGACACCTTCCTGGGCTTCGGCCTGGCACTGGATGAGGTAAGCTTCCAGCAGACGCGCTTCCAAATCTCTCCCCTTTTCTGCAGGTGTGATGAGCTTTGGGATCTGGCTTTCCTGAAAGAGGAGGAAAGAAGGAAAGAAAAAGCCAAATTTATTTTAACCCAGTTGTGAGAGAGGAAGAAAAATGAAAACTGAAACATTCTGTTTGGGGAGTTACCAGAAATTTAGGGTATTAACAAAAAAAGGTGTTAAAAAAAAGGACAATACTCAGCTTACAGAGAATAAAAACTCCCGTATACTAAAACTTTTAGAGCTTTTTATAAACTTTTGTAAAATAAGATTCCACAGCAAAATCCGGGTCACGCAGATTGGTTTGATGCGCGAGTCCTGTTTTCACCGAAGCAAACACTCGCCCGCCGCAGTCCCCAAGCCCTTCACGGGCAGCAGCGCCGCTCCTCACACTAACCACGAACGGCAGGCACAAAGACACTACAGTTCTGTGGCCACCTCAGGGTCGCAACTTTCTAACCAGTGTAAAAGCATCTTATTTTCTCATAAGAAAACCCAACACTGGTCTCCAGGAAACAGTGATTTAATTAGAATGAGGTGCGGGTAATTCTGGTTAGAAATAACTTTTAATCTTTCCCTAATTCCCATCACATCTTCAGGTAATTCAATATAATTAGTGTGCATCGATCGGCCCTCTAGTGTTCTGAGATACAGAGAAAACACTCAGAAGCTCAGCTGCATAGAACCGAGACTGCTCCTGGCCCCGGCTGCAGACAGCAGTGAGAAATGGTAAGAACCAGCAATTCTGGTGCTTTGCTTTCTGCCTTTTAAGAAGAAAAATAAACATTGAATTACAACGTGAATTTTCTCATTGCAAAATTCACTGATTTTTAAAAACTGAGACATATACTATTCCACAACTGGCCGCACTCACAAGGTACTCGACACAAGGAAACCAGCACACACAAGAGTACGCTTTACATAATAATGCCCCTCCGAGAAGTACATAAACATTATTCAAGAACAAAAGCATTAGAAATAAATAAAAATTATTCAAGAATGAAAGCATTACGAGACCAGTGCTCTAACCCCTGAGCTACGGAGCCTCAGCTCAAGAATGAAAGCATTAGAAAAATATTTTATTATCATTTTACCTTTAAATGTTTGAAAATTCCAGCTGCAATTTTCAGGCTTCGATGGACCTCTTTTGCTTCCTCTTCTGTTATGCTTAAAGATAGTGTTTACATTACTTAGAAGATAAATCCCATTTCTGGTGTTAAAACCAACAATACATTCTCATAAAACCAAACTAGTCATTTGTGTTTCTCACCACTAGTTTTGTTCCTTTTAGAAAATCTAATTTGGCATTTAACAGATGCACATAAGAAATATCCAAAGAGAAGAAACTACAAACGAGAAGAGAAACCCTGTCTAGAAGTCTGAACAAAGCCTTCTTGTTTCCCGTTCCAGATAATCTGTGCATAAACAGGCATAAAATATTATACACTTCGTGCGTGCACACACGTGACAAACACATAAATACATGATATCACTACTCTGCTCATTTCAATCACTTAAATTACCTTAGAAATAATTTTACATCAGCCCACATAATTCTTTTTTTTTTTTTAACTGAATTTATTGGGGGTAACATTGGTTAATAAAATTATATAGGTTTCAGGTGTATAATTCTTTTTTTTTTTTATATCCTCATCCAAGGACACTTTTACATTTATCCTCAGACAGAGTGTGGGGGGGGAATGGATGTGAGAGAGACACACTGACTGGCTGCCACCTGCACGACTCCATCCGAGGCCAGGGACAAACCGCAACTGAGGTACGTGCCCTTGGCCAGAATCGAACCCAGGACTCCTGGTCCGCGGGCCGATGCTCTAACTGCTAAGCCAAATTGGTCAGGGCTCAGGTGTACAATTCTTTACTACAGCCTCTGTATAATGTATTGTGTGTTCACTACCCCAAGTAAAGTTTCCTTCCATCCACTTCATTTTTTTTAAATCCTCACCCAAGGATATTTTTCCATTGATTTTTTAGATGAAGTGGAAGGGAGAGAAACACCGATGTGAGAGAGACATACTGCTTGGTTGCCTCCCCCAGGACCCCGACCAGGCCGAGGGATCGAACCAGAAATCCTTCAGTCCGCAGGCCAACGCTCTAACCACTGAGCCAAACCAGCCAGGGTATCAGCAAATTTTTTGCATGCTTATAAGCCTCTGTATTTCTTTTTCTGTGAATTGTCAGTTTATGTTCTTCACTTACTTTCATTTGATTTGTTAGTCTTTTCCTTACTGATTTCTAAGAATATACATCACGAAAATAATTTGTAATATGCACTGCACTCTTTTTGACCCATCTGTCATTTTTAAAATTCTGTTTCTGGTATTTTTACGCAATCAAATGTTCAATCTTTTCCTTTTCTTGGAGTTTTATTTAGAAAGACCTTCCCCATGGCAAGATTATTAATGTTTTTTTTCCCTTCTGATAGTGGGCTCCATAATTCTGATACTTAAGTACTAACATTATGAGTAAACCTCTCACTTATCAGAGTGGTACTTTTCATCGACAGCCTAGACTTTTTAATAACAAAACTCCACATACTGGAAAAATGACACATATGCATAAAAACCGTCCCCCTTTGACTTACTTCTCTTTCCCAGCCAGTCTTGAGGCATATTTGCTGTACCACAAAGCTACATTAAATCCCATGGAAATTAATTCAAAAACAGCATCCTGCTGGGCACTAGAATCATAAACAGGATTATTAAGGTCTATCAATTATTAAGACATCTCTACATGAGGCCTACTGTACTCAAAATGAGAGAACTAAATGCTAAATGAAAAATGAAGAAAACAGTCCTTGTGTTGAACATAGATGGGGAAATAAGACACATGTAATTAACAATGAATGACTAAACACAATGGCCTAGTATGTACTCCATAACAATAAGCATGAAACTGGTAATTGTTCTCCAAGATTACGGTACACAGGATAGCTGTGAAAACACAGATTTCTGGGACTTAACCCGCGTCGGAAAGTCTGGGAGGGGCCCAGGATCTGCATTTTTAACAAGTCCCAGTTAATTCTGGAGCTGGTGGTTCTTACACCACATTTTAAGAAAATGGAATTCAGAGGAGAGATTGCTTCAGGCTAGAATAACTGCAGGAGGCTCAGTGGCATTCAGAGTCTGAAGGGCGCCCTGAGCGGTGACGGCTGGGAGGGCAGCAGGAGCGCGTCCCAGGTAAGGGGCTGCTGCTGCTGGAGCACAAGAAGGTGTGAAGATCTTCTGACAGCAGAGACCTGCTAGCTTGACCGGAGCAGATGGTTTGTAAAAAGAAATCAAGAAACAGAGGCAAAAAGCCAAGCTGAAAAGAAAATGGAGATGGTTCCGAGCTAAGCCAATCAGCACAGTACCCCAAAAAGGTCTTAAAATCAAGTATATTTTATATCTTGTTTCCTTCAGATTCTATTACTAAATATGACACAAAGATGACAAAAGCTTATTAAGCAAATAACACTAAGTTTTAATCACTACTTCTGCTAAGACCCTGAAAATTCCTTACACACTATCTCATTTATCTCAAATGATGAAGAAAGCAAAGCACCCTTATTTTACATACCCAATACTAATAAAAAAAACTACCCAAAAAGAAGAAACTAGAATCATGATTCTACTTTGTTGCCTACATCTTAAAAGGAATAGAGACATAGAAACTTTTTAGATTAAAACAACAAAAAAAGATGTGTTATAAAACATATGGTAATTCAAAAATAACTGATAAACTACCCTAATATGTTATAAAAAATGATAATTATGAACAAACTATCCTGCTGAAAAAAATTAAATGCATAGTTTAATAGCTTATTGTTTTCAGCACTATAATCCTTCAAATGAATTACCTCTGGTAATCTAGTAGGCATCTCTAACTTATAATTACTTTCATTTATTTATTTCTCTTTATTGATTTTAGAGAGAGGAAGACAGAGACAGAAACATCAATGAGAAAGAACATCAACTGGCTGCCTCCTGCATGCCCCCCACTGGGGATCAGGCCCACAACCTGGACACCTGCCCTGACTGGGAATCGAACCGGAGACCTCTTGGTGCATGGGTCGACACTCAACCACTGAGCCACACCAGCTGGTCTTATAACTACTTTTAAATAATAAAATAGTTTTGCTAATTTATAGTCTCATGGATAATTCTCTTTTTCCCCCTTCATTTATTTCAATCTTCCTCACTCCCAAATATTCCACTTTTACTAAACCACATCTAAGTAGCAATCGGAGTACAGAGTTGAAAAAACATTTTTAGAAAAGATATAGTCATTCTATACTAGAGCATTTTCTATTGCATATAAATAGCAGTCAAGAATAAAGTTACTTAAAAATCTTGGAGGTACTGAACAGTCAGTATTGTTACTTGCGGCCTTCATCACATAAGTCTGCACTGGCTCATAAAACCGTGCTGGAAGCGCCGCTCCCGGTCACCATCTGGCACAGTGGGGAGCGGGCCAAACGTGTGTAACGCAAAAACCTCGGGATCTGTCCAAGTTTTCTAATGTAATAATGATAAAGGGCTGATTCTTTTTAAAAGTCTTAAGGAATAATATTCCTTAATTTAGATAAAGTACAAAGGAGTCACAGAAAGAAAACCAGAACACGAGGACTTGGAAAACCTTAGTATCCCAGAATATTAAAATGTGGAAAGGATCTATAGTCCCCAACTTCCAACGCAATTTATGAATTCTACACACAACGTTCTCAAGGAAGGAAGGAAACTAACATTTACTGAATGTCTGTTATGTGCCTAGCATTGTACTAGTCACTCAGCAGAACTTTTCCTGTTCTGTTCCTCATAGAAGCCCTCTACCTGTAACCCCAGCACGCAGTGGAAGCAGCGGATGCTCACGCCAGAAGCCCCGAGACTGCATCTAGTCAGGTGTGACTCCAAAGTCCACGCTCCTGCCCATCTAACGCCTGTCCTGGTCTTTTTCAGCCACCTCCATGACCTTCCCTTCCGATTTTAGAAAGCGCAAAGTCTAAAGCAAACTGAGATAAAAGATACACAACCATTTAAATAGCCCAGTGGTGTAAAAGAAAAGTAGTCAAGTAAAAATTTAGCACCATAAAGACCTGCTTCCTGTTAGAATTCGATCTCTTCTAATTAGTTTCAAGTGAGTGACAAGAAAGTTCTAAGGGAAAGTTTTTAAAAGAGCAGGATGGAAGAGAAATTAGGAAGAAAACAAACACCGTGAGTCAGAAGAGTATGGAGAAGGGGTGGAATTGGGGAGAAAGAGAGAAAGAAACAGACTGACCAAAGACATCTGAATTATTCATCAGAAAAGAAAAGTAGGGGAAAAACCAAATTCTGCTCTGCTTGAATGTGGGCAAAGTCTGAAAGCTAGCTCCGGGTTCCAAATCCTCAAACTATGCTGTGTGTGTTATTAAAAGTCAGGGCTGCTCAATTCTAGTTGATTATTCAAAAACAGATTTGGTCCAGGAGAAACACTATATTTTTACTTAATAGAATATATATTAAGAGTTTAGGTGAAAATTTTAAAGTTAATTTCCTGGTAAGAGAAAAGGCTGATCAGATCTTTCATTTCTTCAAACACAGTGGCTATGAGTTAAACACTGGCTAAATAGTTAGGAAAATGGCTTCAATGTAGTACTATTAGTGCTGCCTACCTTGGAATCTGTCCTTGTAATGTATCGGTCCACTTGAAATTTTGAATATATCGTAACTTACTTTCTTGGCTAGATTCATCCAATGAATTTATAAAACCTATAAAGGGGTATAAAACATTTCGGTTTTAGAAGCACTATCAAGTACTCTATTTAGAAAGTTTTTCAGATAATGACTTTTTCAGGTACCTGAATGAAACTCCTAACCCCTCTCTCCCTTTCTTTTTTTTTGGGGGGGGAATGGAGGGGGGTTAATCTTCACCAGAGGATATTTTTCCACTGATTTTTAGATAGAGTAGAAGGGAGGGAGGGGGGGGAGAGAGAAGTATCATTGTGAGAGAGATACATCAATTGGATGCCTCCCACACGACACTGACCAGAGCCAGGGATGGAACCTGCAACCCAGGTACGTGCCCTTGACCGGGAATCAAACCCAAGACCCTTTGGTCCAAGGGCCAACGAGATAACTTCTGTCTGAGCCTAAGGGGCCAGGGCCCCTTTCTCTCTTTCTATATTTCACACCTTCTCCTAAGATAACACAATATAAAATGTGTACATTTAATTTTCAAAATGTTAGAAAGACCACATACCACCATTATGTTCTCACATTTCTGAACCTCAAGTATAGTAAAGAATATAACCTAGAAGACTATTCAAATTTGAAAAGTCTAAGAATTAAATGTGAACTTCTGCATTCTTATCTTTTAAAAACTCCAAAGTTCAAATAAATAACTAACCTTGTAAAAGTGAAAAATATGAATCTGCTGCACTCTTCATCATTTCTGGATTACAGCTCAAATCAGTGAACAATTCAAGCAGCCGCGCTCTGGATGATCTCAAGTCGCTTAAGTGAGACAAAGACAGTCAAGTGAAGTAAACTGTGTTACAATGAATCTACGTAAAAATATGTAAAAACACCCGACACACACACATCCCTCTAAGCCAGTGGTTCTCAACCTTCCTAATGCTGCGACCCTTTAATGCAGCTCCTCATGCTGTCTGTGGGCGCGTCTGCATGTGGGCGGACCCGCCTGGAGAGGATAGGGGAGCGGGGTCTCAGTTCCTAAGACCATCAGAAATATGTGTTTTCTAATGGTCTTAGGTGACCCCTGTGAAAGGGTTGTTCGACCCCCAAAGGGGTCACGACCCACAGGTTGAGAACCACTGCTCTAAGGTATTAAGTGCAGGGAAATGAATTTAATTAGGACTAACACTGGAGGTAACTGAAATTTCTAGTAACACTTGCTTTAAAAGTTGTACTAAAATAAACTCAGTCCAAATAAAGGGATAAATCATAGATATAATATGTAATAAAAATATATAGCAAGTTTTAATTTAAAAAATTAAATACAAGCACTTAAGATGGAAGAAACGAATTAAGAATGAGTAAACTAAACTGATCAGTTCAAAACAAAATCTTGAAAAATGGAAATTGAACATGTTTGTGCATGATTCTAACATCTGCCTGAAATTTCAAAATTTGACATGACAAAATATACTTTAAGTAGAAACCCAAATTTTAAAAATGAAATCACATTCTATAATATACACATAAAGAACACGTAAAAACACATGGCCGTCTGTCATTTTTCAATGTTTCCCTTCTATTTTAATTCTAATTCCCTGCAGCAATAAATGCTGCTGGTCCACCATTCTCCTTGAAATTCTTTTCTCCCCTGATTCCAATAACTCTAAATTTTCCAGCTTTTCCTCTTATGTCTAAAGGTTTCTTCTGTATTTTTTTCTATGCCCCCTTCTAATTCCCACCTCCCAAAATGTTCAGTCTCTGGCTTTTCGCTTTTCTCTCTTCTGAAGTCTCACCTACTAGTGCAACTTTCTATCCAATCCTAGATGTACCTCATCAGCTCCAACTTGGTCCTGTGCCAGTTCCACATCTAATTTCAGAAGGCACTTGCTTAGTGAGGGTTCCAGAAATCACATTACACTGACAATGACTAAGGACACTTGTGTGCAAATGACTAAAGAAAGACTAAATTAAATTGTAAGCACCAAGAGAGTATGGACTGTATACCTATAATTTAGTAGGTGCCTAGACAAATCATGCACTCAAAATTCTTTGTTGAGGAAAAGAATACTAACATTTTAACTGTTTTAAGATTGAAAAGGGCTGTAACATAGCAGTGCCATTTAAACAGAAAACTGGGCACAGACTTAATCTTGAATGGTCTAGGCTAGATGGAGTGTTTATTCATTAGTACTAGCACTGAGGAGACTTACTCCAAGAAAATACAGACTAACAGTTACAGACAACTGACCCGAAATGGGATGGGCTACCTTATGAATTTGTCATTGTTAAACCATTTAACTAGAAGCTGGGAAGAAATCATTCCTGAAGTAGGAGAACATTTGAATTCTTAAGGCCTATTCTAGACTCATAGTTTGTTAGCTATTTCCAGTAGGAGCTCAATCATCTGCAACCCAACTTGTATAAACTTATAGTCACTTTAAAATTACAGAATTTGAGGAAAGTGTACCTTGGAAATATCTAATTTAGGTTAGTCATTTTATAAATGAGTAATTAGACTCGAAGAAGTTAAAAGACTTGCCCAATACTACAGATAAAACAGTTAATCTGAGACTGACCTTTAGGAGTCTAAGATCAGCACTAGCAAAATAGAACTTGTAACTTTTCTCTGTATGGCCTACAGCTTATTTTTGTTCAAATGAACAAAGAAGAATATGCACCAATGACTGTATGTAGCCCATAAAGCCTAAAATACCTATTTAGCCATATAAAGAAAAAGTCTGCCAACCTCTGGTCTAGATTAATAAGCCAGTTTTTCTACCTTTTGCTCCAATTACTTCTTCCCACAAAAAAGCAGCATCTCTCTTGATTTTCCTTTACTGGTACCAACAATGTCTTGATCACCTAGGTTTTATATGTCATATAGAATGAATCCTTTTCAACTTCCCAGAGCAAATCGGTCAATCTGGCCAGATGACCCCTCCTTTGAAATATCTATTGCATCTTTCTCTTTTGTTCCAGTCAAACTCCTCTAGAACAAAGGCTTTCCCGACAGACATGACTTATCTTCTCCCTTCTTACTATCTATAGAAGGAATCAGCAAACTTTTCTTGTAAAGGGCTGAATGTAAATATTTTAAGGTTTCTGGGTCATCTAAGTCTGGGTAGGAACTACTGTTGTAGAGAAGAGAAGGCAAAAGCAGCCTTAGGCAATATGTAAATAAATGGTGGTGAAGCAGCTATGTGCCAATGAAACTTTATTTATAAAAGCAAGCAGTGGGTGAAATCTGCTGAACATGGTTTGCCAACCCCTGATATAAGCTATATTTATTTAAACTCCTTTCTCCTATAGGAACAGTCTGAAGGCTAATCAGGTCATAGGGTCAGAACTCAATGAATTTACTATCTAGCCAACTAACAATACCCATATATGACTTTGTGGAGTCTCTTGTACTATTACAATACATATCTTAACTCTTTTATCGTGATTGCTTTAGCTTCTCTGGGACTCACTAATCGAAAATTAAGAAACCTGGCTTGATGACTGCCAAAGTTTAAGAAATCTATAATTTAACTCTTCACATCATTTATAAGTTTGTAAGGAGTCGCCCTGGCCGGTTTGGCTCAGTGGTTGGAGCAATGGCCTGTGGACCAGAGAGTCCAGGGTTCAGTTCCCACTAGGGGCACATACTAAAAAAAAAAAAAAAAGTTTGTAAGGAGCCTAAGGTTAGGGACAGTGTATTACATACTTCTGGACTGACCACGGGACCTATATAAGTACCTGGTATCCAAGGGTGGCTCAATTAATAATCGTTGAGATTGACTAAAACTTACCTGCAAATTTTTGAAGCAGCAGGACTAGTGACTACGCCATAGTAGTTAAAGGAAACAGGAGCTGTGGCTTTTAATGGGTTTCTATGAAACCAATGTGTCATTTTCTTCAAATGTTTCCTATAAACAAAAATGTACAAAAGTTAAATAAACAATCTAAATAGTATTACTTTTAAAATAAAATTTTACGCCCTGGCCAGTTTTGCTCAGCGGTTAGAGTGTCAGCCTGCGGTCCGGAGAGACCCGGGTTTGGTTCCCGCTAAGGGCATGTACCTCGGTTGCAGTTTGTCCCTGGCCCTGGTTGGGTCGTGTGGGTGGCAACCACTTGATGTGTCCCTTTCACATCGATGTTTCTATCTCTCTCTCTCTCTCTCTCCCTCCCACTCTATCTGAACAAAATATCGAAAAAATATCCTCGGGTGAGGATAAAAAATAAATAAAGAAATAAAATAAAATTTTACTATAAGATGTATACATATTTATATAAAAAATATATATAAATAAAACGCTTCATTGCTATAAGTCAATCTTATTTTGTCTATTTATGGTAGTCTATGTTTAGATCAGGCCTATTAAAAAAACTAATTTTCATGATTAAAAAATGACATTTAACCAAGAAATTCTGACAAGGTTTAATGAACTTGAAGGGATTATACAATGTTGCTGATCAATTTTTCTTAATGGGAAAAACAACCCGGCTACACAGGGGGTGAAATACCTACTTTTAGCACCTCCCTTACCTATTTAATTATTCACTACAAAATCAGTTTTGGAGAGCACTAGATATTTAATGAAGACAAAATGCATTGTGTTCTCAATGAGAAACGGGGCAAATTCACTTATGACTCAAAACATTTAACAAGTCTTTTAAATATACATAAAATCTTCTAAACGTCATCGAGGTAAACATCCTTTTAACGTAAGTAAACTAATACAGCCTCTACGTGCAGGTAAATCAAGCCTTCCAGAGACAATGGTACACAATACACTTGATTTTGCAGCAGCAAATTTTCTACCAATACTCTTTTAAGGCAGCTTCCTACTTCCTGGATGAAATGTCTTAAGTTTATCTTTGTACTGTAGTCTCTGTTCCATCTTTCCCTTTCCCTTCCCGAGACCCGGCGCTCAGTTTCCCGGAATTCCGAGGGTGGGGTAGAGGGACACACCTACCCGCAGGTGCAAGGGTACCTTGCAGGGGTGGGGAACGTCTGGCCCTCCGCCGAAATCAATACCAGCTAACATCACACGCCTCGCCAAATTAGCCGGAGAAAACACAGCAGGCTAATGTTTTAAGTTGATACTTCTGTATGGCTCGGGGATGATGTTATAACTATCCAAACGGCCTTTGGCAGAAAAAAGGTTCCCCCCAGTGTGAGCCACCAGTACAACAGCCGGGTGGAGGCTCGATCACTGACAAGGGTCCCCCACTCCGGGGGCCCCGGGTCCCGAGAGGAGCCTACCTGAGCGGCGCCCCAGCCCGGAGCGTGCACTTCCTGTTTACCACCAGCCTCTTCCGCCGGTGCCCGTCCCAATCCCGGCCCGGAAGGCGATCTGCGCAGGCGCCAACCCTAGCGCGCCCCTTCCCAGCAGGCATTTTTGTGGAAAGCCGATCCATCCACCCAGCCTGGGGCCAACGGCCGCTCAGCGGACCCCCATTTCGCTAGCAGTCCCCCACGCCCGGGGAGGCGCGGGCAAGGGGACTCCGCGAATCTGTTCGTACTGTTGATTCTCAGGGCCAAAGTGGATTTTCCCTTTCTTTGGTGTCAAGGTATTAAAAGGAGACGTCCGGGGATCACTATCCGGGAATGTATGGAGACTGTGTGAAAGGGGGTGACCCCACTGTTTGGGAGTCCAGGGAGGCGACAAGGGCAGGGGTATTACGGGAAGCGCCCACCCTCCCGACCTACCGGATTCCTCGGAGTCGGGCAGCAGTGCTCCTCAGAGAAGAAAGGCCGTGTCCGGTCGGCCCGCGAGAAAGGGCGGGAGGCGGAGAACAGGCTACTGAGCCGGAGCGACCGGCAACCGGGCCTGCGCCGAGCCGGCGTCATGTGACCGGGCGGCCATGACAGCTTCCGCGGCGGCGTGCGGGCCGCTGGGGGGCGCAGGCTGCCGCGTGGTCGCCGCCCCGGCGAGCGCCGATCCCGAGCCCTTTCGCCGCTGCTCCGCCCTCGTCTTTCCTCCCCAGCGGCAGCCCCGTCTCCAGAGAGGCCGGGCCGAGGCCTCCCCAGCCGGGGGAGATGCCGCAGTAGCGCCCGCGGCCGCTGGGGGCGCGGGGCGGCCTCAACCTAACGCGGGGCGGGGCCTCGGGGGCGGGGCCGCGGCGGGGCGGCCGCCCCCGAGCCGCAAAGTTTGGCTGTGGCGGCAAATGGGCTTGGGCGGCTCCTCGGCGGGTGGCGGTGGTGGCCGTAGCGGTTCCTCCCGGCCCTGTTAATGTCGGGGCCAGGCCCGGGGAGGATGGCGCCCTAGAGCCCGGCCTCACTGGGGTCGGGGCGGGAGGGGTCGGGGTGGGCACCGGCCATGTCGGAGGTGACCCGGAGTCTGCTGCAGCGCTGGGGCGCCAGCTTGAGGAGAGGCGCCGACTTCGACTCCTGGGGCCAGCTGGTGGAGGCGATAGACGAGTATCAGATGTGAGTGACTAACGGCCGGCGCGGGCCGGGCCGGCGGCAGCGGGCCGCCTCCCCCCGTTTCTGTCGGGCTCGCTCATCCCTGTCTCTGCAGCCAAGGCGTCTCGGGCGGGGCCCCGCGGGCACCGGGGCTGAGATCGCCCGGCCGAGGGGCTGCCCCGGGGAGCACGACCCGCGCCCCGACTGCTCGCCCCCTCCCCTCTCCGCCTCCACCGGGCCGGTTCCCAGGCAACAGGTAGCCCTTGTTCCCCGGGGCGCCGGCCCCATCAGGCTACCTCTTCGCTCCTTCCACCGTCTCACGGGTCCCCCGACCTGCAGTCAGTTTCTTTTCCTGCTTTCCTCCGCCTCTCCCGGGTTGCCGCCCCTCCGTTTCTCCCTCAGTCTCCGGGGAAGACTGGGATGTTCTCCGCCCACGGTCCGGGGATGAACGGCTCCGTGCAGGGGCCATCCTCCTCCCCTGGGTCGGACCGGAGGCAGCTAACTGGTGGCGGCTGAGGGGACGGGGTGCCCCCGGGAAGCAGCGAGGCCAGGGGAGCCTCACCAGCCAAAACAAGGGGGCCCCCCTCGCGCCCCTTCTCCACCCCTCTTTCTGGCGAGCCGTGTTTTCCCAGTTCACCTCGGTTCCGTTTCGGTTTCTGGGACTGTTATTTGCTAAGCAGTGTGGGTCCCACCCACCCCCTCGCTCGGGTGCTTTGGGTGGAGTCCGCGCAGGATGTGAACAGAAGAGAGCAAAATGTGAATTAATAGACCACGCACGGGAGCCACCACTCCCTCCTTGGGTCCCTCCTCCTTTTCCTGTGTGTAATGTATAGCCGCTGGGTGCATGTGCTACCAGTGTCTTTGATCAGCCCAGGGCCGAGTCCTTGCCCTTTCTGGTTTCCCCACCACAAACACTTCAGCGATTTATTATTATTATTATTAAAAAAACAAGATTTACGTACATATAAAACCTTACTTAGATTCTTGCACATTTTCCTGGAAATAACTGGCTACCAAAATGCTATTGTTTGCAAACTGTTGCCATTAATTACTTCTTGGGTTAAAGCAAGTTATTGTTTGAGGCTTTACGGAATATGAAACCATGTGAGTAACCCCCCCCCCCCAATGTCTTCTGGGAAGAATACACGATTGGTACTTGGAAGTTCTAAATTCTTTGTCCTTTCTCTACAATAGTTATTTGTTTTCGTCTGATCATGAAGATAATTAAGTGTTCTCTACCCCATCTTATTGACTTTGAATTGCCTGAGTTTCAAAAACAACCCTGCTGTGGGCCGGTTTGCCATGTATAACAACTACTGTCATTTGATTTGTACTTTCAGGTGGTGTCATTTGCTCTTGCAGCTACTCAGTGAGAATATTATTCTCATTTTTAAAAATGAGGTAGCAGAAGCATAGGTTAAGCAGATTACCTAGGGTCACAAAACTGTATCACTGAAATCTGAGATTTTAAAAAAAATTCCAAATCCTGTCTGCTCTAGTGCTTACGACACTGAGATGTGTTGTGTATGTGAATTGGACAAAGTAGATTTCTTTCATCACCAAAGAACATGTCCTTCCATAAGATAGCCAGTTAGACTGAACACCTATGTGTACTCATTCTGTGTGTTAACCAGAATTGCACACCCTGAAGTATAAAGCTGCCTCTCACTTGTGCTGTGATGGGACTTAGCAGCTGTTGGCATTTACAGCAGGCCTCACAATGGAAAGTGAAGAATAGCATGTCCAATTGAAATTACAAAGGATAATGAGTATGCAAGCGGTTTAGCTGGAACTGAGTAACAGGCACATACAAGTCTATTGTTGGACCTCAATACTAACTTTGGAACTTCATAATTCAGAGTAGGTCTCAAATTTTAAAAACTGCCTGTGTCGAATCTGAAGAGAAATGTGTAATGATCGGCTTGAATTTTGTAAACATGCAGGCTATGTATAAAGTGAGTTTGAATTTGAAATTCATATACTCAAAAATGAGGGCAGATTGTCTTTTTTATTTGAATTATCTGGGAGGAAAGGCTGCAGAAAAGAAGACCATTTGGGGGGCTACTAAATGATGTGGAAAGTGGTTACAGCCACTGACTGGATATTGGGAGTGAAGGAGGAAAAGTCTTCTGGCATTTCTAATGGGGTATGGTCACACAGCATACAGGAGTGAGTTTATGGGAGGGAATTTGGGGAAAGAAATGGATGTGTTTAGTATTATAATGTAAGGTACTATAGCTTAAACAATTTCATCACTCAACAAGTGAGAGCTAGGGATGGAAAGACCAGAAGATTTGATTCACCATCAAAGCACTGATGGTCTAATTGGAGGGTGTTAGAATTAACCAAGAAGACTCTTACTGAAGTGGGAAGAGTAAGTGCTACCACATTGCTTGCTGTTTCCTGAAGTTTCTGGTTTACGGCTTTTGTACTTTTTTGGGGAGCATGTTTCCCTCATTATCTGCTTAGGTCACTTGGTCACATCCTTCAGATCTTTGTTCAAATAATATCTTCTCAATGAGGTACGCTTTGGCAGCCCTATTTAAAATTGCAAAGCCTGCCCTGGCCGGTTTGCTCAGTGGTTAGAGCATTGGGCTACGGTCCAAAGAGACCCGGGTTTGGTTCCCACTAAGAGCACGTACCTTGGTTGCAGTTTGTCCTCGGCCCTGGTTGGGTCATGTGGGAGGCAGCCACTTGATGTGTACCTTTCACGTCGATGCTTCTTTCTCTCTCTCTCCTTCCCACTCAAATAAATAAATAAATAAATAAATAAATAAATAAATAAATAAAATTACAAAACCTGCTGTCCACCCCCTCTACTCAACCTTGTACATTCTACCCCCACCAATTCTGCTTTTTCCCCATTGCAAATATACAACATATTTTATACATTCGTTTGGTGTCTCTCTTCCCACTTAAATGTAAGCTCTTTGAGGGCGGGTATCTGAGGTATACTTAGTGTCCAGAGTAGTGGTAAGCTATCGTTAGATAATTGTTTATTTGGATCTTATGTAATTATTGTAGTCTGTTTAATGAATGGATTCAGTACTATGCTGGGTGAGCATGAAAGAGTTGATGCCAAAATTTTGTTGTAAGATTTAAACAAATTATTGCAAAAATAAAATTTCTATCCAAAGTAAATGTGGTCAATTAAAAACAACTCCATTTAGCAAGCACCTGTTTCAGCAACCTAGGGGTACATGACCCCTAACTTATGGTAGAGTGGTATGGAGATTATTGCTCAGAGTCGATCCTGAAGTATTACTCTAGCATGTGGATGCTCAATAAATATTTGTTACGTGAATGGGTGAGTTTAGAGACTGAATAATACCTGCTGTTAATCATCTTTACTATGCCTTATATCAGTGCTTCTCAAAGTGTGGTCCACAGATCAGTGCTGGTCTGCAAACTGTTACTGGTCTGCAGCAAGATAAATAAAGGACTTGAGATTTAAAAATAGAAACTATAGCAATGTGGCACCTGCACAATAATATTTATAGTATTTTATAAAAATCAATTCCCAGCTGGTGTGGTTCAGTGGTTGCCATGCACCAAGAGGTTGCCGGTTCGATTCCCGGCCAGGGCACATGCCCAGGTTGTAGGTCCGATCCCCAGTCCAAGACATGCAGGAGGCAGCCCATCGATGTTCTCTCTCATCCATGTTTCTATCTCTCTCTCTCCCTCTCCCATCTTTTCTCTCTAAAATCAATAAAGAAAAAAAGTGTTAGTCTGAAACAGATTGGGGAAAAAGAACTAGTCCTTCACTATAGATAGTTTCAGAAGCACTAATTTCTGTCACCGACTGCTGCCAGGCAACTACTTGTTTAGTGTTTAAAGTATATTTAAATGCCTATTTTTAAACTCTCTCCCTTGAGAATAGTCTTGTTTTATCTGTAGGTAGCCTTGTACGGTGCGTTTATTCTCTAGAGAACATTTGATAGGTTTCTCACCTCTACCAATAGAATGGCAACTCTTGAACCTGTGCGTCTGATATCCAGAGTATGTGGATTTCTCCTCAATGGACACAATCATGTCTCACTTCAACTTCCAATGGTATAATCTATGGATTTAGAAAAAAAAATTATTTTGTCTAGGTTTTTAAAAATAGGCATTTAAAAAACTTTGAGGTATAGTTTATATACCGTGAATTCACCCATTCTACATATGCAATTGAATACATTTTTTGTAAATTTACCAAGTTGGGTAATCGTCACTACAATAAAATTTTAGAACATCTCCATCACCCCAAAAAGAGCCCTTGTGTCCATTTGCAAGCCCTTCATAGTCCCACTCAAGCCCCAGGCAACCACTAATCTACCTTCTATCTCTGAAGATTTGTCTTTTCTGGACAGTTCATGTAAATGGAATTATGTAATATGTGATATTTGTGGCTTCTTTGATTTAGCATAATGTTTTTGAGGCCCATCCATGTTGTAGTATGTATCACTACTTCATTCTTCTTTATAGCCAAATAATAGTCCATTGAATGGATATATTCTTTTTTGTTTACTCATCCATCTATGGATGAATATTTGGGGTATTTCCACTTTGGGGCTGTTACTCATAATGCTGATGCTATACACATTCGTGTGCAGGTTTTTTGTGTGTGTGAATATACGTTTTCCGTTTCTTTGGGAATGTACCTAGGATTTTGAAATGGCTGGATTATATGTTAACTCTATGCTTAACTTTTTGAGAAGTTGCCACACTGATTTCCACGGTGACTATACCATTTTACATTCCTGCCAGCAATATATATATGAAGGTTCCAATTTTTTCATATCCTTGCTACACCTGTTCTTTTTTTCACTCTTTTTAAAAACTCTACCCATCCTAGAGGGTGTGACATGTTATCTCATGGTTTTGTTTTGTGTTTCCCTAATGACTAATGATAAGGCATTCATGTGCTTATTGGCCATTTTTATATCTCCTTTGGAGAAATGTATATTCAAATCCTTTGCCCATTTTTAAGTTATGTGTCTTTTTATTCTTCATTTGTTAAGAGTCAGTCTTTTGGTTTTTGCTGTCTCAGAAATCATTTTGGAGCCTTACCATTGAGTTGTTACTAGTAGCATAGCTCCATCCTTGAAACTCACCCAAGACTTAGCTGCTACTTTTCATTTTGATGATAATTGGGCAAACAATGATTTTCATGTCTGATAGGTGGAGTTTTCTTTATTTTCCATGAAAAATGTTTTCAAAACTATAATTTGATTGAATATTACCACTTTGGCATAGCTGCAATTTGGACTAATCTTATCAGCAAATTAATGATAGATTGATAAAGTGTCTCTGGTTGGTCCCGATATCGGCGCGCACCGGAAGTGCTTAAGCAGAATCTGGACAACTGCTTATTGGCTTGTTATAGAAGAAATATATGCATACTCAAGCAAGTTGGATTAGATGCCATTTGAGATTCTTTCCAGCTCTAAGATTCTATTTTTACTATCTAGAGCTGGTTTGTCCCAGCAAAATGGTATGAAGAGTATATCTTATTTCATTGTCATTGTATAAAGAGTTTGATTCTAAAGATAATGTAGATTAATGCTTTGAAAACAGAACATAGTATTATTGTACTTCACTGTCTGTTTTTTAAAACATTGAAATTGTTTCACCTTGTTGCACTTGAAATAAATTGCTTTCCTTCAGTTCTAAAGAATATATATTTTTCTTGTTATAGATTAGCAAGACATCTACAAAAAGAGGCCCAAGCTCAACACAATAATTCTGAATTCACAGAAGAACAAAAGGTACCATAAAATAATTGCCAGATATATCAAATTTCAACGAAAACGGTTCTGTCTTTTAGTTCTGTTAAGCAAAATCAAACAACAAAAACTGTTACATGAAGAATGATACCGATTGTGCTTTGCTGAACATTGTGATCACATAGAGATACCACATGATTTATCACTTCATGAATTTCTTTACTTAGCCATTTAGACTGTGTGTATCTTTAGTGAAGATCACACTTTGGTTGTGGCGGGGGAGTCTGGAGACTGGAGTTTGATTATGAGTAATGGCATCCCACCTCAATTCTTATTTTTAACTCTGACCTTTCTTAACTTCTTCTCTACCTCCTCTCAAAACAACCCCCCCCCCAAAAAAAAAATCACCACTGAAAAAATTAGTTGAACAATTTGGCATAAGACCCTGTCAGCAAAATAAATGTATAAGATTGCAAAATGGTTCAGTGGTACTCTTTCTCCTTGAATTAAAATGCTAGTGTGTCACATTGATTCCTTGTACTGTTAGAGACCATGAAAAACGGGGTAGTCCGGCCGGTATGGCTCAGTGGTTGAGCGTCGACCCATGCACCAAGAGGTTGCCGGTTCGAATCCCAGTCAGGACACATGCCCAGGTTATGGTCCCGATCCCCACTGGGGGGTATGCAGAAGGCAGCCAATCAATGTTCTCTCTCATCAATGTTTCTATCTCTCGTCCTCTCACTTCTTCTTTCTCTCAAATCATTAAAGGAAAAAAAATTTTTTTAAAGAAAAATGGGATAATTTAAGAAGCTTTACTGTAAAGAGTGAAAAGAAAGAGGAAGAAACAATTCCCATTTTTTCCTGGCTCAAAGTATCAAATGTAAAATCAACTTATAATCTTGTAGATAATAAGAAAAAGTGTCAGTTTTTTCCTCATCTCTTAAGAAAACACATTGTGAAAAGGATGGGACTTCAATTCTTTTGCTTTAGTTCTTTTTTTGTGCAAGGAGTGGGAGTAGATCTTTTTTTTTTTTTTTTTGCAGACGTTTTAAGTAAGCTCAAACAAATTTATTTTGGACCTTAGGCCTATTCATTTGACTGTTATTTATAGGAGTTTGGAAAGAAAAAAAAAAAAAAAAAAACCAAAGATTTGGGTTAGCCATATTCTTACACAAGTCAGTATATTTGTATTTTTTAAATACTTAGGATCCACATTGTCTAATGTACTTTTTTGTGTGTTGAAAAAGAAAAAATACATTGCTACAACTTAAAAGTGTACTATTCCCTTTTTCTTAATAATTACTAGTACTCACAATCAATTTAGATATTTAGGATTTGGGCCCTGGAAAATAATTACCATCTTGGAAACGATTGGTTTGCTTACGGAGAGGAACAAAGGCTAAATGCTTTATCACATCTCTGACATTTGTGAAATCTCTCTGGGAACTGAATAGGAAATGGTCAGCTGGTTTCACAGTATTGAGTTAAAACACCTAAATTTTGGAACAATCTCAAATATCTAAATATGTAAATTAATAGCTAGTGAAGTCTATTATGAATATGGAACAAAATGAAAGCTTAGGGAATTTTTTTAAAAGTTTGATGACCCCCCCCCCCACCATATTTTAGTCACTTATTTGCCTTAAGTTACTAATATGATTTGTCTCCAACATCTGTTGCTTAGGTATAAACCAATGAGCAGCATGGCCCCAAATTTAAAGTGATTTGACCTGAAACTTTACATTTTTAAAAATGCTATCAAGAAATGATCTTTGTCCTATGATAATGACTAATGAGAAAAAAAATAGGTTTTTAACTTTTTCTTAAGGTTTTAAAACTTTCTAAGGCAGAGCCGGTGTTTGATAGTTCTATTTATTTATTCCTTAATTATGCCTGTTCCTTAGTAGCCATCTGTTCCTTTTTAGCTGACACAGACCCACAGATCTTACACTTTGTAAGACCCAGGAGGCAGCACAACCTAGAGGAAAGAGCCTGAGATCTGGAGTCAAAAGACTTGGTCTTCGAAATACAAGCTCTGTCTCTGGGCCTTAATTTTCCTATGTATGAAATGAGGGATTACAAATAAGAAAACAAAAACAAGAGGAAAACAAATAAGAAAGAACAGACTGCCCTGGCCGGTTTGGCTCGGTGGTTATAGCGTCGGCCTGTGCCAGAGAGGCCCGGTTTGGTTCCCACTAAGGACACGTACCTCAGTTGCAGTTTGTCCCCGGCCCTGGTTGGGTCGTGCGGGAGGCAGCCACTCAGTGTGTCCCTTTCACGTCGATGTTTCTCTCTCTCTCCTTCTCACTCTATCTGAACAAAAAATGAAAAGGTGTCCTCCAGTGAGGATTTAAAAAAAAAACCAGACTGACAGCTATCAGAGGGGAGGGGGTAGAGAGCTGGGTAAAAAAGGTGAAGGGTTTGAGCAAAAAAATTAAATCCCTTGCTATTGCCCAGTGTAGCTCAGTGGGTTGGAGTGTGGTCCCATACACTGAAGGGTCATGGGTTCAATTCCTAATCAGGGCACATACCCAGGTTTCGGGTTCTGTCAGGCACATCTGGACATCAGGCACGTCCAGCAGGCAAGCAGTTGCTGTTTCTCTCTCTCCTTCTCTCTTCCTCTCTCTCTAAAAAAAAAATCAATAAACACATATCCTGGGGCGAGGATTAAAAACAAATTAAGCCCTGACCATCGTGGCTCAGTTGGTTGGACGTCATCCCATGCATCAGAAGGTTGCTGGTTCCATTCTTGGTCAGGGCACATGCCCAGGTTATGGGCTTGATCCCCTGTAGGGGGTGTGCAGGAGGCGGCCAATCGATGTTTCTCTCTCACATTGATGTTTCTCTCCCTCTCCCTTCGCTTCATCTCTCTCTAAAAATCTATTTAAAAAAATTTTTAAAAGATGTTTATTATTATTTTTTATTAAAAAAATACCCTTTTAGACAGACAACAGTATGGTGATTATCGTAGGGAAAGGCTGGGTGGGGGCAGGTAGGAGAGGGTAGAGAGGGAATTAATGGTGATGGAAGGAAATATGACCTCTGGTGGTGAACACACAGTACAATATACAGATGATGTATTATAGAATTGTACCCCTGAAACCTATATAATTTTATTAACCAATGTCATCTCAATAAAAAATAAAAACATATATTTTAAAAAGAAATGAGCAATCAGATAATCCTTGTAAAACGATCATAAAGTTCCTAATGACCCCTACCTTTGAAGTATTCTGTACCGCCTCCTTTCCTGGAGGCCTGATTTCTGAGGGACTGTACTACCTGCCTCCAGTCGTGTGTGCATCCAGTGTGAGTACAGAGAGAGCTTGGCCTGCCTGGCTGTTTCTTAGGCTTGGAGAAGGACCCCAACTCACTCCATTCTACAGTATTAATGTAAGGCAAGTTGTATACATTTACAAATTCAGATTTCTTTACAAATACAGGGGTAACCTTCACAACAGGTCAAAAAATCCACAGTGATACATAGCTTTTATTTGAATGTTTCATAAGGAAAAAGTTGCTGAATGATTAGAAAACAAATATTTCCCAGACATGATCTGGACACTGGCTCTGAAAAAGTTAATACATGTTATTTGAACACAGAGTTTGCGACCTGACAGGGCTTGTAACATACTAATGTGTATGTTGAATTATTTTTTCTCTTTTTAAAATTTTTATTTATTTTTCTTTTTTGTATGATGAATTTTTTTTTTATTTTTTTTTTTTATCCTCACCCGAGGATATTTTTCCATTTTTTGTACAGATAGAGTGGGAGGGAGAGAGAGGAAGGGAGAGAAAGAGAGAAACATCGACATGAAAGGGACACATCGAGTGGCTGCCACCCGCACGACCAACCAGGGCCGGGGACAAACTGCAACCGAAGTACGTGCCCTTAGCGGGAACCGAACCCGGGTCTCTCCGGACCGCAGGCCAACGCTCTAACCGCTGAGCCAAACTGGCCAGGGCTGTATGATGAATTTTTTAAAGCGTTTGGGTAATGGAGTATTTTGAAAGGCCCCCTCCTCCCTTTAGCAAGTATTTTATCGGGCCTAGCGTTCAGAAGGACACGTTATGGGAAACCAGCTGTTAGGTCTGCCAAATTAATTGAATGCTCCACCTGGCACATAAGGCAAAGTAGAAGAAACTTGATTGTGTTTTCCTTAGAAGAGGAAAATGGAAAATGTTCCTTACATTATTCTAAGCAAAATTGTTCTTTATGTTTTCTATTTTGAATTATATTCCTATGCTTTTACTATTTCCACTGTTTTTGTAGCAGTGAGAAATTTGAGAATTATGGCAATCGTTCAGTAGTTTGTGGGACTTAGAAAGAAGGTTTTTAAAAAACCAACCATATTTCTAAAATGCTTTCTTTATGAAACTTTTCACTGTCTAGCTCACAGTAAACTTTCCAAAATATTTGATAAATGCTTTGTTATTAATCTTAGGTTATTGATATTTATTCACATATGATTATTTTAAGATGAGAGAAATTCTCATTTTTGAGAGAATAACTTATGTACATCTTCACAATGTTTATTTTAACTCTAAAGGACTTCAAAGCAGAACTACTGATTTCTCTAAACTTTACTAATTGTTGATAAAAACATTCATAGGGATTGTCTATTCATAATATTCTCAAATATTTCTGGTAGAAAGTAAGAAAATTTATGATTCTTATTTGATCCTCCCTCATAATTAGCTGACTTAGCTTTCAATTCTCAGTAGTTTTATCATAACAACAACTGGGTTTAGTAGCCAAGGAATAGCTGCGAAAAGTTTCCATTCCATTCAATTTCGTACTTTGGTGTAGTAGATTTTCTCCTGTAAATTTCTGGGCAGAAGAGAACATAATGTCTCATGATGCTTAGAAAGTCTTTCCCTGTTTTGAATCAAATTCAGTGGTAATGAGAATCCCAGGACTATGTGCTTGTTGTATAATTTATAGATAACCCTTGCTACTGCCTCCCCTCTCCTCCCTTCTCTGCCTCCTCCCCTTTTTGAGCTGTCAATTTCCCTAGCAATGATGAAGTAAAATAACCAATATTCTGAAAGTGAGAACTTTTTTCATTTCTATATCATATTAGGCATGAGTAATTAATTTGAATGAAGTGTTGATCATTTAAATATTTCAAAATTAAACTCACCCTCAATGCTTAGTCTTAATGTACATTAGTTAATAGTACTTATACTCTGGCACAAGTGACCTTGTGCTTCTCAGTCATTTTTGTGAACCATTTGCTTCTAAGAAAAGTGAAACAATTACAGTAGCGAGCACTTGGTTTTGACACCAATAAATGCTTCGTGTTTCAAAGTCATTGCTACATCTGAAAATGATAGCGTTTCACTCCTTTTTTAATACTGATGTTGGGTGTGGTCCCTTAAAATAGTTATGAATAATGCCTTTTGGTATTTTGCCATAGTTTAGTAGATTTCATACAAAAAGCTGTTGCTTCTGCTCAACTTGAAGAAATGTTTAATTTTAAAAAAAGGTTATTAGTGGACTCATAGTTGTTAAAGTACATTTTTTCCTTAAAAGTTAAAAAAGCATCAAATCAAATGGATTTTATAGTAAAGAAGGAAACGAATTAATATTTTTAAAGACTTACTCATTGATATATTTCACTTACTACAGACAAAATCCTTTTTAAAAACTATTTTTGAAAGAACATAAAAAGTATGACCAAATGGTATTAAAATAAATATATTGCTTTGTTATTTGCTTTTGTTTAGAAAAAAATGATGTCTAGGGCAAGTTATTTAACATCTCTTCAATTTTCACATCTATAAAATGATTGTATCTAACTGGTAGAATTATAGTGAGGATTAAATGAATTAATGTTTGTAAATCACTTAGGAGAGCCTGTCACTTAGTAAGTGTTCTGTAGTTGTTAGCCATTACTAGTACTATATTATTCATTTGTGTTTGAAATTATTTATTAGTTGTGTCAGAGTTGAGTTGTATGTTTGAATTTAGAAAAACTCACTGATTCCCCTGCAACAGCTATTTGAGAGGGTAAATAAAGCTGAGTATCTTGAATCCTTTTGCACTTAATATATTTAAATGGAATCTTTAGATGTAAATTTTCAGAATAAAATTGGGTATTGTCTAAACTCTTATAATTGGATTGAAAGGAATTTTTAGATTGTAGAGATAATTAAATATTGTTACTTGTGCTTTAGCCAAGGTTCATATCTTGTTCAGTAGTGGTTTACTTTGTGATTTATTCTACTGGCTTTTTGTTGTTGATATAATAATTGCAATAATGCCCACTAGCCTAAGTACTGGGGGCCAGGACAATACTTGTTACTCTTCTTTACTCCTCATTTATCTTGCAAAGAGAAACCACCAAATCCAACTTACTAGGTCATCTGTATATTTAAAAAAACATGTCATTTGTTTTCAGAATATATACAAAGATATTTCACTTTTATGGTCTGGATTGATTTCTAATAAAAACTTAAGAAATATCTTTTTTGTAAGGACTTGAAAGTCTTGATGGGTATAATTCAGCTGCCTGTTCTTACAGATGTTTCTTCTATGGGTCTCCTCCTTTTCATTCACGTTCTTGTTTATTACCATTTACCTGGACAGTTGAAATAACTGGACTGATCTTACCTTTTCTTCCACCTGTGGATGCTGCTATCTGAGGTCCCCTTCAGAATGATCCCCACCCTAACACACACACCCCCCTCATATTCCAAACCTATTTTCAGTTGGGACAAATGAACCATGACAGTGTTCTTAACTTTTTAGTTTCAAAAATCCTCCCAGTCACTGGAACTTGATTCCCAGCACATGGTCTAGTCCCGTTTCTTCAGAACATGTAGTGGCTTACTTTGCTGAATCTTCTAGAAGCTAGTGTCTCTTCTTTGTATTGCAGTGGTTTCTGTAAGTGTCTCATCTTACATAATAGAGCCTGAGCTTATTAGAGGCATGGACTACGCCCTATCACTTACATCCATTTTATGGCTCATATTACATAAAATTTGCCACCATTCATCACAAGCATTAAGTTTGCTTAGTATTGCCTGTGTAATTATATGTCATGATTGGACTCACTCAAAATTAAATTATATCATTATGCTTACTTTCAGATATTTTTACTTTTAAATCATTTTGCAAATTTCAGGCTTAATGCAGAAAAAAAGGCAGAGCTTGGGAGGGAAGATGTTGGAAGTCCTTTTCATTGCCCTTTAAATCATATCACAAAGCTATCATCAAAGTAAACTTGATTTAAAATTGGTTTTGGCACATTAGGTCAGGAGAGAATATATAGTCACCTTCTCTCCCTCATCCCAGCCCTTTGCTTCCTCTTTCTCTTCTTTAAAGTCTGCAGGATGCTAAAATGAAATAAAATTTAACTTGATTTTTAAAATTATACATTTTTATCAATAAAAATTAACTGCTGATTTTGACAACTAACTGTCATATTTGGTATTTATAGCTTTTTCTTTCTCCTGCAGAAAACCATAGGCAAAATTGCAGCATGCTTGGAATTACGAAGCGCAGCTTTACAGGTAAATAGGTTTCCCCTCTTTCTGATAGAAGGAAACCATCAACTGTTAGGTCTGCAAAATTAAGGAAAAGAAAATATTATAAACTATTCCGAGGAAACATTAGGCATGCTTGCTTAAAGAAGTATTATCTCAGAAGGGTTTTGTAACAATGGGAATTCATGAGTTAAGCTCATATTAAAAGATTTAGTTTGTCACCCGGTCGCTGTGGCTCAGTGGTTGAGCATCGACCCATACACCAAGAGGTCGCCGGTTCGATTCCTGGTCAGGGCACAGCCCAGGTTGTGGGCCAAATCCCCAGTGGGGAGCATGCAGAAGGCAGCCAGTCGGTGTTCTCTCTCATCGATGTTTCTATCTCTCTCTCCCTCTCCCTTCCTCTCTCTCTAAATGGAAAAAAAAAGTTAGTTTATCTTTTATAAACTAGAAATAGAAGATAAAAGACATAACTATTTTTTTTCTGTTATTATTAGTCTGAATGTTCCCAAAATACAACAACAAACAAAAATCAGTTTCACACTTTTATTTTCTACTTTGAAAGCAAGAAATAGATTCATTTATTTTGGCTACTTTTTGACTATTTAGTTCTTGCTGCTTAAAAGACATCAGGTGTAGTAAAATCTGTATAATAAAAAAGATCTCATGTGTATATTTTAAATTCAGTCCACACAGTCCCAAGAAGAATTTAAACTGGAGGACCTGAAGAAGCTAGAACCAAGTAAGTTTCATTTAATGATAACTCCTTTCAAAAAATATTTACTAGAGATATTAAGATTATTTCGCATAAATGCTTATTTGACTTACTTCTGTTACTATCTAGTCCTGTGTGATTTTTAATGCTTTTATAATTCCTATAGTATTTATAGTAATGTTTATTTGGTTTCTTTTCATTTAGAATATGGAAAATTTGATTCCAGGTTGTACTTACCTCATCTGGATGTTTTAGCTTTTATTTTGTTTTACTTACTTTAATAAGACTACAATTACTTTTAAGTGTTTGCAGTAGAGTGTACTGGAGAATTTAAAATTACAGTCATTGATGTGCATTTATACCATGTTGTCCAAAACTCCAGTCCAGCTGTTTGAGCTGCTGTACAAAATATTTTTTTGTTGTCCTTATTTTTTCCCCCTTTTTGAATGCTCTTTTGAAGTAAACAATTTCTTCAAATGTTTTGGTGGTTAGTATGCCACTAAATAAAGCTTTTTTTGCTGGTTCAAATGAATGGTCTTTTAGAGGAAATGTTTGCAATATAGGCAAAGGCACAAGTATTAAAATATCACCACAGTCAATTTTAGGGCATTTTCATCACCCCAAAAAGAAATCCTGTACCCATTAGCATCCACCAATTTCCCCCAACTCCCCAATTCCCAGCCCAGGGTAACCACTAATTTAATTTCTGTCTCTATAGATTTGCCTGTTTGGGACATTTGCATGTAAATGGAATCATACAATATACGTACAGTCTTTTGTGACTGGCTGTATATCCTGTTATTTTAAGAAAAGCACATTGGTGGCTTTAATGGTTATATAATGTTTCTAAAGAAAATTATAATGTTCAATTTTTTTAATGATAAGTATAATTAGGATTTTGAGTCCTTATTGAATCACTCTTTTATTAGTTTTTTTCTTTTTAGTTTGTTTCCGAGTAAAAGTTTAAAATCAAATAGATATGTAGGATGACTATAAACTGCTTATCCTTGGGTATTTATTATCTCTTCCTCTAAACATGTCCCATTATTCTTCTATTTCCTGAAAGGATCTTTCATTGGTGATCAAAGTTACCATTTTTTACAGTAGCTGCTACCTTCCAAGCACTCAGAGAAATGTACTCATTTACAGTTTGCTAACTGATACTTGCCCCTGACCTTACAGCTTACAAATGCCAGAACTGGGTTTTGACCAGGTTTCTAAGTGACCCCAAAGCCTATGTTTCTTCCACTACACTCTGTATTAATACCTGTAGTGGTGCAATATTAACATCAATCCTAAATATCGTAGTTCTCCAATTCAAGCTCCTGGGAGATTATTGATGCATATATTAGTAGATTAGGCTAAAATCTGCATTAGTCTTCTATTGTGTTTTTGTTTTATATTTTTAAGATTAGGGATGGGAATGGAAAGGAAAGACAGCATTGGGATTCATTCTGTTATAGTTTTAATTTATATAGTGCTTTTCATATGGGCTTCTCCCTTCTTGGTATTTATTATCTTTTTAGATTATTTTAATTTGCTCTTGCCTCTTATAAAAAGATCAGTGTGTCTATTGTATCTCAGTAGGATATGCTCTGTAATTTTGATTTTATTAAAGCTTAGGCACTTATGAGTTAATTATTTTATCATAATCATTTTCTATAAATTGGTATTTGATATATTTCAAGTTAAGTGTACTTAGTCCAACTAGCCTCCGCCCCTTCTAAAACTGTAAGAAAAGGAAAATTAATGAATGACTGTACCTTTCAATATATGGGACTTGGTTGCTTTACTTTGCTAATGTATATTTTTTTCCAAGGTTTTTAAATCTCTTAATAATCCTGTCTGAAATATACTAAAACTAAGATCTTGAAAATACTAGCGATATAATTGTCTTAAATTAATCCGTTGTAATATCAATATATCATGTTTCAAATCTCTGCCACTTCCCTCTTGCTTATCCAACTTCAGCCCTACAGTCTGTTCTATTCCTCTAACAAGCCCAACTCGTTCCTGCCTCAGAGCCTTTGTTGTTACTCTCACTTCTCTAATACTTGGAAAGCCCATGCCCCAGAGCTACTAATAGACGGTTCCTCTCATTCCAGGTCACAGCTCACAGTCTTCTAACCATTTAGTTTGAAAGACCTACCCTCATCCACCTTAGCCGAAGTTCTCCCCTGCTCCACTTACACAGTCTGCCTGTTGATGGCCTTTTTCACACTAAGCACAGCCTTACATTACCTTGTTAATTTGTTGGCTCTTTTATTGTCTGCCATTCCTCACTGAAGTCTAAGATCTATATGTGAGGGCAAGACCCCTCTGTCTTGCCCAGCCGGTGTGGCTCAGTGGTTGAGCATTGACCCATGCACCAAGAGGTCGCCGGTTCAATTCCCAGTCAGGGTACATACCCAGGTTACGGGCCAAATCCCCAGTGGGGGGCATGCAGGAGGTGGCCAGTCAATGTTCTCTCTCATCGATGTTTCTCTCTCTCTCTCCCTCTCCCTTCCTCTCTTTCTAAAATCAATAAAAAGGAAATATATTTTTTAAAAAGAATCCTCTTTCTTGGTCACTGCCATATCTCAAATATTATGGGACATTATGGGCATTCAAGGCACATTTGTTGAGAAGAAGAGAGTGAGAGAAAGGATGAGTTGGAGGGAGAGAGAGAGAGAGGACAAGAATGAATGAGAATCTAGACGCAAGTCTCCTCTCTCACTGAAGGACTTAGTGGGGGTGCATATATTGCAAGAAGTCTGGTAAACAAATCTGACTCCTGTTGAAGTCATATAATTGCAACCTGTGCACTTGGATTTCCTACTTTGAGATGACAGTCCCTGTACCAATTTCAGGTTTAAGCTGCAGGACTCCAAATATAGGCTGCATAAGAAAAGTGTAAAATCCTGGGAATTTTTTGGATTGCCCAATGAATGCCACTACGTCACCTTCATATAATTGCAGGTGGTCACTGGAAACCCATAAAGCTAAATATGAAGCACATATTCATAGTACTTCTCCAAATGTAGGCAGAAGTGTGGAACACCTCTCTTTAAGTTTACATGCCAAAATGTAATCTTTGCCCACAACCATAGTACAGGAGGTGAGCCATGCTGTGTTGTTTGAAGACTTCTCTTGAGGATAAGTCTTTCTTTACGTATGTGTGCATGTATGTATACACATATTTATGCATGTAATAATCTTTATCATAAATGATAATGTCTATATGTGTGTATATAATATAGTGTGTATTTAATAAGCTTTACATAGGAGAATTATAACCACCAGTTTCATGGAGTTGAAGGAAAATCTAATCAGGACATGGAATAAGATATGCTCATGTACCTCTGATTAGTCATCTTTAATGTCAGTCTTTTAATTGACATACTTCAGGAAGGAGGCATCATTTGTCTCTGGCCCTCATGTCTGACCTTGTACATAGAAGAACTATTTTGGGGGTTGTTTTCCATGAGGGCTTTGAGACTCTGGAACTTATACTCTCTTAGAGATCTGACAGTACTCTGAAACTATCAGTGCCTAGAACATACTACGGATATTTTAATTTTGCTAAGACCTGTAAGTCAATGGACACGTGCATGATAAGATTGGCAATTTTTTTATAATTAATATGCATAGTAAAGTTGATTAAAAACAGTCATTTGTGGTAAAATTTTAAATTTTGATTCATAGAAGAATTTATGTCTTTTTATCTCTCTTTTTATTCTAGTCCTAAAGAATATTCTTACATATAATAAAGAATTCCCATTTGACGTTCAGCCTGTCCCCTTAAGGTAAAATAAATACACATCAATGTTTGTTCTCTTATTTCATACCTATTTTTGTCAACATTGTTCATATCAACATCTTATCAGGAAAATGAGTAGCTGCAAGGCTTCTCTATGTAGCTAATTTTGTCGCTCACTCTGTTTTCTGTCCTTTTGCGTGTAGAAGAATTCTAGCACCTGGTGAAGAAGAGAATTTGGAATTTGAAGAAGATGAAGAAGAGGGTGGTGCCGGAGCAGGGTCTCCTGATTCCTTTCCTGCTAGAGTTCCTGGTGGGTGTCACTTGTTTAAAAATAGATATCACTTAACTTAGTCCCAGGTCAGCGTGTTTGGAACTCATTTTGGTAGTTGCTAGTGAGGAGCAAAACCTCTCCAGAGCCCATGTCAGTCCGAAGCACATGTTAATGGCCGTGTCACTGGCAGTAGCTATTTCAGAAGTATGGTCTGAAAGTATCTTACAGTCAGGGGTCCCAAGACCACCCTTCAGGCTTGTGATTCGCTAGGAGGACTCAGAATATAGTTGTACTCACAGCTCTAAGGTATTATGGTGAGCAAAATACAAGAACAGAACCAGCAAAGGGAGAAGGCGCGCATTAGGAAGCCAGGTGCACGCTTCCAGGAGTCCTCTCATTACGGTTGGGTTGTGATGAATTCCTCCAGGAACAAACGGTAACAGCGCGAGGGAAATGCTTTCCGGAGGCAAGCACAGTAGGACTCGGCGCCCAGATCTGTTACCGGAGGCCGATCACATAGCCACCTCTGCCTGCCACTGGCCAGGATTCCACACTCCGCATGAAAAGCAGATAATCAGCATAAACCAGGTTGTTTGTACAGACAGTTTAGGCACAAGAATTGTTCTTATCAAAGGATGGTGGAAACTCTACCAAGATCTCAATTTCCAGGCACCAGCTAAGGGCTGACCTTGCAAGCAGGCCATTCTAGGCGTAACAGTCTCAGTCCTGCTCCGTTAACTCTTTCCTGTGCACTCATCACTAACCACATTGTAGTCATTCAACCTGGCTCCGGGGGAATGGATACTGAGCAAATACTCTTCTTTACCCATCTTTTAGGAAAGCAAATAATGGATGGCCAGCCTTTTATTTATAGAATATCTCGGTGAGGTTCTTCCCTCCCTATAAATAACCGAGGGCAGGCACCTGGATAAAGGTCCTGCCCCTCCCAATAACTGTTTTCCTCTGTTCTGTTCTTAAGCAGTTCAGTTTCTATTTGTGTAAACCAGTTCACTTTAGGAAGTACAGCAGTATGCTATAATATCATGATGTGTTTTAAAATAGACTCTAGAAGCTTTGCCGTACAGTTAAATGCAATACGTGTGTCATCCAGGTAACTCTCTTGGTAATGAAAGTATAGTAATACAGTATTTGTAATGCTCCTTTGAGAGCATTACATACTGTATGGAGTATGAACAACATAGGCCTGAGCCAACAGATACTTGGACTTGAGTCTAGTCTCTGACAATTACTAGTTAAGTGACTTTGCCCGTTTCTTATACCAGTCTGAACCTCAGTTTATTTATAAAGTGGGTTAATAATAATGCTGACTTGTAAGGTTACTGTGAAGATCGCACAGGGCGTCACACGCAACGCTTTTAGTGTAGTACCTGTCATAGCTGAAAATCCGTATGCAGTTATTCTCGTCGCCATCACCTCTCAGTGGGGCATAACAGGACCTACTCTGTAGATAGGGTCATGGGGAAATCATAGCAGCTGTCACTATTAATGTTTCTCTGGCACAAGGGTATCATTTCTAGTGCACTTTGCTGTAAGAAGAGAGAGGTGGGTTTTCTTGCTTCTGTCACTTTTGTAGGGAATCTTAAGGTGGTTGAGATGATGAGATTATGTCGCTATTTTACTAATTGTCATTCCCTTTTCAAACCATATATTGTGATTGCTGTAGCTTCCAGTCTATCTGATGTGGTTTTTCTCTCGCTTATCTGTACTTCTGTTGTGTAAGATTAAGCTTTTTATTTGCTATGTAAGAATAAGCCCAACTGAATAGATCTTTGAATTCTGATGTAGCATTGTGATATTTCACTGCTAACATATAGAAAGCTTACTGCACCCTTCAATGCCCTGAATTTCTTTTTCCTAAAAGTAAGAAAAAGTACATGTAGTTTGAGGTATATCTAGGTGAGAATCATATTGTCCAGGGCCTATAAGTGCTGTTTAAAAGGAACTGATAGCCCTGGCCAGTTTTCTCAGTGGTTAGAGCATCGACCCGTGGACCAGAGAGACCCGGGTTTGGTTCCCGCTAAGGGCACATATCTCGGTTGCAGTTTGTCCCCGGCCCTGGGTGGGGTCATGTGGGTGGCAACCAGTTAGTGTCTCTCACATCGATGTTTCTCTCTCTCTTCCCCCCTCTCTCCCTCCCACTCTATCTGAAAATAAATGCAAAAAAATGTCCTCGGGTGAGGATAAAAAAATATATTAAAAAAAAAAAAGGAACTTTTAAAGTTACATTCACTGAAATCCTCATTGAAATAGCAAGATGACGTTTAACTTCTAACTTACGTGTGAATCAGGAAAAAATGTCTTTTCCTTGTTGCCCTGAGAGAGCCCAAGGTTTCAGGGAAGTCGGGACTGCGTCTGGTGGCAGGACGGCTCTAGTAATTGTCGACTTTTCTTTCCATTGGTTACTTTGGGTTTTGTATAATTTACGGAATTGTAAGTTTTGAAGTGTCGTACACATTTATGAAGTCCCCCTTGCAGTATGAGTTCTGACCCTGCACACAAAGGGTAATCACCACTGAAAGGCTGATGCGTTTTTTTCCCATTAAAAATTAAAAATGACTTCTTAGCCTATCTTTCTTGAAAAAAAAAAAGAAGATAGTTAAGCTTAGCTTTCTTGATATTAATCTGTTTCCTTTTCAAATTTTTAAAAACTCATAAGGCAAACAATAAATTTCTGTTAAATAATTGGCTTATGCCAAAATGAGATTTAATTTTTCTGATGGTAGGCTTGGTAGATTTTATTTAAATCAAGGATATAACTTTATAACCTGTTATTTATGACCTGAAAATTTATTGACAATGTTGAACATTAAAGCAACTAAAATCATAAACCAAAGCAATATGAATTAAAAAATAGCCCAAGACACAATTTTCAAGATTTTAAAAAACATTTTCTTCCGGACTAACATAATCTCTTGATCTCTTATATAGGCATAAATATGCATAAACATGTTTATTTTATTTTTTTTACTAAACATAAAGAATGAAATTCACCTTTTTAATGTGAAACCCCTGCTTGGTTGTTGCACAAACACTCAGTTCTGAGTTGAACGTAAGAAAGAAGCACACGTGGATTCCTTTGCAGCTGAGATGAGACAGTGTCTGTTGTGAGAAGCTGAAATTGCTTTCCTGTGACCATCAGGACATTATCTGATAAAATGGGAAAAAACTTCTCATCAGCCTTACAGTGGTGATTACCCTCTGTGTGCACGTGTCAGAACTCATACTGCAAGGGGGGGACTTTATGTATATAAATGACACTTCAAAATTACAATTCAGTAAATTATACAAAAACAAAGGTAACCAACGGAAAGACAAAGTCACAACAATTGCTAGAACCATCTTGCCACCAGAATGCAGGCCCAGGCCTTCACGGAAATTCAGAGCATGTCTAGGGGCGTAGCAGTAACATCATCTTTTCTTTCTTCTTTTTTTATTCTTTATATTTCAATTACAGTTGAAATCCAATATTATTTTGTATTAATTTCAGGTGTACAGCATGGTAGTTAGACAGTAATGTAATTTACAGAGTGATCCCCCTGATAATAGCATCTTAAGGGTGTGGTTAGGCCACAATTCACAAAGTCCCTCTAAGTCTTCAGTTCTCAGGCTGGGCAGAAGACTCAGACAAAGAACCCCTCAGCCAGGCATGTGGGGTTTTCTTTGTTTTTTATTTTTTTATTTTTTCCAGTTTTTATTAATTTATTTTTGTTCCAGTTGTTTCTCCTTTCCCCCCGGACACCCTCTTCCCCATCCTGCTCCCCTACCCCCCTAGCACTGGTGTCTATGTCCACTGGTTATGCATACATGCATATAAGTTCTTTGGTTCATCTCATCTATACCCCCATCCCCACCCCCTACTCTGAGGTTTGTCAGTCTGAACCGTACTCCTTTCTATGTCTCTGGGTCTGTTTTGTTCATCAGCCCACCTCGTTCATTGTATTCCACAAATAATTGAGATCATGTGGTATTTGTCTTTCTCTGACTGGCTCATTTCGCTTAGCATAATACTCTTGAGGTACCTCCATGTGGTCTCAAAGGATAAGGCATCTTTCACAGCTGCATAGTGTTCCATTGTGTATATGTACCACAGCTTTTTTATCCACTCATCTATTGATGGACATTTGGGCTGTTTCCAGATCTTAGCAATTGTAAATAGTGCTGCTCTGAACATGGGGGTACATATATTCTTTCTGATTGGTGTTTCAGGCTTCTTAGGATATAGTCCTAGAAGTGGGATCACTGGGTCAAATGGCAATTCCATTTTTAATTTTTTGAGGAAACACCATAGTGTTTTCCATAGTGGCTGCGCCAGTCTGCATTCCCACCAGCAGTGTACTAGAGTTCCCTCTTCTCCACACCCTCGCCAGCACTTGTTGTTTGATGATTTGTTGATGAGCCAGGCATATGTTTGTGTCGAAATATTTACTCTGAAATTAATGGTGGAGCTCATTTTTATTGCTTTTTCTCTGTTGCCAGGTACTTTATTACCAAGGTTGCCATCAGAACCAGGAATGACGTTACTCACTATCAGAATTGAGAAAATCGGTCTGAAAGATGCCGGGCAGTGCATTGATCCCTATATCACAGTTAGTGTAAAGGGTAAATAACTCTGTCTGCATACTTCCCCTCTGCTGAATTTTATAATGTTGCTTCTCATTGGAGTATTTGGCGGGGAGAGGCAGGGCTCTGTGTCTGTGATACTCATTTTTATTCATTGTACAGTGAGGCAGGATCCTTGAGAAGAGGTCATCATTCCTTCTGTGAACATTTCTAACAGATTTACTAAAAATATTTTCCTATTGTAACTTATACTCGTGTTTGCTTTTGAGGTTTTTTTGTATGTCTTTTTATTCTTAAAATTTCATCAGGAGTGTGCCCAGACGTACACACTTTCTTTACAACAGAGAAACAGGTTTATTTCAGGAAATGAGTTTTAAAGATGTCCCCCACCTCCGAGGGTGTGGTTCTCTTTGCACAGCCGTGTTCCCCTATTCTCCTGTGCCTCCACCTGAGCCCTCCCATTCCTGTGCTCCACCTGAGCCCTCCCATTCCTGAGCTCCACCTGAGCCCTCCCATTCCTGAGCTCCACCTGAGCCCTCCCATTCCTGAGCTCCACCTGAGCCCTCCCATTCCTGTGCTCCACCTGAGCCCTCCCATTCCTGTGCTCCACCTGAGCCCTCCCATTCCTGAGCTCCACCTGAGCCCTCCCATTCCTGAGCTCCACCTGAGTCCTCCCATTCCTGTGCCTCCACCTGAGCCCTCCCATTCCTGTGCCTCCACCTGAGCCCTCCCATTCCTGTGCTCCACCTGAGCCCTCCCATTCCTGTGCCTCCACCTGAGCCCTCCCATTCCTGTGCTCCACCTGAGCCCTCCCATTCCTGTGCTCCACCTGAGCCCTCCCATTCCTGTGCTCCACCTGAGCCCTCCCATTCCTGTGCCTCCACCTGAGCCCTCCCATTCCTGTGCTCCACCTGAGCCCTCCCATTCCTGTGCTCCACCTGAGCCCTCCCATTCCTGAGCTCCACCTGAGCCCTCCCATTCCTGAGCTCCACCTGAGCCCTCCCATTCCTGTGCTCCACCTGAGCCCTCCCATTCCTGTGCTCCACCTGAGCCCTCCCATTCCTGAGCTCCACCTGAGCCCTCCCATTCCTGAGCTCCACCTGAGTCCTCCCATTCCTGTGCCTCCACCTGAGCCCTCCCATTCCTGTGCCTCCACCTGAGCCCTCCCATTCCTGTGCCTCCACCTGAGCCCTCCCATTCCTGTGCCTCCACCTGAGCCCTCCCATTCCTGTGCTCCACCTGAGCCCTCCCATTCCTGTGCCTCCACCTGAGCCCTCCCATTCCTGTGCTCCACCTGAGCCCTCCCATTCCTGTGCTCCACCTGAGCCCTCCCATTCCTGTGCCTCCACCTGAGCCCTCCCATTCCTGTGCTCCACCTGAGCCCTCCCATTCCTGTGCTCCACCTGAGCCCTCCCATTCCTGTGCTCCACCTGAGCCCTCCCATTCCTGTGCCTCCACCTGAGCCCTCCCATTCCTGTGCCTCCACCTGAGCCCTCCCATTCCTGTGCCTCCACCTGAGCCCTCCCATTTCCTGTGCTCCACCTGAGCCCTCCCTTTCCTGTGCTCCACCTGAGCCCTCCCATTCCTGTGCTCCACCTGAGCCCTCCCTTTCCTGTGCTCCACCTGAGCCCTCCCTTTCCTGTGCTCCACCTGAGCCCTCCCATTCCTGTGCTCCACCTGAGCCCTCCCTTTCCTGTGCTCCACCTGAGCCCTCCCTTTCCTGTGCTCCACCTGAGCCCTCCCTTTCCTGAGCTCCACCTGAGCCTTCCCATTCCTGTGCTCCACCTGAGCCCTCCCATTCCTGTGCTCTACCTGAGCCCTCCCTTTCCTGGCCAGGAGAAGCTTACCCAGGGGAGAGCTGTGCCCAGGGGCATCAGAGTCAGGACATTGATAAATTATCAGTAGAGACAGGGAATAGGACATATCCATAAACATCCACACCCTGCATGCAGTCCTGTGGGGCAGTAAAAAGTGGTGTGTTTCTTGTTCTGAACTATGTTACTGAGGCTATTAAGCATGGTTATTTTTGAGAATTGTTTTTTTCTATCCAATGTGGCAAACCATTGATTCCTTAAAAACAACATTTTCTGTCTTTGGTTTAAGAGGGAAACCACAGCGGTCGAATTCTTTTGTTGATGTCGCCAAGCATTTTATACCAAACTTTATTGTAAGGCGCTCAGCGGTCTTTTAAAAATAACTATTGGGTGATTGAGGATGAAGCTGCCATACTGTTACTCAGAAATGATGGCAGAGTTAATCCCATCCACAGTTAATCTGCAGTTCAAGGCAAATCAAAAAAACAGACATGGACTGAAATTAAATAGAGGGAACTTTTACCAGTGACAGAAATACACTCAGACCCATGTGGGTGCATCAGTATCAAATAAAAGAAAAAGGAATTTGACCACAGAGAAGAATTTTAACATGGAGAGACTATGACCACAGCACTAGCTCTGTGCTACTTCATCTTCTGATGTGCAGCTGCCAGATCCAAGGTCGGCTGGAAAGTGTCCGTGCCCTGCATTGCTTCGTAGGCCGTCCGCAAAGCTGCCCATCTTGGTCGGGAAATACACTGCAAAACACACAGAAATGTCCCGATAATGTGATAAGTGTTATGTTGCCTTTCCACACATGTTGAACTAAAATGTGTTTTTGTGTAAATGTCTTTAGGAACTGAAATAATTAAATGTACTAAATCGTTTTAAGTCCTCTAAGATGGGTCCGTCGAGTAATGCATGGACACTGAGGAGTCATTAATGGAGTCCCTGTTGAATTTGATTAAACTGGAAGATTCCCACCTCCAGGAAGTTAAAACCATCCACCATACATAGTGTACCATCTGGCTGTTGTAAACCAGGTTTTGTTACAGCAGATATGACCAGAATTAGGTACCATACATGGAAAAGCACTCATGTATCGAGAGGTTCATTGGCAGCTTTCATGCCCGCTGTTTGGTCCTCGGACTTGAATACGATGGGCATTCTGATAATGGGAATTTAAAAGCCTTCCCATGCCACGATCAAGGTGGGGAATTAGGGGTAGTATTCATGTTCCAAATTTTTACTGCACACAGAAATATACTGGCCTGTTCCCTGAGGAAGACACCGGATTCTCTTCTCTTGACAATAGGGTCAGATTTTGTTATCGCCAGGCTTTCTTTTGGATCGGTCATTGCAGGGTTCCTCCTCCGGTCGATGAGGTCCCCCACCTCCTCTCTCCTCGGCCCCCTTCACGTACCCCTGGAAGCCACGGGTCCCCAGGTGGCCGTCCGCCCCAAATGGGAGTTCCTGCTAGCTGGGAGTCCCCTCTGGGCTTTTGCCTCTAGAAAACACAGTCCCCTGGGGTTCGGTTGCCGGGTTTGGAGTCTGCAGTTGAACGCTGCTGAGCAGAAGCTTTTTTCTTCTCTAGATCTGAACGGCATAGATTTAACTCCTGTGCAAGATACTCCTGTGGCTTCAAGGAAGGAAGATACGTATGTTCATTTTAATGTGGACATTGAGCTCCAGAAGCATGTGGAGAAATTAACCAAAGGTGTGTAATGGTCAGTAATTGGCCTCTTGTGCTCAGAGGTCTCAACTTACTCATTGTTGGCCTGGTGGACCGAGCAGCGTTGGAAAAAATAAATGCCACACAGTGTTTATTGGTTTGAATGAAATAAATATATATTTAAATGTGGGACTTAGGGATCATATTATCTACCTGTATAATAAATAACATATAATCAAATAGTCTTTGATAGTAAAATCATATCGTCTTTAACAACAGAACTAAGTGAGAACTTTCCTCATACTAAAGAGCTGGGGGAAGCAGGGCTCCCTGGAGGTTAAGTCTCTCGTAGTTGAAAGAAACACTCTTTTCCAGCTGAATTTATTGGCAGACTGATCCTATAATTTGCGGTTTGTTGGCAGGAGGATGGGAAAGGACAAAACAAATTTTTCAAAAGGTGAAGTTACATTTCCAAGTTACATGGTTCTTAGGAGGCAATGTTTCTCCGTGCCTTTGCCCGTCGGGAATGTGAGTGTTCCCTGAAAGGGAGGCTGCAGACCCTTTGTCACCTGAGCGTCAGCTGCAGTCTGGAAACTTCAAGCCCTGTGGGAGGCTGTGCAAGATACACAGGCGCCTTCTGAACCCCTGCCTCGTCCCCTAAAGCATTTGGTATTTCCCTTCTCAGACCTGGTGCTGCTGTTCCTTGTTCTGAAGACTCCAGTTAGGGGTGGTTCTCCCAGTGTGAGCAGCACCTGGAACCTTCCTGGTTACATGCAGATGCTTGGGCCCCACCCTAGACCTGATGCCCACTGAGGCTGGGACATCGTGTTAGAGAAATAGGACATGCTTAAGAAATTGTGTCCAAGAAATTTCAGTATGAAATGTGCCTCCTGCATAAAAATATTAATGAAACTTTTTTTCCATTTAACTCCATTGCTTTGAGAAATGTTTCTGACGTGGGTATAGGGGTATGTTTCCTGGACTATTTTATTGTGTGTCTATGTTATTGAGTTGTGCTCTCGATGACTTGACTCGCAGGGTGTTATAAGTAGGACTGTATTCAGAAGTTGACTCCAGCCCTGGCCGGTTTGGCTCAGCGGTTAGAGCGTCAGACTGCGGTCCTGAGAAGTTGACTCCATTCATTTTCTCCAGCTTTGAATTCATTATGTGCAATTACTGTAGTTTGACATTAATGCTAATGAATATACTGTGCTATCTTCATGGTTACGAGCATTTCAGCTCATCTTCCTAGGCTGTTCTCATTTCACCTTTTGTTCAGTCACTCTGGCTCTAGAAGTTTTGCTGTGCTTTGTAGAAATGCCCCTCCATTCAGATACAGAAGAGTTTGGGGTGACAGCCACAGGCATACCATCAGACTGTCTGACAGAGGTTACTTTTGAAATTATGCCAGTTGTAGCTTGTTCATATGCTTCTGGGATCAATGAAAATGTATTGACTAGAATGGTGGCTAGTTGGTTTGTTTTAATCCCTCAGGTGCAGCTATCTTCTTTGAATTCAAACACTACAAGCCTAAAAAAAGGTTCACCAGTACCAAGTGTTTCGCTTTCATGGAGATGGATGAAGTTAAGCCTGGGCCCATTGTAATAGAACTGTAAGTGATGCATATATGGGATTAGTCGGACGGAATGGTAATCAGTACTTCTTAGTATGTGACCTTGGACTAGGTCGATGATCAAAGTATTTTAAACAGTGGTTTTTCTATTGTGGTTACAGATACAAGAAACCCACTGACTTTAAAAGAAAGAAATTGCAATTACTGACCAAGAAACCACTTTATCTTCATCTACATCAAACTTTGCACAAGGAATGACCCTGCCATGAATAACCTGGAACTTCTGTGAATTTTACCACTCACTAGAAACCGTCGTAGCTCTGTGTAGAACATTCACCCTCAGCAGGCAGGAAGCAAGCCGGCACCGTGCCAGCAGGCCAGTGCGAGTCCACGGCCAAGCTGCAGCAGCCCCATGTCCGGAGCATCACTGCCATGCAAGCCTCCTTTGGATACAGGCTTACTGTAGGTTTTGAAACCTGTTTTTACTTTTCTATTGATTGTGCAATTAATAGTCTCTTTTCTGATTTACCACTACTGCCCGCTTCCTGGAACAACACTGCTGTGGGTAGGATGTGCCCATCTTCAAACTTACTACAGCAATAAGAATGTACTAGAGTTTACACATCTGTTCACTTCTGCTCCACCATGTTCTTTTGGATTTTTGAGTTAATGTCAAACTTTGGGCCGATGTGGGTAGGATAGTATGAAACTGCGTTGAGGGCTTGGACCAATTATGCTGTCCAAGAAGGAAATTTCTAGGCCACTCCTCCGAGATGGCCTAAATTCACCCTGATCTCATCCCTTTCCTGCTTAGAGTGTGCCTTGGCCAGATCAGTATCCATATGGGAGCGTTCCCAGGTTGTAGCTGGGATTTTGCCAGATGACCAGATTGTTCCTGAAAGTGAGCATGTGTTTAGTCGTGTTGATTTGCTGGTCCTTCTATGCCACATTGTTATTCTTCCCAATAGCAATTCTCGGGTTAACGTGGAACCATCTCAGAATAATTACAAATTGTTAGATGGGTTAATAACGTCTTCTAAATCATGTAATCTAAAAATAATTGGAGTCAGATGCTAACAAGACTCTGCAGGAATGACTGCTGTTTTTCTGACGACTGATTGTGAAACCTGAAACCTGCAAACCTCTTATAGCGAGGAGTATGCGACATTTGGAGATACTCTATTTTTTTTTTTTTTACATAGGTAGATAGGATTGCCATTTATTTCCTGTTTAGATATATCAACATTCATCCATATGGAAATATGCAGGTCATTAGCTTATTATAATTTGACTATTTACATTACATTTGACTTAATGGAGCATAAATAAAACTTTCGTAGCACACGAGGCGGCTATTTGATGCACAGCACATCGAGATCTGGGGTGGGCTCTGTGGGTTGGATGTGGAGCCCACGTGTGCACTCTTCACTACTTTCAGTGGCCAGTGCTGGCAGGAGGGAATGAGGTGCCAGTGTTTGGCCTGTTTTTAAATAGTGTAATAACCCACCATACTGTTCAATGTTTGCTTTTTAAAATAAGTAACCACAGTTAAGTTGTCCTAGCCCTTGCACTTCAAGAGATCTAGTCTTGTCTTTCCATTATCTGTTAGGTCAGTTCTGGTTACTACTAAGATGGATGTCAGAAACTTTGAGCCTGAAAGAATTCTCAACCAGATTTAGTCTTGTCTCTCGTCTTGATTAGATTAATTCCAAGATGATTCAGTGCACAGTAGTTGGAGGGGATGAGGAATTGCCTTAAATAACTTCGTTGTTCACTCAACTCTTAGACTGTGAGCTGCCAGCCCCCCAGACTGTAAGCTCCCGAGGGGCAAGAACCACACTTTCTCCCTGTCCTGTCAATCCCGAGGAGCTTGGCAGCGCCGTGCCCTGCGGGGCACTCGGGACCTTTGATGTCGCTGACGAGACCTAAAAAATTACCCCTCAAAAACCTACTATTAAAATGTAGCAAAACTGATATATTGTTCTTTCTCTTTTCTCATAGACCATAAGACATGTATATCAAAGTGATAATTTATATGAAGCATCTGCTACTGTTCACATAAGTATGGTTTATATGAACTACACATGCCTTTCATCAGTATTAAAGAAGCTTAAATTGAACACTGTGTGAGTAGCTTAGCTTTAATTCAGACCCGAATGATATGACAAAATGAGTGATTGTCTGAAGCAGTCGACACAAAATACTCCATATTCCACAAATTACTTAAATTTACTTTAAATGAAAAAAAAAAAAAATCAGCTATTGACCAACCACCATGAGTGTAGCAGAAATGCTTTCAGACTGAAACCCTACTGCTTGATCAATGAGATGATTTCCACAACTAAGCCCAGAAACAATTAGCTGGAGATGACTTCTGAAATAGTTGTGAATTCTGAGATGGTCGCATGTGACCTGGAGGTGGTCCTCCCCCTTTCTGGATAACGGCAGCTTGCCTGGGCTCTTCTGTGGGCCGAGAGGGGCCCCCAGGGCAGGTTCAGAACTGCTCAGGTAAGTGACACTGATATTCTCCAGCTTACTGATTTTCAGTGATATGAGCTATAGAATCAATGCCCAAAAAAGCTTTAGAGGTAAAAAAAAGACTCCAGCTTTGATTGATTTAAAAAACAGATTTCATTTACCTTTCCTACTTATCTTCCTAGCTGGTATAATCTATATTTAAATGTTATTTAAAATTAGAAATGATATGAACTTCATCATTATTTTGTGCCCTAAAGAGATTGAAATATTCAAAAGTTGTATTTATGATTTAATCTTATTTTACATGGTTAAAAATAATTTTTGCTATTAACTATGGAGTTTTCCTCTTAAATTTCTTCTAGTCTTGATATTAAATGGGAGGACCTATTGAAATTCTTTTGCTGAAGATATATTACTTACAAATTTTGAAAGAGTTCTCTTCTTTCAAAGGTCTTTATCTTTCTCAAGTAGTATATATATCAGTGGTTTAGTCTAAAGGAATATTTTGTTTCACAGTAAAAATTTTGCTTTTTTTAATAGGGTATTTATTCTTTGTGGATTAAAGATCATAACTCTGATCTAGGTAATATCATTACATCATAGAACTTCAGAGAATGGGAGAGTCTGGTCAAGCAGTAAACAAGGATATCAGCTTTTTATAATTTTGATTTCATCTACATATTAAACTTTTTGAAATGTGCTATTAAGTTACTATAATTTAAAGGGTCTAAAGAGTTAGTTCTTAAGAAACAATTGTTTATAAGACAGGGTGTAGTAACAGTATAAGACTTTTAACTATGGTGTAATCCCAGATTCTTAGATATACTGATTTTTTAAATATAAGGGCCAACATTCAAATATTAACTGTGGAGTAGAATCAATCAGTGAAAAGAATCGAGGTCGGCCATGGTTGCTGACCTAGGGCATGTTACAAGCCTGAAAATTCCAAATCGTTCTTTCTCATAGTATTCTACTCTTCTGATTGTTTTTGCCATATTCTTTGAAAATCATAGGCAAAATATGGGAGAAATAATAGACTCTATATTTTTTAATAAAATAAATTTCCTTATATGGTCACAAGATGTTGTTTTCATTTTTCTGTTGTGCACCCTTAATGCAAGAACAGCAGAAGCAACAGAACATCAGGTCAAACAGTTCTTGCTGCTACTATAAACTCATGCTCAGGAAACGGACTAGAGTTAGCCACAGAAAGCCCGTGAGTGCTGTACAGATGGGCCCACTGCTGAGGTCAAGGAAGACCTCAGTCATGGTGCCCAGGTGACGGAGGCCGAACCTCCTGAGCAAGGAGCAGCAGGGCGCCTGCCTTTATAGCTTCCCAAAGGCACAGTCTCATGAGCAAACAAGCCAATGAATCAACAGACACCTGGGAAACATTAATAACCAAATTTTAATGAACTTTTACTGCAAAGAACTTCAGCAAGAGGGGAGATAAAGTTCAGTGATCTTTTAGTAAACATTTTTAGCGTAACAGTCCTTGCGACCAGATACTTTAAAAATTCAAGCTTATAAACACCGTCGCTCTACATTCAACTGGTGTACACTAAAAACAGGATAATAAATGGAAATACACGTTCTTAGAGCATTTCCACAGGAAATGTCCATATTTTTCATGATGTTCTAAATCATTTAACAGTCACATATGCTACATTAACTAAAACACAGGTATTCTTTATTGCACATTTCAAAGTTGGAAGGAGGCTCTAGCTTAAGAGGTGGTTTTTATTTAGGGGGGAAATGGTATTTTTTTATTGTTTGGCTCAAAAATGCACACTGCCAGGGCAGCTTAGGTCTAAAAACTAACTTTATTTAAACTTTTGGATTAAGACTGTAATGAATAATGTGCAGTCCGCTCCCACGAGACTGCACGTCGGAGGTCAGTTATGGGCTCTGTTTCATTGCCTGGGAAGAGTCCTGGCTGCCACTCTGAGAGGCGGGGGGGGGCTCCTCTCGGGAGCCAGAAGGCAGTAAGTCTCTTGCAGCAGGTGAAGGATAATCTTGGGGGCCATGGCTTGGGGGCGGTAGTCGGGGGCCAGGAATAAAGTACTCTCGAGGGCCCGGAGAGCCTCCAGGTCTAAAGTGAGGGTGTCCTGGTACAAATCCTCGAGGGTCGAAAGGCATATCCCGTTTTCCAGGTGGAACCCCTGGTGCATATTCCCTTAAACCTAGAGGTGGCCGCATACCAGGTCCTGGAAAAATGAAAATTGCATCATGTAAATACATACGAACATACCTAGATTTACGTGATACCAGATATGTTGATCTTTAGTTTCTCCCAACCCTAGAAGTCAGGGGGTGATCCCCACGCTTCATACATCAAACAGACTCCGCAAGTTTGAGTTTCGGCCTATGGCCAACCAGCCGTGAAACAACACGGGCAGGATTTCAACATGGCTCCACTAGCTACGGTCTTCCTCCTAACAAGTCTGCAGCTACCGCACAACACCTTGGTTTGTGTTGAACACATTATGAGAAATGGGGCTTCACAAGATAAAGAAATTTTGATACAGGAAATCCTCTGTCTACTGTATCAATTAAAAATCCACATAGTAGCTCAGCTGGACCTACTGGCCATCAACTCAAGGTGCTCGCCGTCCTGGGAAGGCCGTCCAGCTCCACCTAACTAAATTCAGCAGCATTCATTAGGTAGCTGTCACATTCTACCTTCTCTAAAACTTCCTTCCCATTTAGTCCCAAGGTGAGGAGTGAGGGTTTAATCTTCCCTTTAGACTCTGACCCATTTACGTTGTTTTAATGTGCGTAGCTGTGTCCTATGGGACACCGGAAGCTCTCGGGAGTTTGGACAGTGGGGAGGTCCATCCATCATTCCAGAGCCTGGCATGTGGCCGCAGATGTTCCATAAACATCTGCCGCAGTGCTGTTCCTGGCTTTCTTGTAGACAGCCCCTTTCTGCTGTCCACCAGAGTGTCTGCTGCCCATCTCCACACAGGCGGTTATGCAGCAGTCATGTGTCCTACAAAACTTGAGGGCAAGTTCAAATGGACTCAGCCAGCTTTACCCTTTCATTACATAGCCCTGTGATAGCAACTGTTAAAATTTTAGCAAGGAACACACAGAAAAGATGATTAGCTTTACAGGTCATGGACCACTGTTCAATAATCATACCAAATGGTGGAGGAAATGGCCGAGGCCCGAAAGGCCCGCAGAGTTGAGGAGGTGGTCCGTATCGAATGGGTGGTGGTACAGGGCCTCCCATGGAGGAGCTCATGAGGGGCACCCCTGGGAAAGGAGGGGGTCCTTCTGCAGCCATATTCACCTGCAGAGCAGAAACAGTTCAAGTTTTGAAATACTTTGGAATGACAAGCAGAAGCACCAACACCAGAAGAGCTGAACCCCCAAGGAAGCAGATGTCAGGCACCTGCCAATGAGCAGAGCCGGTGCAACAGGACGGCGCAGCAGGGAGTTTTCTGTGATCGTGCTGCTGCTGCTCTGTGCAAGGGGAAGGGAAAGGGGGGCTGTCTGTCAAAGGACAGTAACAGGTGATTCTGAACTAATAAAAAAATCACACCATACTATACACGATCACCTGTTTCTAGGGCAACACCTCCCTCCGCATATCCCTCCCATCACCACAAAGTTCATTATTTCCATACTAAGAATAGAGAAAACAAAAGGGAACAAAATTCATTTTCTGCACATGCAATCATAGCTACTATTCAGAGCAACTTCAATTTCCTTTCTAATTCTCAGATCTCTGAATCTCTAGATATAATCATCTTGTTTTAAATAGCAAACAACATAGAGCGTATTGGACAATGTGCTGAAGGTTATACAGCATGTAAGGGGCTAAGGGAGAAGTCACTGTCAGGTCCGATCCTCCCACCTCTGTCTCCCTCTAACAAAGCAGTCTGTTCTCTTTGAAGTCTTCCACTTCAAAGGGGCCTGGGGTCTTATTCAAGCTGCCCCTGGAGAAAAGGAGCTGTCAAAGGGATATTTCTGGAGTCCTGCACTGAAACGAAGAATTCTCCAACAGAAGCAGTGTTCTATGTATAAGTTGGACAGGCACGGCGCCAACTGCCTTCATTCACCAGTGGTGCTGTATGTTAGGAGATGATGACTAAGCTTTCTAATGGGAAACTGGGTTGGAAATTCTTTTGTTTTTTATCCTCACTCGAGGATATTTTTGCATTTATCTTCAGACAGAGCAGGAGGGAGAGAGCGGGGAAGAGAGAGAAACATGGATGTGAGAGAGGCACATGGACTGGTTGCCACCCACACGACCCCAACCAGGGCCAGGGACAAACCGCAACCGAGGTACGTGCCCTTAGGGAACCGAACCCCGGCCTCTCCGGTCCGTGGGCTGACACTCTAACCGCTGAGCCAAGCCAGCCAGGGCATGGGTTGGAAATTCTAAAAGATTAAATCACACGGACTTCGATCTCAACCTAAAGCAGCACTGTGAGGCATGATCAGGGGACTTACTGACTAAAACAGCTACACAAGTGACAAGAGAGTAACTCTCCTGTGAAGGAGAGTCAAGGCCTTGCTGGGAACCGGCACAGCAGGAACTGCAGGTTTTCACTAGTCAGTACTTCACCTCCAGCACACATGCTATCTTCTGTTACCAAGCTGTAATTCCAGATTATTCAAAACAGGGTTTGCCTGGAGATAGTCTTAAATAGTAGACTTCCAAACGCGTATGTAATAATGGTAACTGTGCAATACACATGGATTTTCTTTGCCTTAGAGCACTCAACAATTTAGCACACATGTCAAGGCGGAGTGATGGCTGCACATTTTTCAGTTAATTACAACACTAAGGAGGTCAATCACCTAACCAAAATAGAAACAGGACAAAGAAAACAAGCAACCAGTCAGATTTCAGCAACTGAGAAACACTTGTGAGTCCAAGACGGAGAAGATCACGCTGCCATGCAGCTTAACAAGGCCGATTAGTGCTCTGCATGTCCTGCAGAAACACACCACGAGAAAGCCGGGCTCAGTCCTCAGCCTCTGAGTACTTACTGCTGCTGGATGCTCAGCCAAAGATGTACTGCTGGGAACCGAAGGGCCTTCACACTCTTGGGGAACAATTTGCTTGTTAAAAAATAAATGAGACAGTACAGATATGACAGAACACCGAGACGGGAGGATGAGGCAGAGGGTGCTGCAGGAACAGTTAAACGTTTCCTGAAATGCTTACCTTGCCCTCATCCACCACCTTCGAAGGGGAAGAGCTTCTCGGGCTGCTGTTCATCAGCAGAGCTGCACCAGACCCTGGATCTGCTGAAGGCCAGAGGACTGAATTAGACTGATTCCTCTTTGAGGAAGAATAAAAGGTCCTCTCCGCACATGATTTTACACTCAACACACTCAGGTCCCTGTCAGAAGCAGAGGGTTTCCCAGATGCCTCAGAGCACTGGAGGTGAGGCAGAGGTCCTTCCACTGAACCCCGAGAAAGAAAGAACAGAGCCCTTGCATGGATGTTCAGAAGGAAAAAACCAGTTGTGGACAGCCAGGGTTCAACTCTGCCTAGAAAGCAACATTAAAAACGGGTCCCCCAATACCTCAGAGGGGAAATCACAATTCATGCACAGACTTAAAGAATTAAAATGAGAGCTGCCTTGGATTGAACGAATGACAACAAAACCTGCACATTAGCAGCGATGGTCGGTCTTCACGCTACCGGCTTGATGCAGCTCTGTAGGCTGGTTTATTTTCAGTGTGTATGGAACGACTTCCATATCTTGTCAAGTTTCATAGACATATTTATGAATAGAAACAGACTTACAGCATTTCATATTATAATGAGAAATGGTTGTATGCTGCATAAATTATCAAGTTTAAGGCTATTTTTATAATATTCAAGAAAGGAACTTCATAAAAATGTATTTTAAAAATAAAGGCTTACACATCCCAGTAAAAAAAAAAAGCAAAAACTATGTATTTACTTTCATATAAATATGTTTTACATATTTATTTATATGTAATAAATATTAGTAATAATAAATAGATATTCTGTTCTAAAGCATTTTGCAGCAGACTATTTGAAACACTCAGTAAGAATAATTAAGAAATTTCTTCTCTAGTTGGACAAGCCCAAATTCTAAAATGTTGCTCACTTTAGAATTCTCAAATAAAAGGGGAAGACACTCTTGAAACAGTTTACAGGCAACATGAGAATGCTCACCAAATTCACTTCTGGGCACATCTCTCCGACTGAGCGTGGCAGAGAGGGGTCTCGCGGGCGGGTCTCTTGGTGGAGGGGAGCATTCTCCACCACTCACAGGCGATGGGCCGAAAGAGCCATTCTGGCTCAGGGGACCTGCAGACGACAGTCCAATTACCACTTCCAGGCAACCTTTCTTTTTTTTAGTAAGTTCTTGGCATTATTTCCAGGGCATCATTACTATTACACACAGAAACAAAAAGTAACCTATATACAGTTTGTACCAAAATAGAGATTGCTGCCCGCTGAAAGGCTCCCTACCTCTCCGCGGAGCATTTTGTGCGTTGGGTCTTCCTGGCATCGGTTTTACAATCACAGGTTCTTGCAACATTGCCATCTTTTGGGTTAATTCTAATAATCTTGAATATAAAGAAAGGATGGATTTAAATATGAAATCAAAACTCAATTCTCATTAAATATCACACAGCATAAGCCTTAAAAACCTCTGAAACACACGGAAGAAACGGTGGGAGTCACCTACTTGTGCCTCAGGTTGGCTGCCTCCCTTTTCTCTTCAGCCATGGCTCTTTCTGCAGCACGAGCTTTGAGCTGTGGAGGGAAAAGCACCCAAACTCAGCTGCGGTCAACTGTGCAGCAAGTAAAGCAGAGGAAAAAATCTTACCCAGTTGTCGTGAGCTTTCTTCTCATTAGCAGAAATCTGAAAAAGACAACGCATCAAAAAATATGTTTCCAGCTTCATTATACTAGTCTGTAGGAGCTCCCAAAGAATTCTGCAGCAATATGGCAGTAATTACCTGGTCTTTAAAGGAGCGCTCTGTTTTCTGTAATTCATCCTCCAATTCTTCAATTCTCCACCTGAGTGAGAATTTCACTTGCTTTTATCAATTCAGCACAACTGAATAAAATGTTAAATTCACCGTGTCCCCTTTACTCTAACTGTACCCAAACAAATTTCATCCGTAAAGCAGAAACGTATCTTACATGGTTATAATAAGAGTACAATATGATCAAAATTAATACCACATAACTTCCTTATTTATTCTGAGTTGATACATTATAATGTCTTTAACTGTTCTTCAATCTGTTCTCAAATAAGCCTGCCATGAATATCTTCCTCGACAAAGCTTTTTCTTCCTTATATCCACAGAAAATTTCCCAGAGCTATGAGTAATGGGTCCATAATGGCATGGTCTTTCTAATGGTTTTTGCCTTCCTCAAGCAGTTACTGCCCCATATAAAACCACTCAGAACTGTTGGCATGAACCAGGTTCCCTTTCGCAGTGGTTCTCAACCTTCCTCATGCCGCGACGCTTTAATACAGTTCCTCATGTCGTGGTGACCCCCAACCATAAAATTATTTTCGTTGCTACCTCATAACTGTAATTGTGCTACTGTTATGTCTTAGGCGACCCCTGTGAAAGGGTCGTTCGACTCCCAAAGGGGTCGCGACCCACAGGTTGAGAACCGCTGTCTTACAGCCTTGCCAGTGTTGGGTGTAGGAAAATTTTTGTTAAATATTTTTTTCCTTTGTTACCTTAAAAAAAATGTAAGTTAAATATATTCATGTCCTTTGACCATTATTCATGCTTCTGGGCTATTTTGTTGTATAAATTATAAAAATGGTTCGTTTTTTTATAAAGCCGACAGAAGTTTCAAGCTCCAGAGGCTGAACTCACTTGTAGGTCTTTATTTCCTCGGCCGCCGACACCGCCTTCTCATCGGCCGCCGACAGCCGCTGCTCCCGCTCTCGCCGCTCGAACTCTTCCTGGCTCAGCTTCCTAGGGCAAAGCCAGCGCGGTGAGCTCTCCTCCCGGCGCCTGTCACTGCCCTACTCAAACGTCACTACTTCCCGTCCTCTCTCACATGCACAGACACACAGACAAATTCAGAAGAAGGAAGTCACGCCTGCCATTTAGGGACAAAAATCGATCTCTGGTCTGTCGGCAAATCACCTGCATGTTCTAACTTCTCGTATATCTCTACTTATTAATAAATAAAACAAACACATGGAAAAAATCATGTGCCCCACTGGCAACTTTCTCGGGCTTGAGACGAAGCTCACTGGACACAATGTGGAAAGCCAGGGCCAACCTGCCTGACACGGTCAGGCTTATGATGGAGCAGGGGACGCTTCTCCTGTTTCAACCATGGAAAGATTTATAATTACTTCTCTTATTTCTGTTAAGGAAGGACTGCTCCTCAGTTCAAGACTGGCACCACGAGACAGTCCGCTGAAGAAAGAGCCTAAGCACTGGCAATGTCTACTGAATAGAAAAAGAATCCGACTGTCCCATAATCGGCGTACGATCTACCAGAACCTGGTTTTAACCCAATAACCTTCAAGCTCAAGATGTCAATCTACTATAACATAAATGACAATGGTTAAAACATTGAATGGTTTAAAAATGCTGTTTTCTTGTTCCTCTTGGACCTCTTTGCTCATGGTTCTGATTCAAAAGACACTTAACTTGAAATTTAATTTTCTATGAATCAGAAGCAAAATGGGAGAAGAGCAATAGTAAAAAGTATTAATAGCAACAAAGAGAAAAAGGTTTATGTATTCTTAACTGCCCATTCAGTACTTCAGTAAGTGTTCTATGAGTGGCTATAATACGCCAGTTGCCTAGTACAATGCTACGATTCAAGTATGGACAAATACTGTTATATACAATGTTCGCCACTCAATTAAAACTGTCAGGGCACTCTGCAAGACTTTGTGATCAAAATCTGAAAGACAAGCAAAATGGACCCATCAGGTACCCACAAACTTCGAAATAATTGTGCCTTATATATTTAAGGAAGTAAATGGCAAAATTATGAGTTTGAGCAGAGGAACAGAAACTATAGACCTGAAACACTGACATTAAGAATTCAATGAACGATTTTAGCAGCAGAAATGACAAATCTGCTGGAAGATGGGTCAGAAAAAAAATTCCAGAATAAAGCAAAGACAGATAAGAACATAGGAGACATAGAAGAAATAATTTAAAATGTTTAAACAGTTATCTCAGAAGAAGAGAGAATGAGGCAGAATCAATACACAAAAAAGACACCAAAATTCAAGAGGTGCTGATGATCCCAAGCAGCAAAACAGATAGGAAAGGGAAGGGATGAGGAAGAGAAACAAAAACAAAGAACCGCCCTGGCCGGTTTGGCTCAGCGGTTAGAGCATCGGCCTGCGGTCCCGAGAGGCCCGGGTTCGGTTCCCGCTAAGGGCACGTACCTTGGTTGCAGTTTGTCCCTGGCCCTGGTTGGTCGTGTGGGTGGCAGCCACTCGATGTGTCCCTTTCACGTCGATGTTTCTCTCTCTCTTCTTCTCTCTCCCTCCCACTCTACCTGAACAAAAAATGTCCTCGGGTGAGGATTAAAAAACAAAACAAAACAAAACAAAAAAAACAAAGAACCACCCACACATGGCACCTTCCCATGAAACTGCTGCAAGACCAGAAAGAATGACAAAAGGCAGCAAGGACCGGGGAGCATCTGACAGGAAGATAGGATGGCACTGGAATGCAGGGAACTCAGGTATTTTTGTGCAGAAAAAAACTTAAAATGATCTATAAAAGTATATCTTTCCAAAGATACCTAACTCCAAATTTGAGATGTATATTTCAGAAGATTAATCCCAAAATATACACACCAAACAGTCATTTCTGTTTTAAAACTCTCAACATCCTTGCCACAATTACATTATATAATGTTCAGTGTGAGTATTTGATTATATTAAGTCCAAAACTTATATCTTCATAACCAAATATTCCTTTTGAAGTATTTATTTTACTAAAAATCATGTATATAAATCGTTCAGGATTTTTTAAAACTATAGAAGAGGTACGGATGTTAAAAAACAAAAAAAACCACTCCACAACAATAACTATTAGTCCCAATACACCACTCCCCCTCAAATAAATTGCAGGCAATAATTTCTGACAACGGTGAGAATGACAAGAAAACTTCAAGTTATGGAAAATGGAAGGAAAAAAGGCAACCCTGTACTAATTGTAGATGGAAAAATGTCATAATCTCTTAAAAAGAGACAAAATGATCTATCAGAGTACACACAGTTAAGTGACAAGACTGCTGACAACCCCTGAAAACCTTACTTCTGCAGAGTCATCTCCTTCTGCTGATAGAGCTCACTCAGGATCTCCACCTTCTGCTTCAGCGTCTTGTTCTCTTCTTCCAGCCCAGCCTTGGCAGACTGCAGGGAGCTGCGATCGTCTTCTAATCTCTTTATTTGGTCTGTGAAGGAGAACACCTCTGAGCTGTGTGTGTGCGAAAGGACTTGACAGCTGGAGGGTGAGAAATACGAAAACGGGGCCCCCCTTTCTCTTTTCAACACAATTCTGTATCTTTCCAGTATTTGGCATCTTACCTTCCAGGTTACATTTTGTGGACATCGAGGCTCTCAGCTTTGATTGTAGAAGTTTTAGATCCTCTTCAATTACTGATATTTCCGTTTGGGTCTAAAAAATGCAGCAGAGAGAGACGTTCTTAAAAGTGAGGCACAGTAAGGATTCACAGGCATTTATGGCACTCTGTTCTGTACAAAGGATGATACCCGAGAAACGTCCATCATCTGCTTAATTTGATTTTTCATCTTCTCACTTCGGTCACCTAAAAAAAACAAAAGGTTTTCATTACTTTTTCCTTCCATGCTTTTAAACTACATTTTCTTAATTTTCCCCATACTTAACAATTACCATGTTTAAACATTCAAAGGCAAAACAAATTAACCAATAGCACTAATTGGGCTGCTTGACTTTTAAGAGAATCGCAAACTTCGATTCAGAATGAAGGTGCAGTAACAATGTTACCCGTGCTGTCCTGAGCAAGGAGGTGCAGTAACAATGTTACCCGTGCTGTCCTGAGCAAGGAGGTGTAGTAACAATGTTACCCGTGCTGTCCTGAGCAAGGAGGTGTAGTAACAATGTTACCCGTGCTGTCCTGAGCAAGGAGGTGTAGTAACAATGTTACCCGTGCTGTCCTGAGCAAGGAGGTGTAGTAACAATGTTACCCGTGCTGTCCTGAGCAAGGAGGTGTGCGAGGCAAAGCTCTGCCTTCCCCCACATCTACCTCCACCTGCTCAGGCATCTTCTTTAGAAAGACTCACTCCTCTGCTCTCCCCTAGAATCTGCTCCTGGGTGAGGTTGAAAGCACCCACTGTGCAAGCAATATCCACCTTGGGAAACAGTCTAGAAATGTCATCAGGTGACACAGCCACACTTCAGCCTCGCTCTCCTGACCCCAGTTAGCTTATGGCTCCCACCAACTCACTGCTCTGAAAGTCGGTTGTGGGGCCTTAAAACCACAGAGCTCAGAGATGATGAGCATTAAATTCAAATGCCATCTCCATGAAGGTGAGCCAAGTGTCTCCAGTTGAACAGGGTTCAGTACTTAGCTCCAGTGCACATCCAGTTCTAATGCGCTGGAAAAGCAGCCAGTGCTCACTGCTCGCCCAGTTAAACCACAGCCCAGCAACCCACCTCTGCCCAATGCCCATAGCTCTCAAGGAGCATTAGTATACTTAAATACAGGGAGGCAAAAAGAGGACCGACCTCCCCGAAACCGATCTTACCTCCCACTTCCCCATTTGCTAATTCATCTGACTCATCTCCTCTTTTATTTTGACGCTCAGATTCAGATTCACAATCTAACCGATTCAACTGTGTGATACAATTCGTCAAAGCCTAGAAAAGAAGCAAAATGGTTTTAGAAAGAACCTCTCAGTTTTAATTGAGCAGGCTGCAAGGGAATTCATGAGAATAAGACGTGTATCTAAGAGAATGAACTTACACTGATATTATCATCTTTTTGAGTAAGAGTTACTTCCAAATCTTTCTGAGACTTCTCAAATGATTTTATTTGCTCACTGAGTTTAGCATGGGCTTTATTCAAGTCTTTGATTTCCTGCTGCAACTGAAAAGTGAAAACACATGAGTTTCCAAAAGTTAGGGCTTTTGCACAAAAGACATCAGGACCATGTGAATGAGACAGGTTAGTATGAGCCATGCTCCTCCTTGGCCAGCATGATGGGCTAAACCCTGGTTCAGGGCAAAGGCAGAGTGGCTCTAACCCTGAGAACTGCAGTGGGAAAAGAGCTGTCAAAAGTTACCAGTTTACTATAATTGTAGCCAATTCAAATAATTAACTTCCAGTGGGACGAGAGGGGTACAGTCTCAGTCTCCCAGACTCCAGATCTTGTAATCTTCCCTTGATCGGTGAAGCAGTAACTGCTTAAACTAATTCTTAAGTTTCAGAAGCAAATCCATCGCCCCCTCGAGGCCATTCAAGTTAAAAACTGGTTGGTGTTTGACAAGACAACAACTAAAACACTCTGTTAGCTCTAAGAAACTGCACAAAAGAACAGAAAATCCAGAACAGATGGAGAGCAAACACATGTACTCAATTTGGAGAGCACAGTTTAAACTTTGCATATCTCAGAATAGAATCCTGCACACACATTTCATGTCCCTAAAAACAGATCTGAGAAAAGATATTCAAGAGGCAATGATAGTTGGTCTCTAGATTACATAATCTATGGCATTAACTTTTCTTTACCTGGTCTTTCTTCTTCTTAAGCTTAGCATTCTCTTCTTGAACCCGATGGCATTCAAACTTCACCTTCTCTTCACTAAGTTTAGCTTCGTTAAGGGCAATCTGAACCTAATGCAAAACACTCCTATTAGCGAATTAATTCCAAAGAAAAAGTTACACTCTCCCAATGAGACATCAGATAGTTTTCGTTTGTTTGCATGTTTTAGCACACATAACTGTTTGCTCCTCAATAAAACTAACACATCAGGTTACTATCCTGCAGGAATTGCAGGCAGCTTTACCTCTGACAGCTCTGAGGCATTCATTGCGATCACGTCCTTTAACTTCTCTAAAGATACCTTGTTTTCCGATATCTGCCATGTGGAAAAAGAACACGAAAAATATATTAGGATTTCAGTAGAAACACTGGGATCTATGCTAAATAAGAAGAGCTACCCCCTACATATCAGATAAAAGCAGGTGATCCAGCCTTAGACTACAAGAAAAGTCAAGAATGTAAAGAGATAGGGGGGAAAGAAAATAATTGGAGGCATAAGTGTTTCATGCCACCCACAACCTTCCTGGCTATGAGATAATGTGGTAGATGATCAGACAAAAAGGTGAAAGCAAAGAAAATTAAAAGACTTTCAAGTAAACCAATCCAATTTTTTGTTTGTTTGTTTTTGTTCAGATAGAGCGGGAGGGAGAGAGAGGAAGAGAGAGAGAGAGAGAGAAACATCGACGTGAAAGGGACACATCAAGTATCAAGTGGCTGCCACCCGCATGACCCAACCAGGGCCGGAGACAAACTGCAACCGAAACACGTGCTCTTAGTGGGAACCGAACCCGGGTCTCTCTGTACCGCAGGCCGACACTCCAACCGCTGAGCCAAACCGGCCAGGGCCACTTTCTTTTTTTTTATCCTCAACCGAGGACATTTTTCCATTTTTTGTTCAGATAGAGTGGGAGGGATAGAGAGGAACAGAAAGAGAGAGAGAAACATCGACGTGAAAGGGACACATCAAGTATCAAGTGGCTGCCACCCGCATGACCCAACCAGGGTCGGGGACAAACTACAACTATGTACGTGCCCTTAGCAAAAACCAAACCCGGGTCTCTCTGGACCGCAGGCCGACGTTCTAACGGCTGAGCCAAACTGGCCAGGGCCCCAAGGTCACTTTAAAAATTATTTTGCCTGAACTAAAAATGGTTGGATTTGAGAACAAATCTCACATATAGAAGTCTTCCAAATAATTTATGAAGATGTTGCCTCCCCAGGGAGATGGAGCATACTCTCCTCTTTACCTGTGGGTTGTGCACAGTGACTTCCTTCCAGAATACAGCACACAAAGGGTGGGAAGGGTAACTACACAGTGGAGAAGCCTCAGCCAGGTGATCAAGCTTAACTGGGTGTGTGATATACAGGAACCCTCTCTCACTGTTGCCGCTTTTAATTCTAAAACTATTCTAATATTAAACGTTTATTTTTAAAAAGAACCATGCAAACACAACAAAGTACTAGAACTGTTCCACTGGGCTACAGTTTCTTAGCTGCTCAAGCAATATAAAAGCTACCCAGGGCTGAGGACAAAAATACTTCCTGGGACCATAAAAATAATAACTTGTGATATTAGCATTTTAAATTCCTTAAAAATGGACTGAGTAGGTTCGACTTCCATGACTCCCAATCTTAATTATTCAAGTTACAACATGGGAAAATGCAGAGTTCAACTCACCCAATCTACAAAATAGCTTGAAAAGGAAAAAAAAAGTTTGAAATCCAAATTCCGTTAACATCTAGCAGCAAAACTCTTACCAAGTTCTCGTTCTTGGCATTCTGTTCTCTCTCAGATTCTAACATAAGACGCAGATTTTTAGCTGTATCGTTCAGATTTTCCTTAGCTTCTTCAAGTTCCTTGATTTTATCCTATTAAAAAAGACATTAAGAGTAATTATAATTACTCGTTTCCTTTTGTTTTTAGAATGTAATCTCAAAAAGATCAAGAAGTTTTACCTTAATTTTAATTGCTTCATCACAGAGAATCATATTTTGTTTCTTGGTTTCTTGAACATGTTTCTTTGATTCCTTGATCTATTTAAATAAAGCATTCAGAATATAGAAATATGAATTAGCATGCTATCAAAACTTATCTGCATTAGATGACCCCTTAGAAAAGAAAGTAGTACTTTATACATTTGATAATTGCTTGACATTTGGATGGTTTGTAGGAAATAATGGAATTTTAAAATATGATTTAAAAATAGCACAACAACTATAAGACAGGAGGAGGCAATGATCCAAGCTGGAACCACAGTGAGGGGAACTAAAAGAATTATACCTTCTGTTCATAATTTGACAATTTTTGTACAAGGTCTGCGTTTTCTTTCTTGAGCATCTTCAACTTCTCAGAAATTTGCTCTTCAGTGACTAAAAACGGGGGGGGGAACCACAATGTGGTTATGACGACTAGCTAAAACTGAATTACCTAATGTATTAGCAACAAAGACATCTTATCCTGCACTATCAGGGAAAAGAACTTCTTAGCATAACTATTAGCCTTTAAAAAGCGATCTGTAGTTAAGAGCTATAAAGGTGTAAAAATATTAAACTTTTCTATATTCTTCCCTTCATGAAGCGCCTTTCTTTGCAGAAACTGTGATCATTTCAAATATATATCACTTACAAAGAGAAACAGACAGAAAGTATGGCATATTGATTCGCCTTTTTTTATTCCCCAAATTATCTACTTAAATAAATATATATACTATATTGATTAAACCATTAGCACAGGAACCCTGTTCACATGTGGTAAATTTGCGTTGCATCAACATTTAATGTCAATCTGCCCCAAAGTAAACCAATCATCTTCCTACTCCCTGTTTGCTCCACCTCATCCCCTATCTCAGTGGGTAGCATCCAAGCTAGCAACCTAGGATTAGTAAAAGGTTTATAAATCAAAATGTTAGTAAATCAATCAGACAGCAGCTATCACTATATCTAGGTCAAGCTTGTAAAACTCATATCAAACACCAATAATGAGGAAACAGTACAAATAATAAAATCAGCCTAAATATTTACCTTGGTATACATGACTCTTTACCTAAGAGAGAGAGAAATAAAATTAAATTTGATGTCAAAAGTTTGTATCAATATTAATATTATAGTTCTAATACAACAGTTAAACCATAACTACAGGAAAATTTAATAACAGTTGGTTCAGCCTAATGAGCCATAGAATTAAAAATAGGTTAAAAAGCATTTCAAATATAATTGGTAGTGATACTTCATAGTTTCTGATAGATAAAAGCAATAAGGCAAATACCTTATTTTGCAACAAAAGATACATTTATATATCCCTATTAAATGAGCACCAATTAGTATATTTAATGTGAATTAAATTGAATAAGCACTCAACTTTAAAAATGAAAAAGATAATATTTTCACATTAAATATACTAATACTTCATTTGCCGGAAATAATTTGACAACCCCAAATAGTCAAAATGAGGTCTAGAAACAATGATTATTCAAAAAGACAAAATTAAATGCATTATCTTTGTACTAAGATATGGCTCTCCTTCTCACCAGAAAACATCTTGGAAATCCTATTCAAAGTTGACTATTGGCTTAATTTAGAAATCTAATAAACTCTACCGTCTGATTTTCTCAAACCCCTAAAAATAGTGGTCATAAACGTGAAAGGGAAAGGAGAGTGCTACAGGAAAATTCACCAAGACAGCTCACATCTAAATCATCTCCTAAAGATAGCACTTAAGCCCTGGCTGGATTGGCTCAGCAGTTAGAACGTCGGCCCGTGGACCAAAGAGTCCCGGGTTCGATTCCAACCAAGGGCACATACCTTCATTGTGGTTCGTCCCCTACCCGGGTTGGAGTCATGCCTGGGGTTCATGAGGGTGGCAAGCAGTAGATGTGTCTCTTTCATGTCGATGTTTCTCTCTCTCTCTCCCCCTCTCACTCTGTCTGAAGATAAAGGTAAAAATATCCTCGGATGAGGATTAAAAAAAAAAGGTAGCACTTATTTATAGGATAATAAGATCTAAGCAATACTCAAAAACAGTGTTACTGAATGTCTTTGTAACCCAGAATTTATTTCTCTTTCAAACATTATAAATGGTGATGAAATACTCAGATCAGCCCACAAATGATCTGTGATATATTAATATTATTAGAGTACCACTTATACTAATATTGTTACAGGAAAATACATTCTGAGTTCCTAAAAGGAAATAATAATTCTTTCTCTAAATGCTAATGAGAGAGTAAGCTCCCTTTGCCCTCCTTTCACCCAAATCAACAGGCAGGAGAAAGAAGCAAGAAGCAGGCAACTGAGAGTCGGGACCAAGTCTCCCAAAGTCAGATGCCGAGGCTGAGAAGCAGTAGTTAGGACGCAGAGCCTGCATACCCTGTGAAAATCTAAACAGGCAGGTGTTAAGGATTTTAAGATGGGAAAAATAAGAGTGGGAAATAGAAAACATTTTCATCTTTTCCCCTTCCGTTTATCCTTTCTATTCTCCCTTTTCTCTTTTGTTTGAGGAAAACCCCTATAAGATTAGAGGAGTCCTCACAGGAAGCCGGGCCATAGACTCTTTCTTTTTTAAATCCTCACCCGAGGATATTTTTCCATTTTATTTTCAGATAGAGTGGGAGGGAGAGAGGGGGAGGGAAAGGGAGAGAGACATCGATGTGAGAGGGACACATCAACTGGTTGCCTCCCACACAACCCTGACTAGGGCCGGGGACCAAACCGCATTGCAACCAAGGTAAGTGTTCTTGACTGGAATCGAACCCATGACTCTGGTCCACTGTAACCGCTGAGCCAAACTGGCCAGAGTCATACAAGATCTTTAATGCATGATTGGTTATTTCTTTAGGCTAGATTATTAGACATGGTATTATACTATATAAAAGGATGTGAACATTTTTAAAGCTTCTAATACATATGAAATTGCTTTTCAGGATGGCTGTAGAACTTCCCAATTCTACTAACAGTGTATATGTTGGATTTTTTTTTTGGGGGGGGCACGTGCCCCTAGCAGGAACTGAACCCAGGACTCTCGGTCCATAGGCCGACGCTCCAACCGCTGAGTCAAACCAGCTAGGGCTATGTTGGTTTTGATATAAGGGATTTATAAATTGAAGTTTTCCCATTGAGATTATACACAGGTTGTCTTGTTCACTTAAGTCTTTACCAATGAAGATGACAATGAATTATTTTATAAGGTTAGTGTAGATTATATGCATTTATTTGTATTCGATTCGTGTTAGGAACTAAAAAAGAAACAAAAGGGCCAGTGCTTATAAAATATTCCTTGTATTTATCATGTATAAGGTAATCTAATTTACTTACAACAAGGATCGTTCTCCAGAAGAAAATGACAAATGAAGTAATTCCCAAGAAGGCAGTGATAAGTACAGGCTTCCATGGCAGTCCATAAAAATCAGGCCCAGGCTGACCATCACCATGCAATGTAGAAAGTAGCTGAAACACAAATAGTAGAAACAATGGGAAACCATAAAAATATTTACAATAGAGCAGCCACAAAGAATTATCCACAGCACCCGGCCAGTGTGGCTCAGTGGTCGAACATCGACCCCTGCACCAAGAGGTCGCTGGTTTGATTCCCAGTCAGGGCACATGCCCAAGGTGTGGGCCAAATCCTCAGTGGGGGGCATGCAGGAGGTGGTAATTGATGTTCTTTCTCATGGATGTTTCTATTCTCTCTCCCTCTCCCTTCCTCTCTCTCTAAAAGTCAATAAAGAAAAAAAAAGGCACATGAAACAAACTGAAATACTATAAAATAAACTTTTACAGTGGCAAATAAAACCAAAATGATAATTAACACAAATAAGGCACTTTTCCTCTAAGATTTTACATCCTAATGGTATTCCACTCTTACCTAAAGACAAATACTGAGGAGGTTCAGACAGCTGATAAATGGTCTAAACTTCTCTGAATTTAACTGTCATCTATAAAATTCAATGCTTTGTTTAAACGCTTCCTCAAAGACAGTGCATTAAACACCTGCCTGCTTCTACACTGTTTTCACTGCCCTCTAGAAGTTCACAATTAACTGTCAGGCTGGCCCCGCCCCCAACAGTACCAGGGTCACTGGAAGAGGAGGACCACAGGGACGTGTTTGTCACTGTTCATAGTGATCGAATACCAGACAGTAACACAGTACCTGCTACATCGTAAGTGCTCAATAAAAAGGTGAACAAGTAATGACACCTCTCGAACACACACTCCCGTTGGCCTCCTTAAACAGCACTGCAGGGTCCTGCCTGCCTCGGGCCTGACACACTCCCTGTCTCCCTCGCCCGGTCCTTCGGGCACCTGCTCCAGTCAGAACTATCCACCGGCCTGCCAGAGCTGGGGTCCCTCCCCGGGAATGGACCGTCACCTCCAGGAGCTTGGCTATGAGGGCTGCGTAGAGCACCGACAGGGGTCCCAGGAGCTCCGAGTCCCCCGGGGAAGCAGAGACAGAAGGCACAGTGGCAGGTACTGAGTCCATTGTGTGGGGCCAGATGAGCGGAGGCGACGCTTCCCCGTTACAGCACTGGACCCCCTTCTCTTGTCACCGCTTCCTCCTTCGGACAGGACCCGAGGGACGGAGGCTGGGAATGAACTTCGCCTTCCCTGGCTGCTGGCACTGACACTTCCCGACCTACACCTTCCGTGAAACACGTCATCAGACTCTGCCCCGGGCGGACGTAAACATGCCGGCAGAGGCCGGTCCGCAGTGGGCGGGGCCAGGGCGGAAGGAACCAATGGCCGAGCGAGGCGAGAAGAGCGAACGGACCTGCGCGGAAGAAACCAATACAGGGCTGCGGGGAGGAAGGAGGCGCACCTGCCCCGGACCTGGGAGGAAGTGCGGTCTCGGGGAGGCCCGCGAGCTACGAGGAGCAGGAGGAGCAGGAGGGGCGGGCCGGCCGGCCACTCACGCCCCCGCGCGGACCCTCTGCTACCGCTGCTGCAACCAGACCCGTCGTCCGCCCGCTCGGACCGGGCGGCCGCTCAGACCGGGCCGCCGTCCCCTCGGCGAGGCCTTCCTCTGCCTCCTGTGCCCTGCTCCCGGTTCCCTTCCTGACCTCCAGAGGCTCCCACTGTCCCCATTCTTGCTGACCCCCTTAAAACGCCATGTTCTAAGGAGTGATGTCATTATCACGCCCATGCCAGTGGGTTCAGTTCTGGGTCCCACGTTTGATGGTTATGGGACTTACGGACGGAGACGAGGATTAAGAAGAAACGGGGGATATTAACCTGGAGAAAAACAGTTTTTGCACATCTTTGAAGGTATGTCTTCGGGTTGAATATAAAGTCAATTCATAAAAACAATAGAGCAAGAACGAGCAGGGAAGTCCTGAAAAAGGAGAGGAATGGAGGGGTGGGCCGCGAGGTGAAGGCAGGCTCTGCAGTGGAGTGGTCCTGGCCCAACAACAGACAGGTCAGGGAACAGAATAGAAAATCCACAGACCCAACGGCATTCGAAATTTGGGGTAAAAGTAAAAGTAAGTTGGGAAAAGTGACATTTTAATAAATGTTGCTGACATAACTAAATAACCATATGGAAAATGATAAAATGGTTTTTTCTCACTATTCATGGGATAAATTCTAAATGGCTCAGAAGCCTGAATGTAAAAATAAAAACAGTCCTACGAAAAATATGGGTGAATTTCTCAATATATTATGAGTGGGCAAAACCTTCATAATTATGTCTTAAAATCCAAGGGAAAAGATTTGTAAAACGTGATTACTTAAAAATAAAAAATCTGGCCCTGGTCGGTTTGGCTCAGTGGTTGGAGTGTTGGCCTGTGGACCAGAGAGTCCCAGGTTCGGTTCCCGCTAGGGGCATGTACGAAAAAATAAATATATAAATAGAAATAAAACAGAAATAAATAAAAAATCTGGCCCGGCCGGTGTGGCTCAGTGGTTGAGCACCAAGAAGTCACCGGTTTGATTTCTGGTCAGGGCACATGCCCAGGTTGTGGGCCAAATCCCCAGTGGGGGTCATGCAGGAGACGGCCAATCAATGCTCTCTCATCAATGTTTCTATTTCTCTCTCCTTCCCTCTCTCTAATATCAATAAAGAAAAAATATTTAAAAATAAAAAAATCTGTCTAGCCCCTGCACACACACACATACATAAAATGCAAAATAAGCTAAGTTTGATTATGACAACCTGAGGAAAAAATATTTGTATCATACATAGACAAAGGGTTAATATTGCTAAAGTATGAAGAACTTTACAAATAAATAGAGAAGAAAATGGCCTGCAAACCTATAGAAAAATGGGCTGAAACATGATCAGATAGTGCTCAGGAAAAGAAATAGTAGTAGCTGGCAAACATATGGAAACATGCTCTGCCTCGTTGGTAATTAAAGAATACAAATTAAACCTACACTGAGATAAGCATTTCTCAGTTATATTGGCAAGATCCAAACATCTGACAACATGGCCTGTGGGTGAGAGAAGAGAAGGGCAGCAGGTGTTTTCATGTATTGCTGTCCATCATATAAAATGATACGACCCCTATGAATGGGAATCTGGCAACATCTTCCAAAATGACAAAATGACCTGTGTACTTATCTACTGAGACGACAATCCTACTGCTAAAGATCTATCTCAAAGACAAAGGAGAAATAACAACAAATGTTGAAAAGAAACATTATTTCAACATTATTTATAATAACAAAAGACCGGAAATAACCAAAATGCCCATCAAGAGGAGAGCTGTTATATACACTAACATGTACTATGAAACCAGAAAAAAAGAAATTACATCATTCTACACACTGCTAGGGTATGGTTTCCAGAATTTTTTTTTTTAAGGAGGGTGTGGAGAAAAGTATAAAATACTATTATCTAAGAAAGTAAGGAGAGACGAATATATATTTTTATGGACTTGAGGTAAAATTGACATGCAATAAACTACAGATACTTGAAGTACACAGTTTAAGTTTTGACATGAATGTATCTGTGACACCATCATCACAGTCAAGATAATGAACTTATCCTTCACTTCCAAGTCTCCACATTTCCTTGGTAATCCCACCTCCTGCCACTTGCCATCTCTTCCTAGCCCCACAAGCAGGATCTTTGTCATAATAGATTGGTTTGCATTTCCTAAAGTTGCATACATATAGAATAAAATACCATATATCCTATTTTCTCTGGTTTCTTTCACACAGCATAATTTGAAATTCACCCATGTTGCATACATCAATAGGTCATTCCTTTTTATTACTAAGTAGCATTTCTTTTGTGTGGATTTATCACTATATTCATTCACCTGTTGATAGATAATTTGCCCCCCCCAGTTTTGGCTTTTACAAATAAAGCTGCTATGAACAAATCCTTCTATCAATGTATAATTTATTTTCTTGTGGGTAAATGCTTAGCAGAGGGATGGTTGGATAATTTGACAGGAGTGTTTATCTTTTTTTTTTTTTTTTTTTTTTACTGATTTTAGAGAGAGAGGAAGGGAGAGGGAGAGAGAGATAGATACATCGATGCCACCTCCTATATGCCCCCCCACTGGGGATCGGGCCCACAACCTGGACATGTGCCCTGACTGGGAATCAAACCGGTGACCTCTTGGTGCATGGGTTGATGCTCAACCACTGAACCACATTGGCCGGGCAGGAGTGTTTCTTTTTAAGAAACGGACAAACTGTTTTGCAAGCTGGTTGTACCACTTTACATCCCACCTAAGTGTATGATATTACCACATCTTCTCCAACACCTGGTATAATGGTCTTTTTCATTTTAGTTCATTCTCGTGAGTAGTCATAACTCATGGAAGTTTGTATTTGTGTTTCTTGGATAAATAATAATGTTGAACATTTTTTCATATGCTTATTTGTTATCAGACATATGCTTTGCAATGATTTCCTCCCAGTCTATGGCCTGTCTTTTCATTTACAGTACATTTTGAAATGCAGACGTTTTTATTTGGTGAAATCCAAATTACTAAACTTTTCTTTATGAATCATGCTTTTAGTGTCAAATCTGAGAATCTTTACCTAACATTTTCCTATAAGTTTTATATTCATGCCTATGAACGATTTTGAGTTAATTTATGTTTACAATGTGAGTTATAGATTAGTGTTTGCACAGGATATTTCCAATGGTTCTAGTACCATTTGTTAAAAAGGCTTCCCTTTCTCCACTTGTCTTTCAACCTTTGTCAGAAGTCCATGGCCATACATGTATGGATCTATTTCCGAATTAGCTATTCTGTTTCAAAGCTAAATAGTGTAGCTTTATAAGCCCTGAAATCAGGTCATGTTTGTGCCATTCAAGGTCCTTAGCATCTTCTATGTGAATTGTAGAATCAGATGGTCATTTTACCAAAAAAAAATCCTGTTGTCTCTAGTGATCAAACTGGGGAGCTTAACAATATTTGACATATTGTTTGTCAGAGTGACAATATGATAGTTTAACAACAGTCTTCCCTCTCATGAACGAGGTATATTTCTCCATATATTTAGGTCTTCTTTGTTGTAGACTTGTCTGTTCTTCCATGTAGTTCTATCAATTTTTGCTGCATGTATTTTGAAGATCTGTTATTAGGAGCACATTAACTGACTCTTATCACTAGAAAATAAACTTTCTTTACCCCTGGTTCTCAGGCCTTGGACTCTGCCTGAATTATACTACTGGCTTTCCTGGGTCTCCAGCTTCCAGACAGCAGATTGTGGGATGTCTAGCCTCCATATGTACGTATGTCAATTCCTTATAATGAACCTCTTCCTATATACAGGCATACCTCACTTTATTGCACGTCACAAATATTGCATTTTCATCAACAGTGAGGTAAGACCCTTCCCTAGCAAATGATTATGACTCAGTGAAGGCTCAGATAGATAATGGTTAGCATTTTTTTGGAATTAAAGTATTTTTAATTAAGGCATGTACATTTTTTTTAGACATAATGCTATTGTACACTTAATAGACTACAGTATAGTGTAAACATAACTTATATGCAATGAGAAACCACAAAATTCATGTGAATCACTTTATTGTGATACTCACTTTATTGTGGTGGCCTGGAACCAAACCCTCAATGTTGCTGAGGTATGCCTGTGTATGTCCTATTGGTTCTGTTTCTCTAGAGAACTCTGACGACTAATAAAATAAACATTCTTGAGCTTTGTTCTGGGATGCAGATAAATTACTGAAAAATAGTTTGATTTTTTTGGATCTTGCTTTTAAGATTTGTTAGGCAAGACACGAGCAGCCTTTAGTCTGAGGCAGGGTCCTTCTGAGTCCTCTACTCAATTTCCCTAGTATTATAAGGTCCTCATTTTGGCCCTGTGTTAGGAACTCTTGCCTTGATTCACTTAGATGGTTTCTCTGACCTTAAGTATTTTTGTGACTCTCATGTGCTGATCCAGTCTGCAGAATACCCCAAGAGGACTTTCAGAGATCTCCAGAGTGGTACATGGTTCTTTTACTTGGTACTCAGCCCTGTGAACTCTAGTGAACTTGCTGACTCTCAGCTCCATGTCCTCCTTCATTTCCAGGTTCCTCCTTTCTGTGCCTGGGAACTCTCTCAAAGCAGTGGAGTGAGCTGGGATAAACTGTCGGGCTTACAGCACTTGTTCCCCATCTTCCAGGAATTACTGTTCTTTGCTACCTGATGTCCAGTGTCTTAAAAACAGTTTTTTAATTTATTTTGTCTGTTTTTGTTTTTTAATTGTTTCAGTTATGAGGTTAAAGCCAATACCTAGAAATCTGTCTTGGCTAGATGCAAATATCATTTGCTTATGTTTAAATGATAGGATAGCTAATGATAATAATTTTTTAATTACCTGTAGAGGAAGGTAGTAACAGATTGGATAGAACTAGGAAAAAAGCTAGACTTTTCTGCATAGACCTTGTTTTACAGATTGACTTTGGATCTTGTAACTATGTCAGATAATTATTTAAAAAAATCTTTGCCCTGGCCAGTTTGGCTCAGCGGTTAGAGCATCGGCCCTTAGACCAATGAGTCATGGGTTTGATTCCGGTCAAGGGCACGTACCTTGGTTGCAGTTCGTTCCCAGACCTGGTTGGGTTCATGCAGGAGGCAACTAATTGATATGCCTGTCTCTGTCTCTCTCTCCATCCTACCCCCACTCTATCTGAAGATTTTTAGAAAATGGAAAAATATCCTTGGGTGAGAATTAAAAAAAAATCTTTAAGATAAGTCCCTAAAAATTGAAAGCAAAATGAAACAATTAACCTGTGTACCAAGTTGGTGGCAGGACAACAAAGAGGAATTCTCTCAAGCACACCTTAGTGGGATACAAGGTAAACATAAAAAGACCTGCAGAACATCTTTAAAATATTCTCAATAACATGGTGGTGGTAGTGTTGGTATTGGTATTTTTAACACTGTTGTGTGACTACTATAAAATAAATTAAATAAATAATTATATTTATATTATTGAAAACTGGGATTTCCAACTCAGAGGTCATATACACCTTCACTTGGGTTGTTGCCACCACAATGACCATGGAGAAAACTGAGAAATGGGTTGGTTTTCCTCCATCCTTCCCATTCTGGCGGCCTTTCTCCTGAATTCCTCAGTATTCAGTATCTTCATACTGCCCTTTGACCATCCAGATGAGAAGTAGGTCGGGGATGATGCCTACAAAATGCCAGGCACTGCACTAGACACTTTATATTACCAACTCATTTAATTCTTACAAAAATTGGAGTAGGTATAATCTGCATTTTAGAGATGAGGAAGCTGATATTCAAAGTTTAGCAATTTGCCCATGCTTCTAAATGATGTATCTGGGCTTTAAAACCAGATCCTTTGTCAAAACCCATGCATTTTACAAAACAAAACACCCTCTTTCCTACGTAAGTCTTAACATAACAGAATCTAGAAGAAAAATATTTTTATTGGGGAGGATATTTCTAGCTCATTTCAGTAATTTACCTAGAAAAATCACCCAATTTCAACAAACACCACAAGGGGGAGCTAAGACCTCAAAAGCTTAGATAAATTAGATAAAAAAAATGTCTCATCTGGATCATGACTTCCTTTAGAAAGATACATCTGAATAAATATTCCACCATAAGTAACTCTTTCTAAGAAACAAATCTGACCATACCTCTTTCCTGCTAAAAACTTCAAAGGATCCCCACACCTAACAGTCTAACATACCATGACATACAGCTTCCTTTATGTATGTCCATCTCCCTCCTATTCTGCTCTTGAACGACACAGACAAAGCTTCCTTGGCTCCCCAAACAAGCTTTCCTTTATGCCTCCATCTCCTTGAACATGTTATTTCTTCTGACTGCACACAGCCCTGTCTCCCTCCCCCCAGCCCTTCTATTCAGCAAAAAACTACAATCAAACTCCCATTGGTCCTTCAACTCTGCTTAAAACACGTCTCAGCCCACTTCTGACCTTCTCTGACCCTCCTCCCACCACAATGACTCAATTTATTCAACACGGTGTTCTACCATCAGGCAAATACTTCTCCTTCTGCCTGCATGATACTCTGTTCAAGTGAATGTCCCTCACTTCTTGCTGGACTGAGGTTCTTCAGGGGAAGGACCATGTTTCATAGCTATGTACATGCCCCTCTGCACAGAGCCAATCCCCTTCGAGGGCTGCTAAGTGAACTAAGAACCCATCAAAGCCATGTACCCGTGGCTTGTTTCTGACGCTGCCTTCAAAGAATCAGGAGTAATTTTCATAAAAACATTTCAAGTTTTTCACCTCATGCTCAAAATCAACTTCAAAACCGTACCAATCAGCATTCTGTTTGAAGCAGCTATAAATGTCGCACTCACCGCCTGGGCTGAATGACGCAGGAGTGAGCGCAGTGAGAAACCCTCGCCGTCCACAGGTGTGGCCCTGGCGGGCTCTTCAGCGTGTCCCTCCGGCGGCTTTCTTCCAGCAGCAGCACTGTCAGGGGCGCTTTCCGTTACAAATGTCCCTAAAATCCAGGGGGGGCGGACATGTTATTTTATGCTTTCGAATAAGAATTGTTTCTCTTTACTTAAAATAGCTATTGAGTGCCCACTAAATAGTCACTGTGCCTCTCCTAAAGACAATCACACAGAGAAAAAAGTCAGACTTCCCATCAGGCCATCATACGCCTCAATTATACAATGAATGTATCTCCAGCACACTCTCCCCCTCACCAGATCAGCTGAATTCCTCTCCCTGCTGTGACTCCTCCTGTACGTGGCTGGGGGTCAGGGAGACCAGCCCAGGGCTGCCGGGCCTCGCGGCATCCCAGGGTGAAGCTATGCCTAGGCCCCTACGCCATAACCTTTTCAACACAAGAACAGTGATGGCCCTGGCCAGTTTGGCTCAGCGGTTAGAGCATCGGCCTGCGGTCCGGAGAGACCCGGGTTCGGTTCCCGCTAAGGGCACGTACTTCGGTTGCAGTTTGTCCCCGGCCCTGGTTGGTCGTGCGGGTGGCAGCCACTCGATGTGTCCCTTCACGTCGATGTTTCTCTCTCTCTCTCCCTTCCTCTCTCTCCCTCCCACTCTATCTGTACAAAAAATGGAAAAATATCCTCGGGTGAGGATAAAAAAAAAAAAAAAAAAAGAACAGTGATGATGTCGTGTCACCACTATGGACAAAACAACACAAGCAGCTGTGCTGCCGATTTCCTGGTGAAATGAGTGATCTACACAACTAGAAAGTTGTTGGCACTATCATTGGGGTTGCATTTTTTTAAATTTTATTGTTAAAACAACTTTCTCAACTCAAACAAAATGAGCTGCCCTCCCGCTAGATGTCCGCTGTGCTGAGATTCCGGTACTGTTCACAAGTGTCGATCTACGCTGGACTGTCCCATGTGGCAACGTGCTGTACTGCTTCCTGTACTTACAGTATATCGACACCTGCACATAAATACCCCCTTCCCTGTTTTTTAACCATGTCCAGATAGCAAATTAACAAGAGAACTGCCCTGGCCGGTTTGGCTCAGCGGTTAGAGCGTCGGCCTGTGGTCCGGAGAGACCCGGGTTCGGTTCCCGCTAAGGGCATGTACCTCGGTTGCAGTTTGTCCCTGGCTCTGGTTGGTTGTTCGGGTGGCAGCCACTCGATGTGTCCCTTTCACGTCGATGTTTCTCTCTCTCTCTCTTCCTCTCTCTCCCTCCCACTCTATCTGTACAAAAAATGGAAAAATGTCCTCGGGTGAGGATAAAAAAAAAAAAGAGAGAGAGAACTGAGCTACACGGTATTCAGCTGTGGGGGAGGCAGAGTATGGAATGGGGGGACACTGAATTTGTGAGTTTGAGAGCAATGGTTCTCCAGCTTTCACTTTCACTTTCCCCCAATCAGAATTTCCTGGACGGCTGGTTAAACTGAGTTTCTGTTGCGGCCGGTCTAGTTGAAAAGTGTTTCAGAGCATAAGGATTTTAAAGACATTTTAGTTTAAAATTATCTGCACAAGCTAATGCTAGCAGTCCTTGGTGTGTGGGTTAGTTACAGTCTCCGGCCTGGGTCCTATGATTGATCTCCATGTGTCTTAACTCCTGCTTGTCTCCATTAGTTCTAGGATTTATTTTCAAAATTTGTTCATACCTGTATTCCTTTCCCCTCTATTTCCTATCTTTAACAACAAACCTCCTAGAAGCTCTTCTTTATGAGAAGCCCCTACTTTGTAGAGAAAAATTAGCAAGCTTTGCCCTGGCTGGTTTTGCTCAGTGGTTGGAGCGTTGGCCTGCGGACCAGAGAGTCCTGGGTTCGGTTCCCACTAGGGTCTCGTACAAAAAGAAAAGAAAAATTAGCAAGCTTTACCTGGATGCATGTTTTTCTCAGTATTTGGCTTTTGTAACACTTGTGAGACACCCATGTTATCAGTCACGGGTTGATCCGAGTGGCCAGGCTCCTCAAGAATCTGCATGTTAAGATCTTCCATGTCCTCTTGTGGGAAATGATCTTCCAGCGGTGGCTGTACCTCTACAGGGAAGAAAGCATTGCACTGGAAAGCTTGCTGCCCCACTGAGCTCCTGCATCTCAGCTCCAGGGCACCCCACTGCCCTCCACGTGTGCAGCTCATGGAGCACCAGTGGGCAGGGAAATAAGAGTTTCAAATGTCTGTATCTCACTTCAAAGATGGCTAATCTACATAATAAAAGTTACAAAGAAACTCTTTTCCCAAAGTATTTCATAAGTAAATATATTCACAGTAGGGACCTCAATAACCTAACTTTCTTTGGACCGCACAGATAAATATGCAAAAGAGAATCCCATTCAAGAGCAAACATACGAAACGTCTCTACACAGAAATGACATGAACTCTTTCGCTCACAAACATGTCTGCCTCTGAGAGCCAGCACAGAGAAGGGCATTTCATACAAAGGCAGCTTGCTGAAGTGCCTTTCAGATATCTTCAAATTACCTCTTATAGTCAAAGAGAGAATCCATTTCTGTCCCTAAGAGGCTCAGGGCTTAGCCCAGTGTGACCCACAACAAAGATGAATTTCTTTCAAACCTCAGAATTTACCCTGAAATTTTGAGTTTTACGTTCTAATCCAATATGTATGTGCTTTAATGAAATGCAAAGATGTTCCCTTGCTCAAATACTCAAGAAAATTGGCACTCTGGGTATATTTACCCTATGCCTTTATGTCTGCCTGGTATTCCCCCATATGCCATGGGTTTGAAAAGCACAGGGAAGAGGAGAGAGCATGGAACTTGGAACTTGGAACAAGGACGTTGTCTCAGGGTCAATTCAACCACTGTCTACTGAATGCCTACTGTGTGTCAGTGCTGTGTTAGACGTCCCTGATCCTCCTTCAGTGCTTGCAAGAACCCCAGGGCCCAGCAGAATTGAACTGACCTAGGTGACTGCTCCAAAGAAGCAGAAAGTACATGGCATGCACAAAAGATGAAAGTTGGGAGAATGAAGAACCTCAGGCAGGGCATCGATTGAAGACCTACGCCAGTCAATCCTTGGTCCAACAGCAGTTATTTTATGATTAAGAAAGTGTGTTCGCAAAAGCACTTTCATAATTTTACATGAAACTTGTACTTTGTTAACAAGTCTATTCTGTGCATCTTTTTCTTGTTTGCACCTTTATCGTTTTATAGTTTCCTTTTGAAAATGCTACCATTCTCAGTTGTTCTAAGGAGAAAAACAGGGTAAGAAACCCTTATCCAGGCCTGGAAGAAGGCAGGAAGGGACATGTGGATGTCACTGTGCTGCCTCTTGCCTTCAGACATGCTCTAAACCGAGGACAGAGCTTTACAAATGGTAAGACACTTCAGCAAACCCCCAGCTCCACGCCTGTTTCTCCAGCCCAACTCCACGAGGCCATAGGCAGGTACTTTACCTTCTGCTGGCTCCCCGCCGCCTTCCTCTGGAGGCTGCGTCGCGGCCAGTGGTCCAGTCTCCTCCCCTGTGGAGTGTGTGTACCTGACAAAATAGATCAGGTCTTGCACATCGTCTAGCACTGCAGCCTCTTCCAGTACGTTCTTTTCCTTCATCCCCAAATCTCTACGTTCAGTCACACGAGTATCGAGCATGTTCTCTGCTCTGCTCAAAATCTGTGCCTCAGACGCACGGAAGACCTTATCTAGGACTTTTTCCACATTATAGGGCAGGCTCTCCCGCTGTGCTGACTTCAGCTTCAGTGACATTTCTTGGAACATGGCTTCCAGCTCGTGGACATCAAAGTACTTCTGGAACCTCTGCAAAGACTGCTGTTCTTTAAAGAAGCTGCTTATTATAGGCAAGTCCTCCACATGGTCACTGTGCTCTGGCTTTGTAGGTGTATGTGAAGTCCTGTGGAACAGACCACCTTCGTGTTCCTCAGAAGCTGCCTCCTGGCTTTGTACGTCCGTGAACTTCTTCTCTATGTCCTCCTGGTCCTCTTTGGAGAGTTCTACCCCAGGTTTCTCGGCGAGCCCTGAGGTCTTCAGGTAATCCTCAGGGTTGTCCTCTTTGAGATAACCAGAATCTTTATTCTGAAACACTTCACCTAACTCTGGAGTCTGGTGCTTTTTCTTGTCAAGAAATTCACTTCCTGCAGGTGGTCTCTGTGCTTTATTATCTGGAAGAGTGTTTTCTTCTTTTTCTACCAGACCGCCAGGTTCATTGCCTAGTGTGCCTACCTCTTTGCCCCCAGTTTCATTTTTTCCTTCCATTTCTGAAATATTACTCGTTTTTTCTTTGTTTTCTTCAATATTTGCATCAGTATTAGCGGAGCCTAAAATTCCTTTTTCAGGGACTTGTAGATGAATATCTAACTGCCTGTCTTGCATCTCAGGGCTCTTTTCTTTAGACTGTTTTGCACTTACAGCATTTTCATCCTCCAATAGTTCTTCAGGGGTGGAATCGTCATCTTCTGCTTCTGGTTTCTCAGGATGGAAACCTGGTACTTCTGCACTATCAGTTTGGCCTGTTGTTTCTGCTTCTGGAGTGCCCGGCTGTTGATGAACAAACTCCTCATCTAAGGTGTTTCCTGTGACCTCTTGCTCAGACAGCCTTGTCGTCTCATTCACTTGCTTATTAACTGCAGCAGCCACATCTCTTTCTTGCTGCCAGGAAAGATTTCGTCCCACAATGGGACCCTCATCTTCCAGTTCTGTTGACAAACCAATTTCATCAGGAGAGGAGAATCTAGGTTGATTTTGAGTTTTCAGAAGCTGTTCCTCTTTAAATTCCTCGTTTGGGTGCTCTGCTGCAAGTATGTGTTGTTTTGGTCCATTTACTAAAACATCTACTTCCTTCTCCACACCATCTTTGGATACATTATGCTGATTATCTCCCAAGAGCGGTGTAACATCCCTGGCTTCCTGTTTATTCTTTTCTTCCTTCATTTCATTCCCTGCAGCTCGGTGTTCCCATCCCCTCTCTGAGCCACCTTCCACCGTCTGCTCTCCAGGCTTCCTTTCGTGGGCCATTCTTTCTGAGGCATGAACAGCTGCTCCTTTTAGATCGTTTTCTTTGTTACCAAAAGCTGATTTTAATGTTTCTTTACCCTTTCCAATAGCTGGCAAAGAGTTGAGGTTACTGCTTTGAGTAGAACCGTGCAGAGTCCTGTCTTCTTTCTTTTCATCCTCCAGTCCTTTCTTATCCAGTACCAGGTCCCCCTTGGAGTCCTCAGCTGTCCTCCCTTTTCCTTTAATGTCAAGTTCTCTGTCCGTTTCTGTATTTTTATCATTATTTGTTTTAGAAACTTCTACAGTCAAAAGATCATCTTCTGCCTTTTCAAGGTCACTATAATCTGTTGCTGATTGTGTTTTCTCCCACTGGCTGTCTGTGACTAATCCATCATCGCCTTCCATCTCTTCCTCTGAGTTAGAATTCTCGAAATCCATACCTGTTTGTTCTTCACCTTCTGTGACAGCAGAGAAGACGGTATCCTCCCAAGGTGATCGTAGATTTTTATCATCATCTTTGATGCCCAAGGGCTGAGTTACCTCCACTTCATCCTCTTCACTTGAGTTCTGCTCTTTATCAGTTGAGTATTTCCCAACTTCAGATTTCAAGTCTTCTCCATCTGTAAAGGTTAGTAATGGCAAGTCATCAAAGTTTTCCTGATTCTCTTCCTCTTCTTCCTTCCCAATGATGTAGTACTCATCATCTAATTCCTCATCAAAATCGTCTTCTAATGAAGTAACGAGCCTGGTTGTCTCATCATCAGACACAAGTGCATCAGCAGTGGAGCCAAATTTGGTTTTCAAGTCCAGAGTCATTTCTTTTTTCAAAAGTTTATAAGCATCAGTCTTCTCCTGTTCATTTGAGATCTGAGAACTATTGCTGGTTTTGTTGTTTTCACTGTCTGGCATTTTTAATTTATCTTGAAGCATTTTTTCAAATGGTTCCGATGAAGCTGGCTCTCGCTGAGGGTGATTTCTTTGACTGTTTACATGGGGGTGGTTCTTCTGAGCTGCATGTCTTTCTTTGAGTTCCCCAGTGTTTTCTGAGAAAACATTTTCTCTTTCCTCGGAGGTGGCTGGTATTGAATCAGGTTCAGGGTGACTTTCTTCAGATACTTCGGCAGGTTTTTCCATATGTTGAGAAGTTTTTCCAATAGCTTTCTCAGAATCTCTAGCTGCAGAATTGTACAGTTCCAAAGATCCTAGAAGTTCTTCTACGTTATAGTTATCAAAATCGTCTCTTCCCCCATCAAAGCAAACAAAATCTGTCTCCTGTAAGGGAAAGAAAACATGAGTGTGTCGCCAGCCACGTCACAAGAGCAGAAATTAACCATGCTAATGACAAGGAGAATCTCAAATTCATATATGGCTCTTCAGGGGCTTTTGTGCCAGCCTCGGGAATTGCTGTTCTTGTGTAGCGGGGAGATAGGAGGCTGGGACCCACTTGTCCCTGGCTTTCTGCTTCCCCGAGGAAGGACTTCGACCTGAGTAATACTCCTGGCTTCCCCTCATTCTCTCTCCCCAGGGAAGGGATGATTCATGAGGCTGGTGAGTCCGCCCTGTACCAGCCCTGTTTTCTGTTTGAGACCAGCAGGAAGGAACACACATCCTCTCTCCTCTGTGCTGTCAGTTTTATAGGGACGGTTCCCCTTTACCTAGCTCTGCCTCTGGCTGTGTTTGTCTGTCTTATTCTAGACTGCAATGTTCGAAAGCCTATTATTTCTGCACACTTGAGCCATGTTTGCCAAAAAGCTTTATCAATAAATAATGGTGACATTTTAGTCTCCATCTGCCCAACTCTTGGGTCTCTCAATTTGTTCTGACCACAAGTGGGGAAAAGTGGGGTGTCACTGATTGGGTCCCCCAACTTCCAACACCAATACCTGATGTTCTGGGGATCCAGCACATAATAATTTGTGCATGTGAAGCTACAATACCATCCAGCTTCTCTGCCATCCTGCTTTCTGAGCTGAACTTCTCTGCTTACCCAGCTAGAAACAGGCAGAATCCCCTTGCTATCAGGCTCCAAGGCTACCCAGATTTTTGGCTTATCTTTTACTTGGATTGGGAAAGACTTATTAGCTCAAGAAGTATCTTATTGAAATACAGGTGCACAGGAAGTAAAAATTTAAAGGAACAAAGAATGGTGTCAGGGGACTCCCACTTAATTATTACAAGTATAACTTGAAAACAAGATTCAGTCAGGGCTGTGCTCTACTCTGCATCAGGATTCTTGGTGTCATTAAAATCTGCTTTCAGGACTATCTATAGATCTATATTCTTCCTTTCCTCCCTTAAAAACCATATTGACATAAAAGGGGCCATAACCAGAGGGAAAAGTTAAAAAACAACAACAAAGATCATTTTCTTCTCCTAACTAAACTTTCACATTACTCTGGGGAGACCCGACCAGTGTGGTAGAGAAAAATGATTTCCTTTCTTCATCACATGCATTTCTAAGCCATGTTCTTAACAGGGAGGGAAGCATACAGTGGGAGGTACAAGGAGAAGGCAGAATCCCAAACAAGTGAGGTCCCTGTGACCAACAGACTGCTGTCCCACACATACCCTGGAAGTCTCTTCATTCGGACTGAGGCCAAACAGGCAGTAGGGCTGACTTTATGCCCTTGGGATTATCAAGAAATTTTAAGAATAGTGATGGCTCTAAAACATCATCTGTTCTGCAGCGTCACCTAAGAATTTCCCTAGGCCAGCAGCTAGCATGCTCTGCAGCAACCCCGGAGAGCTGCTCAGACTCTGAATGAAGGTGGGCATCAATTATTATAAATTCCCAAACTCCAGAAATAATCAGCTGAACGAGGACCCCAGAACACAAAATTCCTGCCTTGATAAAGCTACTCTAAGTCAGTGCACCCTAGACAAATGCTTTATAGAACGTGCAGTCAGTACCTTGTTGATTTGCAATAGGACAACTTCTGCAACTCTCACGTTCCTTTTCCAAATCTATAATAACCATGATCCCTTAAATCACTAAAGGGTCAATAATAAGAAAAGCCCTGTAAATTTGCATTTCTGGCCTAGTACATAATTTAAGGTTTGATAAATTTAACCTGATTTCTATATACTTAAACTGTCTGACAGCTATTCCTTTTAGCATATGAAAAGAATTATTTACTTCATTTTAATAACTAAATGCAAAGATACTGAATTCTTAACTTTTTTCTCATTAAAGCAGCAAAGAAAAGCCCTATATAAAAGTACACAGCCTTGTATAAGACCTGCTTCAATGTATTAGATAACTATCAGATTATGATATAGTCTCCTAGAAATTCTTTTCAAACTTTTCTTTTTCTTTTTTCTATTTTACAAGGCAGTCTGATTCTAAATTAAAATCTGATACATAAATGTTAACTTTTTTTTTAACCAAAACACATTCAAAGACTTAAAAAAATACAGCAGGTCCTTGAATAACATCTTGTTCAATGTCATTTCATTATCTCATTGATGAGATGCCACAGAACTTTAACTCTTGCTTATATCAATTAACCTATGATAAAATTGGCTTTGTTATATGTCATTTTTCTTCAAGTAAAAAAACCTATAGATGACATTAAGTGAGGATTAATGTAGTTAATAACTGATGAATCTGAATACCAATTATAATTGAGAACCAAAAAAAAAAAAAAAATCCACAACTTACATCTGCTGGAACTTCTAGCTCTTCTTTAGCATATTTATAGACCACTTGGATTAAATCCTTTGGAAAGTATCCAAAAATACGTCCAACCTACATAAAAGAATGAGCAAAAGAAAAAATATCAATCAAAATTCTGTACAAGAAATATAAATGAGAGAAATGTAAATGAGAGGAAATATATAGCTAGACAGGTAGATATAACCACAGAAACACACAGTCCCTGTAATTAGAGAGAGGATTATTCCAATAAAAATTAAGTACATAATATTGTAAAGCCAACTTTTCTAAAACCACTTAAGTTTTCTTTCAACATTCAGCTTAATGCTAAACTCAGGGCACATAAAGTTAGATTTTTTTTAGGTAGAGAAAAAAATCTGCTTCAAAAATATTGTTGTATATTATATGATTAAAACTAAGCAAATCAAAGCTGGTTGGAATCACAATTCCAAATAACCTCTATCAAGAATTTACCTGTACATTTCACAGCATTGCTCATAAACCAAAACTTGTATGTCTCTTAACACTAATAAACACCAGCCATGAAAATTAACAAAAAGTATAAAATTTCTGAAAAGTATGCTCAACACAACAAAAGGCAACTATTTATTGATATTATGGGCTGTACTAGCTTTTTCAAAAACTTGACTTACAAGTATTTGGGGAGAAAATAAAATTCATACGAATCTACATATCAAGCTTTAGTTTTATGCAAAGTAAACCTCTGTAGAAGATGATCCCACTTATCTATAGCAGTAACAGCTAAGTTTATACTAAGTATGTCTTCTTGAGAAACATACACTGTCTGTTACTAGCTACAGTCTGAAAGAGAGTGGTAGATCTCTTCCCAATCATTAAAGAAGGAGACTGATAAGCAGATCAAGTGCACAAAAAGAAAATAGGCTATCTTATCACGAACTCCTAAAATATCCTCATTATGAGTGCTCTTGTTATATCTGGCAACTACCTGAGAGCCAGTGTTAGTGGTAGAAACTGCCTTGGAGATTAGATAAGCCAGGCAATTAGAAACTGCCACATTGGCAGTTCACGTCTGAAACTCCGAGAAACCAAGTAAGACCGCAGGATGAAAACTAAGAAATAGAAAGAAGAATCACTTGAAAGCCAAGGAGAGAGGGTTTTTAATTTCCTAAAGTATAAGGGTCACGAAATGAAGGAGGAGAGTAAGGGAAAATATCTTTTTCCTTCTCAGGGAAATTTTATTTACAGAGAATCTGGAAAAGGGAAAATATCAGAGATCTATAAAGAAAAAAAATACATTTATCTTTGTGCAATCTTTGTCATATAAAACTTTATAGTGGGTGGGATCCTATTTCTTATGACCTGACCCCCCAAAAATGTTGCAGAATCATGGGCCCTTATAACCAAAGTAATCTTTATATCTAATTTTGCTTCCATATATCACTGCTGTCAAGGAATTGCTGATATGATTTGGGGAAAAAAACATAATATTGTTTCAAGAGAACAAATTCTGCATAGCTACATTCCAGACAAATATAAATGCCACGGCCCTGAAAGCAAATATGCAAAAGGAAGATGGGTTACACGTGGGCCCTTCCATTACAGAGCTTCTGAGTTTATAAGAGCTAAGACAGTTCACACACTAACTGCAATGCAAAGCAAAAAAAAAAAAATGTCACACAAGCAGTGCGAACACCAAGAGCCTCCTAAACAATTATTAGACAGCAAAGATCCCTTCTGCTGGGGACAGTGTTTCCCAAAGAAGGCAGGAAGAGAGCTGGGCCAGGCTTTCTGGAGGTAAATATGGTCGTGACAAAAGTGTGGAGGTAGAAAAATGCAAGTTGAGTTCACTCATCCAAATGCTCAAACCTGACCACTAGATTAAAAATGCAGTGTAAGGGACATGGAGATTACTCAGAAATCTCATGTGGTAGACTTGAAAGAAACAGAATAGATTCTTCTTTGTATCGAGTGATTCAGCTGGAATTCTGCCTAAGTGCAAGGGCTGTACCTGACCACACTTGGCCTTTCAAGATTCCTCCCTGGGAAGCTGGAACGCCAACAAAATCAATCTGTTTTTCCCTATGGAGGTTTCTCAAGCCTTATTTTCTGTTGTTTGTTTGGTGTTTTATTGAGATTGAAAGCTTTCACAGTTGGAACTGGGTAGTTCTCTAAGTTTGGACAATCCTAAGGACATCAAGGACTCTTACTACTTCAATAAATACACAGTCCACACATCACACTTTTTAAAAAGGACAATAACTCGCCCAGCCGGTGTGGCTCAATGGTTGAGCATCAACCCATGCACCAAGAGGTCACTGGTTCAATTCCTGATCAGGGCCCATGCCAGGTTGTGGGCCCGATCCCCAGTGGGGGACATGTAGGAAGTGGCCAATCAATGTTCTCTCTCATCGATGTTTCTACCTCTCTCTCCCTCTCCCTTCCTCTCTCTCTAAAATCAATAAAGAAAAAAAAATTTTTTTAAATAAAGGACAATAACTCAGAAACCTCCAATCAGCTCACTCATAGTGAATCTCCTAATTCAAAACATCAAAGCATGATGCATTCATTGATTTCCATGCCCAATATCTGGGTATCCATGGAACTGGGTGGAATCAAGCTGCTGGGAGACCCACTGGGAGCAAGTATCTGAAAAGCAGGAAAAGGATGACCCAGAATGTGCCAACACCACCAACAAGAGAGCACGTAGACAAAATAACATTTTGCTTTATTAACATACTAAAAACAGCATACATGATTAGATGACTGTTCCCAGAGCTGCCAGTTTTTCATAAACATTAATAATTTAGAAAAAAATGCACACAAAATCAACTTTAATCATGAGTGCCCAATACACCATCTGGCACATAGCTTACAGGAGTAAGTCTCATGCCCACAAATCCTTCCATTTTAAAGCCATGAAGTTAGGATTTTCAGGTTGCAACATTTCAACCTTTACTACGTACGGAGTACCCATGGCTGAGAAGGCCTAGAACGTGATGCTGAGGAGCACTAGCTGGAAGCAGTTCAGTTCTATTTAAGAAACCTCCGCTGAGCCCCTACTTTGTGCCAAGCCTGCTGGGGACATAGCAGAGGACAGGTTAATGCCATCAAGGACCCCAGGAAAAGTTATTTAAATAGTGCTAAACAAGCCAATACAAAGTCAGAAAAGAAAGTATGTCCTTCTCTCCATCTTTTTCCTGGCAGAATTTGCACAGAGCTCCTCAAGTCTGCAGGTTCTGAAATGCAATCCTTTCTTTTTCCTGAATAAATCCTTTTGGGTGATAAAAAATAAAAATAAAATTTTTTTACTTACACTTCCAGCCCAAACTTCAGGCGATTTCCCTGCCAGTTTATAGTAGACATAGACATTGTCGCCTTTTTTAAAATTCACAAACCGACAGTCCGGGCCTGTGAAATCTTCTAGAGCCTCACCCCGGTACATTAACACTGTATATGAAGAGAGAAAAGAAATAACCAGATAGCACGATTCAACTTTCATAGTCCATACTGATTTATCAGGAAATATAAGAACCTGCTGTGAACAACTTTTTCCATATTGTCTGGAATCAATCATTTTCAGGTCACATGCTCAAAGTGTCAAATCTTTAGAGCTTTATCTTTATAAATCATGACACCCCTCTGCAAGTAGACAGGAGAGAGGGAAACTCACTAGTTTTCTTTATGGATAATACTGAGAAACAAAAACCAGTGTGTCCACCACCACAAAGGGCTGGTCTCAAATAAAACTCCTGTCTCCCTCTCTAAGTTTCTAGTCCTCGATCTTTGCTGTTTCATAATCATAAAACAGCTTCATTTTGCATTTGGGTAAATTCAGGTGCAGATGCTGACTAGCTTAAGCATGGCTACATGTAGAGGTAACTGGGAAGAGCACCCAGGAACCCCCAGGGGATCAATTAGCTTGAACTAACCACTAAAGGCACTATTTTAAAGTGGCTCTAAGTGCTACCTTGAAGCAGTAAACAATGTCAATTTCATTTACACCAAGTTGTTTTTGCCTCATAATATCTGGATAAATTCATGGGAAAGGGTATCACACCCTATTCTGCGGATCCAATCACATTACAAGGTAATATTTTCTGAAAGTAAATAATGTTCACTGTGGCCAACATTAAGAAGGTTTCAAAACAAAGTTTAAATAGCTTTATTTGAAGCAAAATCAAAAGTGGACCTCACATGTGGCAGGGACAAGCAAAATGTGTGAATTAGTCAGTAGCTACCTTCAGTCTTAAGATGCAGGACTTAAATCACATCTGATCTAGAAACTGGTAGAAGTATTTTTCTTTTTGTTGGCCAAATACACAGTTTCTGATGTAAGAGGAAATGAACAATAAATGCAATTAAATAGCAGGAAAAAAATGGATGAAATGGAAATAACACTTTTCTAAAAGCCAGTTAGCAATAAGTACATTAAAATGTATCTTTAAATACATATTTGAGGGACAAACATAAAGGGGGATTTATGGATTTTGAAGCTAAAAAATCTCCTTATTTTAATACATGTCAGCCTCCTAATTCAGATATAATTGGGTGAGATGCCAGATTGAAGGTGATGGACAATTTAAGATTGGGGACTCTATCAGAATTGGAAATAGCAGTGTTTCTCTTGTTCCCCTCAGAACAGATCATTGAGAATTTATAATAATAAATGAGATGACAATATAATGCATACTGTAGAACAGCTATCAGAAAAGCACATGCCACACAACCCAGACCCTGCTTCAGCTGCTTGCTGCTGTGTTTGGTTACATCTGCTTGGACACAGGACATGAGACAACTTAACACCATGTCTCCTACTGAGGAAGCATCAGCGGGCGATGTGATTCTCCAGGTAACTGGTTTTGAGGAACTCAGGTAGGATAGTGCTTGAAAGCAAAGAATAGCAAACATTTGCCAAAGCCAGCCCCGCGTGCTAATAATCTGCGTTTGCTCCGAGAAAACTAAAGGAAAAGTCATTAAGTTGCTTGCTTCCGCTGTGCTTATTTACATCGGCCCTGGGGTTACCTCCAGGAATGGTGTTGCAGTGATACAAACTTCAAATTATGAAATTTGTTTTTGAATAACACCTATTTGAATACAAACAGCTAAAGTGTAGGCTGACGGCCTTTCACAGTGAACATTTTCTATACTTCTGGATTCCAATTTATGAACAACCGTTTCGGAAGCGGTTATCAATAAGTTAAGGTTCTTTGAGACCTGCTGGGAGACTGTAAGAATGACCCTGGTTCAGCAAACACTTAGAAAGAGATTCCAACAACACAAGGGGCTAAGGCTAAAGCTGGTTGGGTTTATAAAAACCCTTGGAGTATTTATTAGTTACTTTAATAATCCTCTTCATCGGAGTCCGGAGATCTCTGCTCTCCGAAACGCACCCCACCCCCAATCCGAGACCGGGGAAGAATTCCGCTTCCTGCGCAAAGAAGAGGAGGCTGTGGGTCCCAGGTGGCCTTGCAGATCCACCGCAACTTTCTAGAGCCAGATTGTGGCCTTGCTGGCGCCCTCCCTGCCTGGCTGCTTGTAAGGCTTCGAAGCACAGAAATGACAAAATAGAGGCAGAGCCGGGCGGAGACCTTGGGATACATCACATGCCTGGACTCCGAGCTTGTCCCAAACCTAAACTCCACTATCTATTCCAAAAGCGGTATGCGCCCCCAAATCCTAGTGAGGCAGAAGGGCGAGGGGGCAGCGCCCTTCCTGAGCCTCATCATCAGCCTCCAGCAGTGAATCCCCCGCTGAGCGCTGATCGCATCGCCCCGACAGCACCCACCCGGGTCCCGCAGCGGGGGCAGGAAAGCGTTCGGAGGCAGCGTGGGAAGACTAGGGCACGCGGCGCGCCACCACATCTCCCTTCGGAGCCAGGCTACGGGGAGTAGCGGACGCTGGGAGCCGCCCCAGGGAAATCGGGGGCCACCTTCAGCCCCCAAACCCCCGTTCGGCCAGCGAAAGAAAAATAAATCGCCGGCAACAAGTGGGAGGTGCAGACCCCTAGGCCGGGGCCTGTTGGCCCCGGTGCCCGGAGACCCGCAAGGCACAAACGCAAGGACTCCGGCTCGGTCCAGACCCCCCTTCCCAGTGCTCCGCCCTCCCGTCGGGGCTGCGACTCCCTCGCCGGCATGCGGGCAGCCGAGCTCCCGCGCTCCAGCCCCCGCGCAGCCCGGGCCACTGTCGCCTTCGGACCACTCACTGCTGCACTCGGTGTCCGCGCAGAGTTTGTGCTCGGAGAAGCGCCGGCTCATGTCAGGCCCCGGCTGCCCCGGGACCCGCCAGGGCAGCCCGAGCAGGAGCAGCCAGAAGGGCAGCCCCGGCGCCGCAGCCATGTTGTGGTCACCGCGGCGAGCCGGTGACGCGGAGGAGGAGGCCGGGGCTGGCGCCAGGGGGCGGGGCCGGGGCGGGACCCGCGGGCGGGTGGGGAGCTGGCTCCGAGGGGCGGCGCCTGGGAGGGTTGAGTTGTTCAGGCTGACACGTCAGCACCGGCTCTGGGAGGGGAAGAAGGGGTCTCGGAGGAAAAGGACCGCCACTCCAGTCTCCGCTCCCCACTCGCTCCACCCCGGCTCTGCGACCTTGGATCCCCTCACCTCGCGCCAGCCTGTTAGTGGGACGGCGCGAGGTTGCCGCAGCTTATTTCTGATCCGCAACCCTTATTCTTGGTTTAGTGCCTCCTTTTCCCATCTACGAAATCCCACCCACGGTTTGCCCCTCTTAATCTCTGTTTCGAGGCTCCCTCTCCTTCGCACTCCCAGGGATTCTTGGGGCCTCATCCCAGGCATCCCTTTGATTACGGAGGCGGAGAGTGAGTGGATTGGTGCGTTGGTGATGTAAATTAGAGCATCTGGCCGGTTTGGTCTTTTTAGGGGCCCTGGGAGGTGGTAGGCTATGGGTCTCCGTGCCGAGATCTTAAGATTCTTGCGTCTTTACCCATAAGGGAAGAAGTGATTTAATTTAACACAGATGTGTTGTGCTTCCATTTTATACTACCATTTCATGCCTCAGGTACTGGACAAAGTATTAGGGTGGTGTGCGAAAATATGTAGGTCAAAGACAAGATATCTGGCCATTGTCTAAGGAAGCCCTCAGTTTAATGCAAACCAACTGGCATAAGAACGACTAACAAATCAATGTCAGTAGGAGAAAGCTAACTACGAACATTCAGTATTTTCTTTAGGAGCCAATGTTATTCTAAGGTCTTTATATGTATCAATTCATTTAATCTTCAAAACAATAGTACCTCATAATAGTAGATCCTATTACTACCTATCTTAATTTTTGAGATGAGTGAATTGAGGCATTTGAACTCTAGTGGGTGATGAAGCTAAAATTCAAACCACGTAGTATTTTCCCTTTTAATCACAACCCTTTAAACCTTCACCAAGCAACATGAATTTTCTGGCTATGGTAAGTAAAACCTTGTTTAAATCACAATATAACTGAATTATCTATATGTACAATTTTAAAAAAGGCCACAAGCCCACAGATCAGTTCAGGGAGAGGTGGCTGTGATGTTGGGCCTTGGTTGGAGCACTTTGCATTTGTCTGTGACTAAGGCCTGCTCATTGCAGTTTTGCTAAGGTTATTCATCAACCTGGAACAACAGTCAAACCCATCAGTTGGTTTCCTAAATTATTAGATTCTTTAAAAGCAAGAAGGTAATGTTGAAGATAATCCATAATGTTGACAAAAGGAAAAGATGGGATGTTCTCAGAGAAGTTCACAGTTGTTTGTCTATAGGAGCTGTGAGGTGTTCCACTGGTCCAATGTAGTTCCCATTCTGTCTGGAGAGAATGCACATTGAATAAAGTCACCATGTATTTAAGTAGTAGTGCCCTCTGGAGTTCTTCTGTTTTTCTACTATGTATTTGTTTGCTTTAGATTCTTAGGTGTGTCTAACGGGCATCTCTAACTCAATATGTTAAAATCTAAACTCTTTATTTTCATTCTCAAACCCTGCTCTGTTCAACTTTCCGATCTGAATATATAATGACATTTTAATTCCTATCTTCCAGGTTCTCAAGTCAAAAATCTACAAACCATTCTTCACACTGCTTTCTGTCACATCCCAAGTCCAATCCATCAGACAATCCTGTGCACTCTTTATTTTAATAGCATCATTGAGGTATAATTGACATACAATAAGCTACATATATTTAAAGTATACAATCTTGCCTGGCCAGTGTGGCTCAGTAGTTGAGTGTCGATCCATGCATCAAGAGGTCGCCAGTTCAATTCCTGGTCAGGGCACTTGCCCAGGTTGTGGGTCAAATACCCAGTGGGGGGCATGCAGGAGACGGCCAACAGATGTTCTTTCTCATCTATGTTTCTCTCTCAAATCAATAAAGAAAAAAAAATTGAAGTATACAATCTGATGAGTTTCGACATATGTATACACCCGTGAGACTATTGCCACAGTCAAGATAATTAACATTACCATCATCCCTAAAAGAGTCTTTGTGCCCCTGTGTAATTCCTCCCTCTCCTTTCCTGTCTGTCTCCAAGAAATCCTTCTGTGGCTACAGATGGATTTGTAATTTTGAGAATTCAATATAAATAGAATCATACAGTATATATTATTTCTTTCTCAGACTTCTTTCACCAAGCATAAGCATTTGAAATACATCCAGAATTGGACCACTTCTCACATCTCTTACGCTAGCACTGCAGGCCAAGCCATCACTCTCTCTCACCTGCAAGACTGCAAAGCCTCCTCACTGTCCTTTCTGCTTCTGTCCTTGCCTTCCTAAAGCCTATCGTCGTAATAGAAGCCAGAGTGACTTTTCATGATATGAATGTGGTCATGTCTCTCTTCTGCCCAAAACCTTCTTATGTCATCCCACTTCCAAGTAAAATGCAATGACTTTGTCATGGACTGTACTGTCTTATTTGATCGGACCCTGCTCATCCCTTTTACCCCCATTTCCTAATACTTTCTTCTTGCTCTGTTAGTGCCACTCAAACTCATCAAGCCCACTCCTGCATCAGAGCATTTTTCCTTCAACCTGGAACAATTCCAACAAAGAGCTGACCTGGCTCACTAGTTCCCTCACTTCATCAGGGGTCTGTAACAATACCACATCTTATTACAGAGGCTTTCCCAAATCACTCTACATAAAATAGAGTTTCCACTATGATTATCTAGACCATCATCCTGCTTTATTTTTCTTCAGAGCACTTACCATCTGCCTTACATTTGTTAATCTATTTGACTGCTGTCAGTAGGTAAACTTATATTCCAAATATAAGTTCCATGGGATAAAGGCATTTTTATTCACTGTTATAACACAAGTGCCTAGGAAAATGTCTAGAATGTATGAGGTACTCAACAAATGATTTGGTGGATGAAACCATGATTCCTCACATATTATAAATATAGTATACTATTAACCTATAGGCGGCCTCCATATATGAACAGCAGCAAGAGTAAATATGACATGAGAGCAAGGCAAATTGTGTCTTGCCTTCAGCAGCACCCTTAACACTGGGAACAGAACCTGGAGGATATTTGTAGATTGGAGGCATATTGTTGCAGAGGGTGAAAGGAGTTGCACTATAATTTTCCCTATATACTACCAGAATATTAGAGCAAATAAAGGTAACTTTAATTTTTCTTATTTCTATTTAGAATAAGATTAATGACAGTTCATTGGTGGAAAAAGCAAAATTCCAAAATGACTTCAATATTACTTTACTAATATTTTCTTTGACTAGTATTCAGAAATGCTTTTATATGAAGGATGAGAACTCTCAGTTACTGCTTAGTTTGTATTTTTCTGGATGTGGGTTTATCTACACTCTCCCCCCCCTCCTTTATTGATTTTTATTTATTTATTTTTCAAAATGTTTGATTTTATGCCTTTTTTAAAATATGTTTTTATTGATTTTTTTAGAGAGAGAAGGAATAGAGAGACCAAAATAGCGATGTGAGAGAGAAATATCGATCGGCTGCCTCCTGCACACCCCCACTGGGAAATGAGCCCAAAATCTGGGCATGTGCTCTGACCAGGAATTGAACCCGGACCTCTCAGTCCATGGGATGATGCCTAACCAGTGAGCCACACCAGCTGGGTTTTTTATTGGTTTTTATTTTATTAAAACAATTTTTTTTTCTCTATTGATTGAGAGAGAGAGAGAGAGAGACATCAATGAGAGAGAATATCGATTGGCCGCCTCCTGCATGCCCCCCACTGGGGATTAGGCCCACAACCTGGGCATGTGCCCTGACCGGGAATTGAACCAGCGACCTCTTGGTGCATGGGTCAATGTTCAACCACTGAGCCACAGCAGCTGGGTTTTTTTATTGGTTTTTAGAGAGAGAGGAAGGGAGAGGGAGAGAGAGAGATGGAAACACTGATGAGAGAGAACATCGATTGGCTGCCTCCTGCATGCCCCCCACTGTGTATTGGGCCCACAACCTGGGCATGTGCCCTGACCGGGAATCGAACCGGCGACCTTTTTGGTGCATGGGTTGATACTCAATCACTGAGTTTCACTAGCCAGGCTGCATTTATTATTATTATTATTATTATTATTATTACTGCCTTAAACAGATATTAACAAGTTTGGTGAATAACCTGAAAAAATTTCTTAGCTGCCCACAAAGAGGGTGGTGCTGGTAATTCTTCTTGCCAGCATATGTATTATTATAGTGGATGAATCAGCATTCATTTTTTTTATCCTCCCCCGAGGACATTTTTCCATTTTTTGTTCAGATAGAGTGGGAGGGAGAGAGAGGAAAAGAGAGAGAGAGAGAAACATCAATGTTAAAGGGACACATTGAGTGGCTGCCTCCCGCATGACCCAACTAGGGCCGAGGACAACCTGCAACCGAGGTACGTGCCCTTAGCGGGAACCGAACCCGGGTCTCTCTGGACCACAGGCCGACGCTCTAACTGCTGAGCCAAACCGGCCAGGGCTCAGCATTAATTTTTAATAGCATTTGACTATGTGGCACTGAAGCTTAACATATACTGTAAAATCCTGAGTGTTTTATTTGTTAACACCTCAAATGGAATTTTCACTGGGCAAACATGAGTAAGAGTTAAAATAGTAATTTGTAGTTTAGGGGGGAGATATCAAAATATAATATATGGAGGGTTTCTGATTGTAAATAATTAGTAGTCTGATGGAAAAGAACAAGACAAATACATCTGAAACAAATAGAATACAGCATAGTAACATCTATCACTGTAAACTTCCCATGGCGCCTGCCCAGGAACACCTGAATGTCTAACACTGAAGTTACCAGGAAGAACCAAGTCTATTGCCAATGATGAAACCACTTAAGAGTCTAGAGAATGGTGTAAAACATTTACTGAGTACCATGGCT